TAGAGCCGTGGCCTTCTCCCCGGACGGCAAGATACTAGCGTCAGCATCTTCTGACAAGACGGTTAAGCTGCGGGACGCCGGGTCAGGGAAGCTGCTACAGACACTAAATGCTATCTCCTATAGTCTTTCTTTCACCGACGATGGGTCAAGTCTTTTAACTGACAATGGATTGTTACCTATAGGTCCTAGTCGTCAAGCTTCTTCCCGCAGAAGTTCTCCGCAATCCATCCTCGTTGAGGAGCAATGGGTCCTTCAAAATGGCGAGAGATTGCTTTGGTTGCCCTCCGAGTATCGACCAGATCACGTTGCTGTTTAAAGTGGTAAAGTCGGATTTGGGTGTTCCTCTGGTCGAGTGTTAATCCTGAAATTCGCCATCTGAATTGTTTCAGGCCCCCCACCCACCTCCACTATAGATATTATAGAATATCCCATCTCAACCACGAATATCAGCAGCACCCCGCACACTGAACAACCTCGACGCTAGTTATTAATGTCCGAATTCTAGCCAAGATGAGATTTCAAAGCTTGTGGAGACGAACTTCCCGAGCTGAACGAGAAAGGTGTCACGCAGAGGTAATGTGGGACAAAATTCTAAGAATCGAGGCCGAAATTGCGAGCGGGAACGCAAAACCACCTGATACACTTTCATGGCCACCAATTCAGGAAGAGCCAGAGCCTTCTTCGCCATCCCACAATACCAAAATATCTGGAAAGAGCAATGACAAGGAAGTCGCGAAACTCTCTAGCTTAGAGAAGACTTCCGAGTCAGTAGTAGCAGAGGGCAAAGGGAAAGGGAAATGGAAAGAGGTCACCTCCGGAAGCGAGCCAGAGAGTGAAGATTCCACCGACTCATCGTCCATCTTGAGCAAACGCTCTCGCGGGTCAATGGACGAAATCGCCTGCTTTAGCATGTGACATGTCAGACGACGCGAACTTCGAAGCAATAGAAGCACTGATTCTGAGGAACGACGACAGTAACTTCACGCTAACATTTGAGTAAATGCAAAGTCAAAAAAAAAAAAAGAGGGAGTGGGGGCGGGGGGCAATGGTCGACCATGTAGCGGCGGATGCTTGATAGCCTGACATTTTAGAGAATATAGTGAATTTAAGAATGGGGTTTTCAATTTTCCTCTGGAATCATAAGTACCCATGCAAAGTTTGTGTGAATAGTGACATGTACAGGCAGAATTCACAGTATATAATCCAATACCAATCAAATTTAAATATGACAGGAAATCGGCAGAGCATGAGTATATTGATCAACAACTTAGCAAATACAAACTGGTCGCCGCGAACATAATAATACGCTCTGTGTGTAAAGAGGAGCCCCAACTTGTCCGCGTTGTCCCCAATTATGGGGAAATAGAGTGTCTTATGCGATGCAGCGCATTGGTTTATTACCGTGAGTAGACGATCCCATCCTCTGGAAGTTCCGGAATACAAATGCTTTTCTATAGCAAGGATGCATGCGCACCGAATCAGAAATACCTTCTCACGTAGACGGTACCAAATCGAAACAAGAACTCCAACATACAAAGAAGTTCTAGAAACATGGCTAGATCAGATCTTGACTTGGAGACCACTCAGAAAATCTCGAAGACATCCTGTGGATCCCATAACAGCAGAGCTTATGACTAGACAAGCCTTGCCATGTCTGCAAGCGGAAGCCTCTCTTGGGAGTGACCATGTCACGCTTGTAGCTGCGGCATTTAGGAGGCAATATATTGGACACGAATCTTTTGAGCGACAAGCTTCTAGACTACTCCAGGTCGAACGCATCAATACCAATCAAGAGCCAAGACTGCAGCCACTAGATGATGAGGATGAGGCTAGATATGTAGGATGCGGCTTTGAATGTCTATTCATGTTGAGATGCGGTCTTTAAACAGCACAAGAACCATCGATCGAACATGACATAATGTCTTTCTAACAAAGACCAAGAACCGATTATCGATTTTCAAGGGGAGGAGAGTACTCACTAAACAAAGAGAATAAAAGTTGGGATGAGAACGGTACGAGGGAATAAAGAAAGCAACATCGTCTCAGTAATGCTCGCGTCATCATAGTGGGATACAATAAAACAAAGGGCAAATTTTCAACGAAGCCAGTATATCGTCCGCAATTCCTGACTGAGCATGCGAGTTTACAAAATCGTCCCAAGTCGAAAACTATGGGTCATTTATTCTCAAAATATATCCATATCACCGCAGAAACTCACCTACCTCAAATCCAACAATGGCAAAGTTCTTCAAGCAAATCTTTTCCCGTGGCTCAACAATCCTAGGTGCCTCCTCCAGGACACCCACTACCAACCAAATGCTTTCCACCGAAAGCAAGCTTGAAACCTACATGATCGATATGTTCCTCGGCCACGGCCGGACTCTCGAGAACCCATGCCCGGAATGTGGTTGTGATTGCTGCCGCGTAGCGACTGGCCAAGACTCGAGCGATGAGGGCCACTGTGTTGAGTGGCGGGAATGGAGGCAGTGGTTGGATGGATTGTGCGCGGAGCTTGATGCGGCGCAGGCTGAGGAAGGTCTTGATAATTCGGATGCTACGAGAAGGGCTTCTTGATGGGGCTTCTTTTCGAGATGGGATGTATGGTTAAGAGGCTTCTTTGGCTGTATTTTGTAATGAAAGTCAGATCTGCTGGCATTGAAGTGAGCTTCACCCTGAGCCATTGAATCAAAATATCGTTCCAGTAAGCTCCAACACAGAAAACATGAGAACTATATTAATTTTGAGCTCCTGGATTTCGCAATGTTGAGATGAGAAGTCGTCCTCTGGTGTGTCAGATAACTGAAAACATTCTTGCTCATCGTTGCAGAGCTCACTGGGTCTACATGTAAAAGTAAGTAGCACCAAGTCATGAGAGCTGGTGAGCTTGCGCCAACATAGAGCGAGAGTTGAAGTTCAAAAAAGAATGCCACATACACATATCTATATAACTCCAACTGAGGATGTAATCGCCAAGTTCCTTCGTGCTTTGTTGAACTTGAATGAAGGGCTCATCTTTATCATTGTGACTCGTGCTCCTCGGTATTATGTAGCTGCGTCGTATTCCCCGCATTTTGAACATTGAAAGCGTCACTCAATCTGGACGATTTCCAAGGTTCTGCCTAGCTACATTCGTTATTGAAGGCTTCCTGTCACTTTTCCTGGCCCCTCATATTTCGCTCGAGGTTTTTGCAGGAATTGACACCTAATTCTTTGCTCCCTGAGTCCCTGGCAATAGGCAGACCTCACAGACTCGGCTGGTCTTGACGTAAAAGTCCTGCTTATCGTTAGCTATCGCTGCTGGGTATGAAGGCGTCCAGGAAAATAAGCGGTGTCCTTCCTGAGGGACTTGCAGTTACAGTCATTCGTTTACCGTTATGTTTATCTATCGATATCTCATCATGATAAAATTCACGCCATCTCTCTTTGAGGTCTCATACGACGGGCGCAGCTAGTGAAAATGATTGGGGACCTTTAGTGAGGTCTGGAGTCTGGTCTCTGGTAACGTCCCATCGCTGCTGCTGAACTCTGGATGAGGCTAGTCTAGTTTAGTGGTGTTTAACGCCAGAGGCCTTCTAGGGGGCATTACGGAGGATGTAACTAGCTAGTACTAGTTATAGTACTAAACGGGTTTAAGCTTATTCGACCACGTTTCTACCTCGGTACTATACGGAGTACCTTGCGTAGTAAGCAGATATAGTACTAGATAGGTAGCCCCAGCCTTATTTCAACCACGTACACGCATCTATCTCCTAAAACCTGCGCAATAAGGTAATACGAACCTCTTTCTTATAGCCTAGTAGGTAGTGCGGAATGGCCGAGCAAGATTACCCCTATACTGCACTGCACGTCCACGCCTTTCGGGTGCAGTTCTCGTCTACTGTATAAACTATACATCTTTATTGTTTCTTCGATCCTCCTTCCCTTTTTATTTCCATTTGAAATCATAACTCCTTGGAAGTGTCTCTGCGTATATAAACGCTGATTTTGTCCCAAGAGCCAACATTCTCCTAATTCTATAATTTTTTACCTCGGCCACGAGACTGGAAAGATTCAAGCCCGTTGTCCAAAAACAACTGTCCAGCCTCTCATTTTCGTCCAAAGAGCACACCTAAGACCTTGTTCAATAGCCTTCACCATCCAGATTGTATCACCTCGTCAATACCCAACCGCGACAATGACATCTTCACTCACCAACCTCTCGCTCTACGCAGTCCCAGCCTACTGGATCCTCTGCCTCGTCCCTCACAACTACGCCATCGCCATAATGACAAAAGCCAACAACGGCTACTGGGACAATACGAACCCGCGCTCGTCCGTCTGGGATGCCAAACTGAAGCAATCCGTGCCCGCCGAAGCATTCGGCCGCTACGAGCGCGCCGAGGCGGCCATGAAGAACGGATTCGAGAACTTCCCCATCTTCGTGGGCGCCATCTTAGCTGGGAACATGGCTAGGCTGGATAGTCAGACGCTCAATGGCTTTGTGGGGACGTATCTGGCAATGCGGGTCTTGTATACTGTGGTGTATGTCAAGGTCACGAGGAATACGTACAGTTTTGCGAGGACGGCTATTTGGGGCGTGAGTACGCTGTTGTGTATGGGGATTTATGTGAAGAGTGGACTTGCCCTTAATTCAGCCTAGGCAGACACACTTCTCGATTGACTGTCATATTTGCTTTTCAGAGTCATGCGGAGGTGTAGGCCTAGACCGGCTTCGGGTGTACAAAGAGGGGAAGGAGGGGAAGGAGGGGAAGGACAAGAACACGGGGTAAGACAGGTCGGTTCACATCAGTACAATTGTCCGTAAACTGTCTTACATCGAGTCCTAACGCACTACCTGCCAGTTTCCTTGCCTATGATAATGAACCACTGAAATTTTCACCTAATGTACATTCCCTTTCTCGAAAATGTTGACCTTATTCTTATCATTTTAGCAAGGATAATAAACTACTATTTGTGAACTTGACAATAACTTATCTTAAATTCATGCCTATCCCACGATATTACCCTTCAAGACCCTTTTGAGTCCGAAAAACAGTGCCAGAAAATATCGGGCTTTGTATGGGTTCCCGGGTCGTTTTAGCCTTATTTTACTTCTTGTTGAATGGCTTAGGACTTGAAAGAGCCTTATGCTCTTATCCGATGCGTTGGAGAACTCTCTCGGCTTTGTAATTTACCGTACCGTACTATGCTGCTTACCTACCTAGTATCGCTTGAGCCTTGCCCTTGTAGCGCCAAGTATTTCGACGTGCGCGACATGATTGAGTTTAATCAGGGTGACGTGTTGCGAGTAAGTGTGAGAAATTGGACAATAGTGTTGACTCGTAGTTGTTTTCGGACGTTTGAAAGCCGGAACATGAGAAGAGAAGGAAAGGGGGCCAACAAAAAACGGTGGTGAGAGTGTGCCAAAGGCGGAAGATTTATTTTGAGCTCAACTCTTCCCTGAGACCTTCTCCATGATGATGTACTCAGAACCAACCGAGTTGGGCGAGGATGAGCTCCATTCAAAGACCATTGAGACAGGTACTCCGTGAAGTCGAAGGAACTCCATTGTTGCGACTTCACAAGCAACGCCATATTTCTAAAAAATGATGGATAGATACAGTATGGGAGACGTGCTATGACAATCTAGCCATTTCGGAAGGTAACTTCAAATATGAGGTTCGAGCTTCCCTCCGCAATCTTCGTAAAGAGTGCAATATCATTGCTAGACTGGTCGACAAATTTGGCAATGATGGCACAGAGTTCGTGTATCTAGAAATGAAGGTGTCTGTCGGGAAACCGTAGGAGCTCGAGTTGGGTCTATAGTTTACTATTTTCTGCCATGTAACCTCGTCCTCTGGGAAGATTCAAACACCCGCCTAGTAAGCGCCAGCCCGTGCTAAGCTAGATCATCTATATAACTTCGTCGGAGTTACTCGTTTGCATCTCCAATTACGAACAATACTCATGATCTATATATCTTCAAATTTGAAACTACAGTTCAAGATTATCTTTCTAAAAAAAAAAAAAACTCTAAATTATTACCTCATCTTGAGATACGACCCTTACCGAGTAGGTAGTGTCGTGAGCAAAAGAATCTAATTTGATTTGATTAGAAAGGAGGTTGCAAGTAGGTAAAATAAAGCAACCGGGTCTTACCTAAAATACCCCGAAATCTATCCGTACAGCGGTATAATTTAGCCTGCTGCATGACCGTTGTGATCTGCTCTGCAAAGACGGCCGGTGCTGAACAGTTGCACCCAAGATCCACAACGGAAAGCACGTAAGATCTTACATACACCCCACCAATGCGCTTCATCTAGTACTAACTACAAGGTAACTGAATAGTCTCTGAAACCCCTTCAAATTTAAACATCCCCCTTCTCCTTCTCTTTCCAAACCTTCTATCCTCTATCTCGATCCCACGAACCATATATCTAATCCTCTCCCAAACAAATTCTATATAAATTCTACCCCGCATCATATCATAACCCCGCCTTCCTTCCTACACAATATCAAAACGCAAGCAAGATGTCAGACCGAACAATCCGCGTAACACTCTTCAAAATCCCATCTCCGGCAAACGTACAAGCAGCCCTTGAGATCTACAAAGACCTCGCAAAGAGCGCCGTAAAAGTATTTATCTCCATCTCTTCCCACCTGCCCTTAAATCCCCCACTTCCCACCTTCTTTCCTTCCCCCCATCTCCATCTCAAAAAAATACATATATCTATATACATCAATAAATTATATTAATTCGGTCTTTGTTTTTACAGGACGGCAAACCCTACATCCTCTCCCTACATGCCGGACCCACGAAGGATGATCAGCGGAATCAAGGATACACGCTAGTTGCGAAATCCGAGTTTGCGAGTGAGGCGGATATGTGGTATTATGATACGGAGGATAAAGCGCATCAAGAGTTGAAGGTTAAGTTGAAGCCGTTGGGGTTGGAGGGCATGATGATGGTTTATTATCAGCCGGAGGTTGTGTCTGTTTTGTGAGGGGAGGGCAGCAGAGCGGACGAAAGTATGTTGGGAGACAAAATCACGGAATTGTAACAGATATCTGGTTATATGTATGGATAGGATATAAAGGTTACAATTGCTGTGTTTTGTTGCTATGCTAGTTTGTACGGAGTAAAATTCGAGTGAATCAATTATTCGGTGCCATTAAAGTCTAGAACCGGTTCCGCTGTTGCTTCTACCTCCACGAAGTAATCAGCCATTGCCAAGGCACAACTTCTCCCTTCTTCCATCCCTAATACTTCCTCAATATAAAAACTATTTAAACTTACAAATGCTTGGAAAAGAACTCCAATACTGTCTTATACCCCCTCTCATACTCAGCCTTGACCCTCTCATCCGACAAATCAGACCTGGCAGCCATGAAACCATGTATCTGATCCCCAAAGGTCTCTACATACTTATCCACCTTCAACTTTCCCTCAAAAGCCTTCACATCCTCCGCCGGCTCATCCTTACTTGCCAACAAAGCAAGCGGAATAGTAATCCCCTCCGCATCCGCTGGATCAACCATAGCAGGATGACATTCGACCGCGGCTTTGAACGGCGTATCCTTCCCGCTTGTCAAACTAACAATCTTTCCACCCCAGCAAAAGCCCACCACTCCCCAGACCTCAATGTTAGGATTAAACTCCTTGTAGGCCTTGATGAGAGCAGGGATGCGGGCTGCGGCTGCACCGGGCGCGCCGGTTGTCTGAAAGAAGTTGCCGAGCTTCTCGCCCTGCTCGGGGGTTTCGGGTGGATACCAAGAAATGTCTGCGGGTTTGCCCTCGAAGAGATCGGGAATGAATACTTGATAGCTGTTGTCCTTATCCGAGGTGGAGAGGATATCGGCGCCTTGGAGGGATTGCTCAAAGTAGCCGAAGATGTCGAAGATGTAGAGGATGGCTTTAGTTGCAGTTGGGGGGCCAGTGACGTCTGGAGAGTGGTGTTAGATTATGATATAATTGAGGTTAGGAGATGAGACGGAATCGTACAATTTTTTAAACCGCCGATGGTCTTGTATTCCCCTTTGGCTTGGTAGCCTTTGGAGACGATAGGCGGGATGCTGCAGCATGCTGCGCTGTGTACATGTGGTGCCATTGCGTTGTTTCTTTTGATTGTTGGATGGAATTGGAGTACAGGGGTACCTTAGGGACAATGAATTGATCGTTAGACGGAGGATGAGTTGTATATAAATCCGAGATGAGGGAAGGGAGCAATGGATCGAAGAGGATGCGGGTGCCGGCCGGTGCGGGCGGGGTGGGGTAGTGGGGCAGATCCATGATGTCAGAAATTTCGGAGATAATGGATTATCATCTGACGTATAGGAGATAGATAATTGTTCTATATTACGTACAAATATATGGTATCATTTATTTAGTTAGAGAGTATAATATGAGATTGTTGAATTCCAAATGAGTAGGCAGCTTAACGGAAGTACGAGCACCAGAGAAATCATTACTGAAGGGATTCTTCCACTCTGAGTTTATATATCTACATCCTGACACATCACTTAGCTCAGGTGCACCAGCGGGAGTTCTTAAGTTAGTAAGTTAATAAAACTTCCTTCAACTGCTCCTTTTCTTCTCAGCGACCATCACCTCTACCCCTATCAATACAATTAGTTTTCTAACACAAGTCTTCCACAAAAGGTCTATCTTAGGTGCGAGTTCAAAAGCAAGCTCTTCTTCTCTTCCTTTTATATGCAAAAGCACGAAGTCTTGGACAGATCAATTTTCTTCTTCTTTTGGCAGGAATATCACCACACTCATATTTTTCTTTTTTGCTCCTGGGAGTACGAATCGGATTCGATACACCACAGTCGGTGCCGGTTCCCCGGAAAACTTCTCAAGTCTCGTCTGAAGTCAGCGAACAAATAGCTTCGAATATGAAAACAAGTATAGTCTTAACAACCAACTTGGAAGAATACCTTTTCAATCTCTGTCACAACTATCGGCTTTTGTCGGCATTGGATATGAACTGAGATCGGCTTCCATTGTAAGCATATTGGATGGGATTCTTTTAGGATTATGATAAGCCTTTAGACATTAGCGGAACATTTTTGTATCCGTAATAGCGGAGTTGATGTCTTCTTACTAGAAAAATACCAGGTCTTGGCTCAAGAAGCTGAGTTAAGAATGTAAGAATTTTGGTCGATTCTCACAGCGTGAAAGAAAGCAATATAAAAAGCTTTCCCCTCCTTAAACAGGAGGAAACCAGAGCCTCAGCCTGAGTAACTCGAGATGTCAAGTGGAGACAATTTACGAAAAGACACAGGCATCGAATAGTTGAACAGCTTGACATTTCAATCCACATTTGTGCTTTGAGGGGAAGTCCTTATTATACTTCCAGAAGGCTTTACAAATGAATGAATATGATGCGATTGATAGCAGTCGAGTCCTTGATAATACCACGAATCCGACTGTTGATGCCCGAACACGTAAATAACATGTACCAGCAAAACAGCTCTACCTGTTTTAATGATGGTAATAACTTATAGGCTTGGTTGGATCTGCGGAGGCCCGGCCAGGTCTCGGAACAGCAAGCATCTAACTGCTTTCTGATTACATCCGTGTTTTGGTATTGTACAACGTGGAAAATAGAAGCTTAAATACAACCAAAAAAAATCCCAATTCCATTCCACGATGTGAGCATGAAAGATGAAGTAGTATCACGGGAGGCAGCGTCTGGTGAGATCTACCAAAACCGGTTTCTGTATCTGCATGAGCGAAAAAATCTCTCTCTTCCATATTCAGTCACCTTCACCATCTACTCCAGCTGTCCCACTCAGTAAATAAGGCACCGCTATATTAACCCCAGAACAGCAACCAGAAAAATCTAGACAACGGTACAGGCGTTGCTTCCAAGCTTGTCTTGAGCTTTATGGGACACTCCTTTCTTTTCTCCCCCTCCAGCTCCAAATAACAGTAGTGGTCCTTTGAACGAGGAACACAGATCCGTTGCATAAATCTACCTTGAGGAAGTGAATGAATGGTATTAACAAATGACAGCAAATGATTTGTTGACAGGAAACTCATGCAGTGAAAAAAACCACCCACGGGGTTGTAGAAACGGGACAGTTTATTAGTTCTAGTCGGGTAATCGTCCCACTCCTTATATGCCATATTGCACAAGTCCCCACCCCCCCCTTCCGGCCACCTCGCTTAGCTACTACCTTTCTACTTTGCAACCTTATAACTTTTTTATTCCTCTACTTCTATAAAATCGCCTGTACTAGCAGATTCTATAGATAAATCAGAGTCTTCCTCTTCAATTTCCCGGTCTCCTGCTCCAATTTAGGCCTCTTTTATAGCCTGAATATCCACAAACTTCGAATTTGGACTAGTCCTCACTTTCCGTCGTTTCCGCGGCTCTAACTGCTCTAGTCTAGCTTCCAATTGAGTAACCTGAAGCCTTGCCTGTGCTAGTGCATAGTCCCTTTCATCAAATCCTTTTAGAACCTTCCTAAAAAGCAGCCGCTGGGTTGGAAGATCGCTATTGCCTAATCGGGAAATCGTCTCTACCTGCAACCTCACTTCCTTAGCTGCCTTAGGGGTTTCCCAGGTAACTAGGGATAATGCATGACCTGTAAGTGCCTCTGCATCCCTAATAGTCTCATTTGCAGCCTCTTGCGGACTGTTATTACTATTTTCTAGCAATAAACGGCTCATTAGAGGCTTAGCTATATTAGGGGGCTATAGACCTGTAGCCTGCCATCCCGCCCTAATATTCCTTGATGTGAGGCTTATCTCCCGTGCCCTAGCATAGCACCGTAAGAAGTTATGCTTCCTAATTAGGGTAGAATCCGTAAGGAGGCTTAAGTTACTAAGCTCCTTTTAGTAGGCGCTCTTTAGGGGGGAGAATATTAATAAATCTAGTGGTTGCAATACATGTGATATATGTGGAGGCAGAAATAAGAGGTGTATCTTATGCTGGAAGCAAAGCCATATAAAATTAGTGGTTTTATGACTCCCGTGACCGTCTAATATAAGTAACTGTAGCTCCTATGGGTCCTGTGGTGCTGTGGAGGGGATAAAGACTTTTTCTAGCCATTCTAGGGCTGTAGCATCTGAAGTCTAGCCGTTTTTAGTTGCAGTGAACTGCTAATGCTTATATAGCTTAAGGCTAGTAGGAAACCACTGCTGTTGGACTGTCTTTCCCTTAAACATGACTAGTGGAGGAAGCGCTAGTCCCTCTGCACTAATACACTCAATAAAAGAGGTCCAGGCCTTAGATCCTAGCTGTTTACGCTGAACAAAACGTCGATTTACACTCCCTATAACCAATCCATTAATCCCCTGGCCTTCCATAATCCCTGCTTCGTCCATATTCCAGCGATTTGCAGGCTTAATAGCCTTGATTTCCGGAACCTCCAATTTTTGAAACCACGGCTGAATTATACTAGTTGTAGCCCTATTTACACGTGTAGAATCGATCCGTAGTTGCTTCTTAGTCTTAAGAATAGGATTGCGTTTAAGAAAGGCCTATATCCAGCGCTTTCCTAATGCATTTGTATCTCCCCATATAGCTAGTAATCGCCGGGCAAAATCCCTAATTTATGTATGCGTAGGGCTAAGTCCTAGGCTTTCCTGGGTTAAAACCCAATCTGTTAAATGCTTCTCTTGAACCATAGAAAGCCTTTATAAATGTGCTGCTCCAATTTAACGTGATTCGTGGCCCGTAAATCGGTCCTAGAGAGTTGTCCGTGGGATGCCCCAATCTAAGCTAGCTTTCCGAATAGATTGACCATTTGCAATCGCATGAAGCGCATCTATGATATCAGCTTCAGTATATATAGGCTTTATAGTGCAAAGAATATTATATTAGATTTTTAAAGTATTCTATAAGAGCGTTGGAAAGTTATTAAGATATAAAGTGGGAGGTTAGGTAGTAGCGGTGAGCTAAGCTAGGTGGCCGGAAGGGGGGGGGTGGGGACTTATGATGGAATACCGGTAATAGAAGGCTGTGCGATGGTGATTAGCCAGGATGACCTCGACTGTATATTTCTCGCGGTTGTGGACTACGTCCGCAAGGCTGCGGTGTAGATACATGATTTCAAAAGAGAAGTGACTTCATTGCGTACCGTGAAGTCACATGAAGGTAATGGATGGCTTAAAAATTGACTGCAAGTATATTCTTGACGGCAATAACAATCTTACTTGGCATTCTTTTCTCTTCCAGCTCCGAGTTATCTCTTAGCCAAATCATACAGACTCACTCTATCAAAACATATCAAAATTCCCATACTAGCAGGCGCAGGAGTGATCTTAAGCTTCTTAGATTTTCGTTACTAATTCCTACGATCTTCAATTGATGAGCCTACGCTTAATGGGAGCGCAGTCTTTATATAACACAATATTGCGCCGCATGTCAACTAAAGAAAAGCAAAACAAGAGAGGGAAGCGTGTTGAGATATGAGAAAGTGAAATGGGACTAAAGGGTAGAAAGAATGGTCCTAATGATGTACGAAAATCATGGAGAGGTGAATGTGACCAATGGTATGCTATTGAACTGGTAAAGCACATTTTGGATATTGAAAACACGTCAGAACTAGCACGCTATAAAGGAGGTCCGAAACCAGTAAATAAGATACAAAGGGCACCTGGGTGCTTCTGACCCGTGTATGTGGGGTATTCTCAGCCAAAACAAACATTTTGTAACGATAGCCATAATCCATGTATATCACAATATGCTAATCTGATTGTATTGCAGAGACAAGGCAAGGTTAACACCACAACCACTTCATGATTGATATCGTACAAACAAATGTGTAATAATTATCTGACTCCTGCCGCAGCAGCCGCTGATGCGATTTGCGTCAAAGTTGCATGGTCGTTTGATAATTGATCTGGTCGATGTTCTGGATTTGGCTGCTCGATTTGCTGTGGGCTCATTTGGGCTTCAGGAGCTGGTTGATGAAAGACAGTTCCGCTCGTAATTCCCTCGAATGGTCTTTGTCCCGGATTGGCATGTTCATCAATTCTGTAAGTAATCGAGAGATTAGCAGTGCACCTCTTAGAGCATTTAGCAGAACTTAAAGAAGTAGGGGTCACTTACGGAGATGTCCCATATCCATTTTCTCCAAGAAGCCGAAGTTCACCACCGGGTATCGGTATATGCGGCATATATTCCAGTTCACCTTCTTGGATGTCCCTCCAAGAACACTTTGCATGTTTTTTCGTACAAGCTGAGCACGCAGTAAGGTGTTTCGTACAATCAAATTTCAACCGTCGGCATCTATCGCAAGGTGGGTAGATGGGGTCACCACGAGCCAGCTTCTCGATCTTGGCAGCCATTAAAACTCGGTATTGGCCTTCCATGCCATCGTCCGAAGAAGAGTGGATATGAGACATACGTCGGGTGTCTGCGTCTGGAGTTCCGTTGAAGATATGCTGGCTTGCTGTATCTGAAGAACGGCTGGCTTTGCCGCGAGATTGTGGTGGCATTGATCGACCTCGATCACCGGTGAGAAACTGCTCAAGAAGCTGCTGTTGTATATTTGTTGCATCATTACTGGGAACGTTTGATATTCTGGTGGTGTTGATGGCTGCGAATGGTTGGGGAGAGAAGGTGTGAGCCTCTGGGGATATCTCAGCGGCTGCTGCGGCCGGCTGTCGACTCATGACTGCTGCTTTTCGACCTTTGAGATGGTAGTTCAGCTGCCTTGCTTTGCTGGCAACCGCATCGGCTTTTTTGATGAGCATAGCAAGGCGAGTCTCTAAAATGTTCAAAGTGCCCAGCTCTGCGGATTCATCTTCAGGAATTGGCTGGGTTGGAATCATGCGTTCGGGACCTCCTGACACAATCAATCTATAATCGTCTTCTGAGATCTCGATTTGAGCTCCTTTGATCCAGAAGCGGCAAGTTCTAACGCCCGGGACAGAAGAATCGCTAAGAAAGAAGTCCCCTGGATTGGTACGAGCGAAGGTGACGATATCAAGCCAGGTTGCAGGTGATTGCTCCATGCCAAATGCCTTGATGGGACCATCGAACAACTTCTCAAGCGACTTGAGGAGAAGAGGACCAACGAGTTTGGCACCAAGATTGGCAGCCAGACTTTCGTGGCGTTGTAAAACACCTGTCAATGTTAGTGTAAAAAACAGGCAAGTTCCAGAGCGATGATTGACGGATATGTTAAAGCTTATAATGCAATTTGAAACAAAGGATCGTTAGGAATCTTTCCATTTCGAACTCACTTGAGCCCCACTTTGACCCGTCTATTTCAACCATATACAGCTTACATGAATTAGAAAGCACACAAAAAACTACCAACTAACCTTCATAATCATCAATCATCCCCAATACCTCCCCAAAAGTATCTGCACCCCCATCTATCAATTGCAACCTCTCAGCCCGCGACTTCACCAAGTAGTTAATCTGCGTCACATTGCCAACACTCGGTCGTGGGCGTCCAACATCATCAGGAGTACGTTTTCTCTTCAGCCCGGCATCGTTATTGGACGTTTGCGTTAAATTTGGGGATTCCATACCGTAGAACTTGTAGACGCTAAGTGGGGAGACTGGAGGGAGGGAGTGGGAGTTGTGATTCCGGGCGGAGAAGGGGAACGTGGTGGACCCCGCTCGCTGATATTTGCGCGTTTGCAGCCAAAATCCAGGAACAGACTTGGCCCTCACGAACTCAATATTCCTTGAGATAAAAGATGGCTCCTGTGTTCTCACGCACGTTCCGAGGAGATTGGGGATGAAGTGAGGAGGCAGGAAGGATGGCGGACGCGTTCCTTCCGCCGCGGCGCTTCTCGGTTATTTCCGTTTCCCACCCGCACATGATCAACATTCCTTCCTTCCCGTGACCATCTTCCTTCTCCATTCCGCCCACCATCCTTTTGCAGCCTAGCTCCAAATACTCCACTATCAACCATTCTCAGCCTCATCGCGGAACCTGCACATCCCCACCAATCCACCAAGCTCGAGCTCCAGGACAAGAAACGAAACGATGTCCGAACGAGGCCAACAACGCGGAGGCCGTGGAGGAGGCAGGGGCGAACATAGAGGGGGACGGGGTGGTAGAGGTTTGTTCACATCTTTCAATTGCCTTTATTGCCAAACCCCTCCAATCTATTCATATCAATGCCACACTCAAACTCTCCACCTCCATACTAACAAGCTTGCCCAACAGGAGGCCACGAAGGCGGCAGAGGCGGCGCCCACACTCCCGGCGAACGCCCTAAGAAAGAAAACATCCTTGATCTAGGAAAGTACATGGATAAATCCATTACTGTGAAATTCACAGGTGGACGAGAAGGTTTGTTACCCCTCCCCCATACCACCCTATCCCCTCCCCTCCATCCTCTCGCTAACCCTCGCCCTCCACTCCAGTCACAGGAACTCTCAAAGGCTACGACGCCCTAATGAACCTAGTCCTCGACGACGTCTCCGAGGTCCTGCGCGACGACGAAGGAAACACGAGTAGTAGGGCGCTGGGACTAGTTGTTGCGAGAGGGACGCTGTTGGTGCTGGTTAGTCCGTGTGATGGGAGTGAGGAGATTGCGAATCCTTTCGTGCAAGCAGAGGGCGAGGAATGAGTATGATTTAGGATAGGGAGAGGAGGGATACGGGGGAAGGGTGCCTTGCCTGGGCGCATGGGATAAATATCTGCGTGGCGTGTGCTGTCAGGAGATTTGGAGGGCAGACTATACGAAGGCGCTGCGGGATGGGAAAAGTTACAGGATCGCGAGAGATATGAGAAGATTCTCATTGGCAGTGGAATATCATGCAAGGCAGAATCATCTAGAGAAATTTGTTAAAGACACAATCAAGTTTCACAGTGCAACCAAGAAAGAGCAAATATTTCTGAGTGTTTTTCATTGATTCTACGTTACTATTAGGAATCCTCTGCAGGTAAACTTGCATCTTAACACCTCATTCCTCTAACGATTTCCACCGCTACTTACAATATCTGTTGTGTAATATTCTAACAATCCTTCAACGGCGGCTCGGTTTCTGCAGATCCGCCCAAGCAGAATTGACCTGTTTTTTCACCTCGTTGTACGAGACGACAAACACGCTCTGCTCATCTCTGCTCGTCAATGTGATTTTCTCCTGACTCCCAGCATCGAGTTTATTTAAACATGCAAGGATATGTCCCATATCGACAACGGGTCTGCCTTCCGCATTGACTTGGTGGAAGACATAGTCTCTGAATAATTTCAGGACGTAACGCTCGCCATTCTCGCTCCAGTTGAGCTCGCCATCGTAGTCTGGACGCTCGTTAATGCTCCCGAGCTTCATGAGAAGCCTAACAATACGACCGTTCTCAACTTCACGGGCGAGCTCAGAATATAGTGTATCGTTCGCGTGAAGACTGCTGTCGAAGGCGTCGACGATGTGGTTAGAGATGCCGATCAGTAGCTCTACAACACTTTTGGTTGCTGGTGCTTGAGCTGGGGTGAGAAGCCATATGATTGTGTCCCGCAACTCCCCAGTGTAGGTCCTGGATAACTGGTCTACAAAACCCATCAGATTATGAGAAGCCATGACAGACAAGTTGTTGGTTGCGATTGATAGGATGAGCTTTCCGAAGTGGATGAAGTCCTCTTGCTGTAATTCAGCCAGTGGGCGTTGAGCATCAAATTGCACAACGTCCAGGACAGAGCACGCATTTAGTCGGATGCGGCCTTTTTCGGTAAGGATGACCTTGCTCGGATCAATGCAGCGAACTGCTAGATTAGCCGCGTGTACCGATTTGATAGCAGAAGAAATCTGCACAATGTAACTCCAAAGGACAGGCTCTGGAACTGCCTGAGAGATTCGGTTGCCAAAACGATTGGTGCTTGTAAAATGATGTTCAACCAAAGTCTTGGAAAGGGGGTGATAATTGGTGACAAACACCAGAGAGCTGTCTCCGAAGGCACGTGTAGTAAATGCATCGACGACAGAAACTACGCCGCCGCAATTAACTCTCCGCCAATCCTTGACAGAACGAATAGCTCTTTCGTTAGTCAATCGATAGCCTAAATAACATTAGCATCGGCTTTTATGTCATAGAAATCATTGCTTACCCTCAAGTCTGCGCAGGCAGTACATGTGGCCGTTCTTGATGGATGTGGCTTTGTAAATCCAGCTGGGGTATCCAAATACGGCAGCACTCTTGCGATGGCTTGTATCTAGAGCGACTAGACTATGATATGGGTCGACGGTTGGAAGTTGGGAGTCTAAAAATGTCAAAAAATCATTCATGTGGGGGAGAAAGGACATACTAGGCATGACTTGAAATGTAGCTTCTGCCTTCTTTTGCAACTCCTCACGGAGTGTCTCTGGCATGAAGAAATCATGTGCATGTCGTTGATAGGCCAAGATATCTTCTCTGTGTGGACCAATTGGCGCATACAAATGATATTGGAGCTGAACGATTAGCAGGAGTCAAATTTAGTGGCCCAAGGCACTTACAGGTTGGTTGGTTGTGATAAAGGGGGTCGGAGTCTGAAAATAACCAGCTCCATTGCTAGATATGTTGTTGCTTTCGTCGTAAGGGTTATAAGGAGTAGCTGTCGAAAGTGCCTGATTCACTCCGGTCATAGAGAAGGGATCATAAGCTGACTGTCCATCCGAAGCACCATCGGTGGCTAAGGCCTGAAACATTGTTAGAATAACCTATGCGGGGTGATATAAGATATACATTTACTGTGTCAGACAATTCGTAATTTTGCGGCGTAAATTCGCGAATTTGGGCAGGATTAAAGGTTGGTTGAGGTTCTGATTGCGGAGCAGGAGTCGTGGCACCACTGGCCAGACTTCGAGGTGTAAATGGAGCTGCATTGGCAGCTTGTGAAGAAATAGACGATGTCTTGCTCGGAACTGCGAGAGTTGAAGGTGTGAAGGAGGGCGAATCTACGTTGAGACTCTTTTTGAGCCTATTAATGTTAGTTTGTGGCCTAATTTTCTTAATCATTCCCTCATATTGGCTTTGTTGGAGACTTCCGCGAGCTAACTGATCTGGAATATCTTCGGCCACGAGTCTCAAGGAAGTCGTCCCTGTATTCAAGTCCATCGGTGGGGGGAAAGCGCATCTTCAGTAGGGAGGGACGAATCTTTTGGGGGGACCTGTCCACTTGGTTCTCTCCTTGGGATGCTCTTGATGCCATGAAATCGCTGCCATTGTCAACACCGCTTCTCTTGGGAGATTTGGATCTGCCGCGTGGATGTCCAATAGGACCTGTTGTGGTATTTTGTGTTGAAAGGGCAGGCTGGTTTCGTTAGGCATCTCCGGCCGGTACCGCTGAGGATATACCTTCTCGTATTGTAGTATCGCTACTGGCAATGAGCTCGTACGGGGGGGGAGGGCTGGGGGACCTGTTTCCTGGTGTATCTGGGTGTGCAGCTGCACCTGAGGGTCCAGAAATCGCACCTCTTCGCTGAATAGGCCTCGACTTGGGGGGCTTTGGGGTACAGGGCAAAAGCCGGGACAGAAAGCGGGAGCTGGAACTGGAGCTACTGCATGCGTTCGTATCGGACCTTTTGTCTTTACCAGGCATCGTATCGAGTGGCTGGAGTATGTTGTTGTTGGAGTTGTGAGGTTGTGGTAAAGGCATGAGCATGAGGTGATTCACAACTCGAGTCCAGCCTTGTCGCTAGCCTCGCCAGAAGTCTATCGGAGGAAGGAATAGAAGAGAATAGAACAGAAAATAAAACAGAACCAACTTACAATTCAGCTTGCCCAGATATACTCTTATTGGGATCATGATTGAAGGCACAGCCTTGATCCTCATACCGGCAATGGCCGTATATCAATACATTTCGGCACAGGGTATCCTTTGCATTTTCTAGTTACTTTGGTAAGCCCGTGTCTTTCTCTGCAGGCGGAATTATAATGGCAAGCGCGACGCACCTCGCCCCTTAGGTCTTGGGGAGCTAGCTGGCTTCCGCAGCTCTGGGGAGTTGAATCTTGCGGCTGCCATCGCGTCTCGTTTTCGGTAACTCTTAACTATCTGCCACACCCCGATGACACGTTACGGAGTCTGCATTGCAGTTAGCAGAGGTCAGAGCAAGAGTTTGGGTAGAAGGGATTGCAAGCTGGGAAGGCGCGAGTGGGTGGATGAGTGAGAGAGGGAAAGCAGTACCAGGCTTTGCGGATGGCTACCTACCTGATTCGAGCGAACATTTCTGAAGGTGCTACACAGTAAGGATCTCGCATCGAGAGACAGCGGGATCTTGGATCCCAACTACTCTATCACTATCTCGAGAAAAGAATTGCGGGATCACGGGTCCATTGCCTCACGTCTCGGTCGGTATACACATAGACAGAACCAATGTCTTTCTCGTCGCCCCGGCCTGCTGATGATGTGAAGTGCGAAAGACGCGGGGACCAACTGCTTGGTACGTACCGCGCACTTCAGCCTTTGCCCGGATCGCGATTACTGCACCCACCAGTACTAGTGAGAAACCCGGATGATCCTCGCAGAGCTCACCGATTGGTTGGATATCGAAGCTTGGGTCCTACACTTCTTTAGGTAAAGGCGTAGACCACATTTAATCATTGTTCACGGCCGGCAGAATAGATTGTAGGGCTGCGCTGCCTAATAAGTAAGAACAACTTCCTCCTCATCTTCACTTCGACAAGAAAACCTTCCTCAACTACCTTCTGTCGTTTCCGATGGGTGCATAGGTCTACAGATTGTCTCGGGACAAGCAAGACATCTTGCAGGATGGCGACACCAGAGACCAATATCAGCGAGCTCTCCGAGTCGCAACAACTGGCCTTGCAAACATACACCTCTGTTACAGATCAAGATGTGCAGGCAGCGATACCTCTACTCCAACGGTCACAATGGAATGTCGAGGTACGTCGAAGGCATTATATTATTGCAAACCTATATATGCTGACAAGTGTACTTATAGATAGCTATTACCAAATTCTTTGACGGCGAAGGACCAGACCCAGTTGCCGAAGCTCTAGCAGCACAGAATATTCCTCCTCCACAAGCCAGGAGACAAGAGAACCTACAGCAAAGCCTCCTCCGAGCTCCATCCGGGCGCAACTCTCCCAATAGACCTGACGCCGCTCCGCGAATCGTTCCTCAGTCGGCTGAGCAACTCGTCCCACGACCCTCCCTCATTCTCGCGATCCTATACAAACCCTTCCAACTTCTCTACAAACTCTTCTCTCTACCCCTCAACTTTCTAGCCTACCTATTCCCCTTCCTCCCACGCTTATTCCGCCGCGACACAACTTCCGGGACAGTAAGAAGGAGAGTAGACACCAGTGGCCGGAAACCACTCAATCCAGATGATGCCGAACTACGAGTCCAGCGTGAATTTACCGAAGAATACGGCGAGAATGAGCTTCCATGGTCCAACAAAGGCTACGCAGCATGTCTAGACCAAGCAAAGCGAGACTACGGCTTCCTCATAGTCATTCTCCTTTCCCCGGAACACGACGAAATCTCCAGCTTCTGCAGCGAAGTCCTCATGAACGCAGAAGTCACACAGTTTCTCCGCGACCCCGCAAACAGGATCACATTATGGGTCGGCGATGTGCGTGATTCGGAAGCATACCAGGTATCTACAGCTTTGAAGTGCAATAAATTCCCCTTCACGGCTCTGATATGTCAGACGCCCGAAGTAAGCAGCACAGCAATGTCCGTAGTAGCACGCTCAACCGGTCCCACAGACGCAAGAACCTACCTTGCGGGATTACGACCCAAGCACGCGGCACGCAGCGAGACGTTAGAGACATCACGCCAAGCACAAGTGTTCCAAAATGCTGAGCGAAATTTGAGGCAAGAGCAAGAATCCGCATACGAGAGAAGTTTGGCACAAGACCGGGAAAAGGCTCGATTAAAAAGGGAAGCAGAGGCCGCGGTTGCAGCTGCTGAGAAGGCTAAATTGCAAGAGGAACTTGACGCTGCGGATCTTGCCGCTAAAAAGGAGCAATGGCGAAGATGGCGAGCTTCGCAAATTAAAGCCGAGCCAAGTGTTGATGAAAAGGACCTTGTGAGGATCGCGCTCAAGATGCCGGAAGCTGCGCGTATTATGCGTCGGTTCGTGGCTTCGGACAGTATGGTGGATTTGTACGATTTCGTGGAGTGTTATGAATACTTGCAGGATAGCGAGAGTTCAGAAAAGGTCCCTGAGAAGCCAGAGAACTACGAGCATGAGTATCGATTCAGGCTTGTGAGCACGCTGCCTAGGGTCGTGTATGAGGCGGATTTGGCTGCTACTATTGGCGACAAGGTAGGCAGGAATGGCAATTTGATCGTTGAGCCGGTTGCAGAGGACGATGATGAAGAGTGAGGGGTACTTGGTAGATTGGATTTAAATCAAGGAAGCAAGGCGTTCAAGGTAGCATTGGGTCATGGGCACACATTGTTGAATTGATCCTCGTGTCCTTGTACAGAGTAATCTACGAAACAATATAAAGAAGTAAAACAATTAGAGTGCATTTTCATCATGAGAACCAGAATCCCAGCAATGGTCAGTCAATAACAATCAATGTAGGCTTTCCCTCAAGTGAGGCTAATAATTCCACTCCACTCCTAAAAAAAAAGGCACCAAATAATTGACTGGAAACAAGCATTATCCAGACACTGCACTCGCTTCATTTTATGATTTCATCATCTCATCTTTCTTTCATTCATTCTCATCTACCTTTTATTTTTACCCAAGCATCAATCATTTCAAGCATCCAACTTCAACCTCTCCAACAACCCATCTATCTTCCCCAGCAAAATCTGATAATTAATAGCATCAGCCGCGAACTCATCGCCCGCGATTTCCCCATCTAGTGTTTTTATCTCGCCGTTCATAAACGGGTCTGTCTCATTTATGTCTACGTTTACGTTTGTACTGGTAAGGATAACTTCATCGGTTTCGGTGTTTGGGTTTGGGTTTGTAGGGTCGTTAGTTTCGTTAGACTCGTTCATGATTTCTTCTAAGCCTGAGTCCTCGAAGCGGAGGCGGAAACGCTCGGATAGGTAGTACCGGATGCTATTTTTGGAAGTTGGGTTAGTGAGTTGATTTGATGGAGAGACGTTTAGGAAGGTGGAGGTGGAGGTGAAGGCGAGACATACTCGTCGAGTAATTCAATACTATCCGTCTCCTGCCTCTTCTCGATACGCGAGGCTGATTCCTGGATTAATTCTTCGAATTCCTCTTCATCGATGTACTGCTCGAGTCTATACGCTAGATAGCGCGCGCTGAATTCCTCGAGGCGCTGGATTTTTAGGAACCAGCCTGCACGTATCACATCATAAACATTTATCTTCTCCACTTCCACATCCGCATCCACTTCCACGTCTCTCTCCGCGGCTCCTACTCTTTCCACATTATTAACATCGGCATGAGGCAAGTTCATAGTACCGTGCCCGATGGTTGAAATCACAGTCGCGGCTTTCGTTTTCAGTTTCTCGAGGAATAACATATCAGCCGCAAAGAGCACATCTAGCGCTTCCTCAATAGGGATGTGGCAGTTTTCCGTATACAGGAAATCGAGCACGGTTTCTAGGACAGAGGGCGTGCATGCTACGGGGATGATTTGCAGATGCGGTGTGAGTTGGGCTTCTAGGAAGGAGGAGGTGAACATTGTTTGGAAATAATCGCAGCGGAGTAGCATTGCGCGGTGGACGGGAAAGAGGACGCTTTGCTTTTTAGGTGGTTGGCGGGAGCGTGAGGGTGAGCGTGTAGGGCCGATGGGTATGTTGTTTGTAGATGCTTTAGGGGTTTCGATTCCATGGGATAAGGCATCTTCGGAGGTGGTATCTTCGTCGGCGCGTAGTAAGACGTCGGCGAAAATACCGTTGTCTCTTGTCCATTTTACATCCTGCGCTTTACTGCTATCGATTTCAATTTTATGCCTCAGCACGTTCTCTCGATACCAAGTTTCGATCTGGGCTCGGCCTCTGGCAATTTCATCTTGGTGCCGTTGCCGCGCTATTCGTCGATCGCTGCCAGCTAGTATACCTTCCCATAACGATTCTATTTCGAGCTGTTTGGAGACTTTGTCGATGCCTTTGAAAACTTCTTCTTCTGTGACTTGACTCTTTGGGGTTAGGCCAAGGTCAGATGGCACATCCCCAAGGTAGAGATATCGCAGCGCGATTTGGAAGGCTTCGGGGGGTATGGTATTGGCTAGTTTCCAGAGGGTGGTTTCGGGGCTGTCGGCGAGCTTTTGAGAGAAATAGGGAGAGCGTGCTGAAAGGATGAATTTGTGTAGGTTCCATGTGGATGAGGAGGCTGTCAGACAAATGTCTGATGTTTTTGGTTCTTCTCTGGTGAGGAGGGAGGTTATATGAGCAGCGAATGGTTGAAGAGGATCAGTGCTTTTTGAATAGTCATATTGTAGAAGGAGGTTTCGAATTCTGTTATTCAAGGCATTGTAGAGGCAGCGTTCGCCTTGGAAGGTATCTCTTTCGCAGAGAGCTCCAGATTCGAGGAGAAGCCGTACAGTTTCGTAATGTCCGCAAAGTGAAGCCTGGTCGGGGTTTAGTGATTTGTAACAGAGGTAAATGAATTCTGCCACACACCAGGATCAGAGGAGTATAATCGAACGAATCCCTTGCATTTATATTGACTCCTGAAGCAATTGCTTCCTGGCAACCCTTCAAATCCCCTACTCGACAAGCATCACAAAGCCTCGAGAACTCAGGACTGACGTCAAGAGGGCTGTCGTCTCGCAAAACTCCATCGCGGATAAGTTCATGCTCATCTTTAAGCTGTACCTCCAGTTCGTCTTTCCGCAAAACCATTTTGAGCAAAATGGAGTAAGTCGCAGGCTTATATACAACAGAGCAGCCAGCAAATGAAGCCGAATTCGGTGTAACCAAAAGAGTGCCAATGCATGGCAGAATTATTTATATGTCGCTATCTGGCGATAAAGCAAAAGGCGGAGAACCGAATCCCTGCAATCGCCACCACACCGGCTTAGGTAAGTGGGAACAGGCATGGGGTTGTCGTTGCTGTAGCAAAGGCCGTAAACAGAAGGAACAGCGATGCGCGGACCAAACCACAAACTCTTGAACAATTCACGAAATACAATACAGTACCAAAGTCGACAAACAACAATTCGACAACATTCCCAGGATTCCACCCCATCCTATCGCACAAGCCAAATACTCTCGCTCATGGCATTGGCTGTCGCAAGTTTAACTAACGAATTATTATACACCCCCCAAGAACAATAGCTTTTGGAGTCATGTCGGAAGGAGAGAAGTACGAGGTGTTGGAGAAGATAGGTAAGTTGCATGCAGTACATGAATATACCTAGCCGTAACAAACACTAATAATGTAGGCCACGGGTCTTTTGGTATTATTAGAAAGGTGCGCAGAAAGCAAGATGGGCAAGTCCTCTGTCGCAAGGAAATCAACTACGTGAAGATGTCACAGAAGGAGAGGGAACAACTACACGCCGAGTTCGCTATACTGTCTTCACTGCGGCATCCAAACATCGTTGGATACTACCACCGAGAACATCTGAAATCTACCCAAGATCTGCATCTTTACATGGAATACTGTGGCAATGGGGACCTTGGGCGTGTTATTAAGGACCTTACAAGCAAGAGACAGTATGCAGAGGAGGGGTTCGTGTGGAGCATGTTCTCCCAATTAGTCACTGCGCTGTATCGTTGTCACTATGGTGTTGATCCTCCCGAGGTGGGCAGCAATGTTATGGGGCTGGGCAATACTGCGAGACCTCGACAACCCGCTGGTGGGGTTATGATTCTGCATCGTGACCTGAAGCCCGAAAATGGTGAGTACTCTCTGTGATCCGATGTATTTTCTCTAACGTTTGGAAGTCTTCCTGGGAGAAGATAACTCGGTCAAACTCGGTGACTTTGGTCTTTCCAAAATCATGCAATCCCATGATTTTGCCTCTACCTACGTCGGCACACCCTTCTACATGTCGCCAGAGATTTGCGCTGCAGAACGATACACCCTCAAATCAGATATCTGGTCCTTGGGATGCATCATCTACGAGCTCTGTTCACGGGAACCTCCCTTCAACGCCAAGTCGCATTTTCAACTTGTCCAAAAGATCAAAGAGGGCAAGGTCGCGCCATTACCTGCTGTTTACTCCCCCGAACTGAACGCCGTCATCAAAGACTGTCTCAAGATCAACCCTGATCGGAGACCTGACACTGCAGCACTGCTCAACCTTCCTGTAGTGAAACTAATGCGGAAGGAGAAGGAGGTAGTTGAGCTTGGACGAATCCTCAGAAACAAAGACGAACTTGCAAATCGCCGTCTACAAGAGGCCGAGGAGAGACTACGAAAAGTCGATGCTGATAAATCAAACATGCGTCAAGATATTGAGTCCTCCCTGCGGAGGGAATGGGAGGTTAAGGCCCAGCTGGAAATCAACCGCCTCGTCCAGATCGAAATAGAGAGATTACAGAGAAAATTTGACCAAGAAGTTCTGCAGAAGGTGGAGGTTGAAATGGAAAAGAGATCAAGTACCGAGAGTGCATCGTCTCTTAAGGACTTCTGTGGGTCGGGATCTTTACCTCAACATAATGATTTCCCACTGTCTTCTGTGGGCAGCGGAGACGCAGACTTCCCAGACTCAACGGACCTTACCGAACTATCCATTGATTCTCCGGAGCCAACAAAGGCTCTGAAGAAGAGCACACGCACTCCATTTAGCCGAGCTCAGACTATGTTTGCTGGCGGACCAGCCGGTACACCAATGGATATCGAAATGGCTGAGCCATCTCCAATATCAATTGCTTCGCTTTCTCTTTCGCCTCGGCGAAACGGTGGTACCAAAGCACCCAGTACAGGTCGCAACATATTCGCAGCAGCTGGTGCAGCTGAAACTCGTTGGCAACCAACACTCATCGACTCCGATGATTCGGATGGTGATGATCTCCCTCCAGTACCTTCTCCAACACGCCAAAAATCATCAAAGAATCCATTCAAATCAAACGGTGCCCGACCACCATTGATTTCTCAGAAGACTGCCCCAATCAACAAACCTTCACAGATGCACATCTTCGCTGCCGCAAAAGCTGCCACGAGCTCAGCTTTACCAACTCTATGCAGTGCCCCAGACCTTCGACCACAACCCAGCAACGGGGCTCTAAAAGAACGGAGCTCGTCCCCAAATCGGCGGCTCTCTAAAATCCCATCTTCAGCCCAACTGGTCTCACATGAAAACGTTCCACTGTCCCCAACACGTAAGAGCAGTCTTAAAAGCAAGAACTCCTATAGCGACGATCTTAACAAGGTTGCCACAAAGAACAACATGATTAAAGCAGGCAGCAGCGGTGGTAACCTCGCTCCTAAAGGCCGCACATTAGTTGAACTCGCTCAAGCTCGAGCAGGTGGCCGACCAGTGGGTGATGGGAATCTGAGCCCTGAACCCAAGGGTCGTGCCTTCGCTGCTCGAATGGCCGAAAAAGTAGGGTCTAGAGACCAGGAGCCACCGATTTGGGATCCGGAGAGAGACGATATGCCTAGTCCATTCTTGGTGAGGACTAAGGCGCCGAATCGGAGGTTTTGATGAATAAGTTGAGGTTGGATAAATGAACATGAATGAAGATAGTTATGGGAGGGATGAAGCAAGCAAGCATGCATGCACAAAATAGCATTTCCTTTGTACTGCATGAGATTGGTGGGAACGTGGCGTTTGTTGGGTATATGGGTACTTATCATTGATCGATGTACTTTACACTGGTGTCGGGTTGGAAACGTCTGACAGAATTGGTCAGCGGGGTCAGCATCTAGAGGCGGCCTTAATTGGATTACTCGTACCTGATATCCCCCCATCCCTTGACTTTTGAACATTCCCCTATAATGATATCTCAGAAACGATGCAGCGAGTGTTGCCCTAAAAATTGGAGGTTTAAACAAGGAATCACTCGTGTCATCCCGCTGCTTTCCTATTTCGCGCAAGGCTCAGAGCTCAGAAGCTACACAGAGTAAGTATTTAAACATTCCCCGCTCCTTCTCTCACTTTAAGAATCAAGGAGAAACAGACGCGCCATACTGTGCTCCCTGTCCCAAATCGCTTCAGTTCTGTTGACTTGAGTTCCGTCGTTATTTTTCGACATAACATGCATGTATGTATCTATTCGGCGCAATTCCTTTATTTCATTATGAACGAACGAACGAACGAAATAATAGATTCACAGCAAGAAGGATTTTGACAGCGGGTTTGAAAATAGATGGTGTGTACTTTTAGACAGTTATAGCAAAGAAGAAGAATGATTGGAGTAAAACTAGGTTGGAAGGCTAGGTGGTATTGGGGGATTGTAACCTTGAAGTCCTGCTTACTGTATTCTGTATTCCAGTCCGGGCTTGAATTTTTATGGTATTATCGACAATAACCTGATAAGAACATATATACTCTCGAGGTCGTTCCTGTCCCAGCCTTTTTGGGGTGGGGGTTTCCTTTTAGGGCAATGTTTAGCTTTGACCGCCCTGTTTTTTTTTTTTTTTTTTTAAAGATGTATAAATATCTTTCTCGTGCCACACATTAGTACGATATTGTAGTATTAAAATCTTTCAAATACGAAACATGAACAGATTCATGTAGATGCTTCACTCGGCACCTTTTGTCGGGATACAAGGGATCATGGACCTCTTCGCTTTGGTCACAATACCATGATCTTAACATCACAATACAAACCGCCAAGACCAGAGTCAAGTCTTCCCAATGCTTGATTGATAGTTCTTTTGGGGGGAGTTATGTTTTGCGGTATGTTCTTTAATCTGAAGTCAAGAATGACAGCAAATGTAGTCTTGACAGTAAACAATCGTTCCTTCTCTTCAAACCTGAGAACATATGTTGCCAGAGAATAGAGGAATTTGGGCCTCTTTCCATCGCATTACAAACGACTCAATTGTTGTGCTATCTTCGAGGAGGACGTCATTATCATCAAGATCCCGTTGCTTTTTTGGCGGCATCCTGTTTCTTCTTGTTATTATTGTTGTTATTATTACGAGGTGCATCTTTCGCCCAGAGATGTGTGATTCTGTGAATCCTGGCGGATGTATTCCAATGTTGTTTTTATACGCCTGGTGGTGGTGGTGGTTGAGCCTAATTTGCTTTATTGTGAACGCGAAGAATGAACGGGAGGTTGAGGGAGACTAGCGGGAGAATGGGATGGTATTTAAGATCTGCTTTTCTCTTCGCAAAAGTTCATGAGATATTTCCGATGTCGGGACCTTCTGCCAGTGGCAGCAAAGAGAAGCTGTTGGGCATTCTGGAATTTATATGGCTGTATAGTAGGTTGCTGCATGTAGTTGTTTTTATTGTCAAGTGCTGCTTTGCATTTCTTCGTCTTGGTATAAGTAGCAAGGTTGAGTTGGCAGTGACAATGGGAGAGGCCTTGACAGCAGGAAAGTTCTTGACAACAAACTCGTATTTCTAGGTTATTAGGAATGGGAATTCCAATTTTTAGGGCTCAACAAACGTTCCCAGTCTGGCTACAGGGTATGGCAAAATGTCCCCACTCACATGGCGCCGCGTTCAGACATTCGGCACGTTTGAATACTATGCATATATCATTTCTATGCGTACTTTCATTCTTCCCATATAATCAAAATCTATTTAAATCCTCAAAACAAAAAAGTGCTATTTTCTAAGTCGAGTGCCCTTCTGTAAATCTACCTTCTATCAGCGTGGAATTAGAGATGAAGTTTGGCCTATCTACATACACTACTCTCAAGATTTACAACAATGCTAGCAATCTGAGATTGACCCGTGAGAAATAATATTCTAGCCATACCTAACTTCAACCCCATCTCCGATTTAATCAAAAAAGTAAGAGATATTGCCAACAACCAGCACGTTTCATATACCAATCACATGGTTTGATCATTAGCTGTACAATCTACAACCAATGAGGTATCTACTATCACACCATTGCTCTCGAAGTGGAATATTTACAGAATCATATATTTGGTATTATTCGGGGGTTTATGTTCTTATCTTGTCACTCAATTTACCACATATGTAGATGCCACCCCACCTCTTGAAGTTATAATAAGTGAGCTCGCTAAAATTTGATGGCTCGGGCCGCCCCTATGGCTCCAAGAGCTTTAACGTCGACGGTGTGTACTCTGTAAATTTTGTAGCATTGCTGCGTGTACACGGTACCTGATTTCGATTTATAAGAGACCTGTTAGATTCTGGAACATAAATATCAGGATAACGAGGCAAGTGAAATATAATTCAAACATCTTGGTCACAGTATCTCCGAAGAACTTGGGATTCGAATATTAGTCATCTCCTTTACGGCTGACAGTTGCGAGAACTGCTAAAATCCCGGACGCCTGGAGCTTGGACGCCTATATACGTGACAGGGAGATCAATCACTCCTTTCATCCTCCGCGAAATACTCTGAAAGTATGGATAGACGTGTTCGCACTGGCTGCGTGACCTGTCGAAAAAGACGCATCAAATGCGACGAAGCAAAGCCTTTCTGCGCTCGCTGTCGATCTGCAAACTTTGTTTGTGAAGGTTACGCGACACCAAAGCAGGCTCCAGAAACAGCGCTCCTTTCCCACTCTAGCCCTGGACGTAAATCTCACTCTCTTCGTGAAAGGTCCTCATTCGGTGAGCTCTCATGGCGGCACACAAATTGGCGGCAGGAGCAATTACCCCTCTATCACCACTTTGTAACGACAACCGTTGTTAGACTCTTCAGGAGCGACCATGTCAACTTCTGGCGGGATCAAGTGGCGCAGATGTCGTTCGGCTTGGACATCGTCTATGAGGCTCTTTTAGCTATCGGGGCAATGCACAGGTCATCACTTCTCAGATGTCTGAATGAAAACGCCACAGAAGCTACTAGATTAAAAGTGCTCGGGCTCCGTGCCTATGGAGAGACTCTCCGATTGCTACCCAGTCATTTGGGTCGGAATACAGTGACGGAAATCTCTGCTATACTTGTCGTCCTAATGCTTCTCAGTTATTTCGAGGTATATAACGGAAATCTCTGCGAGACGAGACTTGCTAATTGTTATCTTTGAGTGTTTTATGGAGAATCCCAAGGGTACTTTTCGTCATTTATGGGCAGCAATACAGCTTCTTCGAACTTCAGAGAACCGCTTCTCCGATGCTGAAGTCTCGCACATACTACCAGTCTATGATGCCATGCTTCGTCTGGACTTCCTAGCGCAGAAGCTCGTGCCTTATGCGGGTTCGTCTTTCCTGAGATTCTCGAATGTAGCCAGTTTGGAAAGTCCATTTTGGAATAGAGTCTCACCTGAATTCTCGGATGATCACCATATAGATCCGATCGCTGTGGAGCGGTATTCGCTGATTCGACTTATTTGTGGCCATGATAGATTGAGCCGCATTATCTGGGGACTGTGGTAGGCTTATTCTCATAAAATACAATTTTCTTCCAAGGGAGCTAAGGAGCTGAAAACTGATTCCAGGAGCCTATATGCCGGCTCCTGAAGCTCTTTAGCTCTCCTCAGGCACCTGACTTTTGACCATACTAATCCGTCGGGGCAGGGTTCCAACCAGTGAAAGACCTACTCGTGATGAGCTAATGAGCTTTTATTCCGAGATGAAACTGTGGAGGGCAAACTCGCCGGCAACATTCGCGAGCTTTGATGGCCAAGAGAGCGCCAACTTAGACGCTACTCCTATGGAATCGCTTCCGATTCCTCCCTTCCCAGCTCATTTCTCCTCTACTGACGCAGCACTGAATGTTGTGATGTATAATGCTTACATGGGATGTGCCGTGGCAATGATCGGTACAAATGACCCGGACCCAGCTGCTCGAGAATTAGAAGCTTTCAAACTCATCTATGAGACCCTTCGTATTGCCGCGGGACTGATTGAAAAGCACAAAGAGAGTCTATACAAGCCATGTGATGCCATCAGTGTTGGAATCTCAACGTACCTCTTTCACAGTGCCCGTCGATGCTTCTCCTCGACCTGGCAGAAATGGACAATTGCTGCTCTTCGATCAATAGGCCGTGAAGGTCTATCCAACGGCTTCACTTTAGCGAACACCCTCGAAACGATGTGTGAACTTGAGGCTCGGATGCGTCACGATAACGTCACACGTTCGTGCAACATTGCAGCGAAGTCTCCGCTAGGCCCTATAAACAGCCGATTGATACCTCTTCTGCTACCTCATGAGGAAGGTTCCCAACTCTTGGCGTTCTACCTCCGGTACGGAAATATGGAAAACGATCGCGATGAGCAAGGCGTTCAAGTTGTGGCAAAGGCTACTTGGACTGAAGACATTAGCGGTACCGTCAAGTCAACAAAACTTGATATGTACGAATCAGCTGCTGCAGGAGATCTCGGCGCAACAAATAGACCTCAGGCGGTTGAACTTTTTCACTCCTGGCGCAATGAGGTCGAAAAGGGGTGGCATGGATATTTGACAAAAGAAGTCCAGGAGGGATTTCTCCAAAGAGAAGGTCTTCTAGATCCATGATATCTCACTCAAGGGATGGTGTGATCAGAAAATAGCCAAGCAAAGTATGGTTCAATATGATATGAAGTTCTATCGACACGAGTTACTCAACATTCAATCCCACCACAATCAAGCAGACGCCTTGATCATCTTCAACAACTCAACTGCAAGCGGCTTGGCACTCGCTGGGTTCTCTCCAGTGATCAGCTTCTTGGTGGAGCTAACAATAACCTTTGACTCCCATGGGGCGCCAGCCTTCTCATAGTTCCCACCGCTTGACTTTTCAAGGGCATCTTCCAAATGGTATGGCACCGGAATCTCTTCGAAGTTGCTGTTGAATGACGCAACCTCCTCGTTACTGAATCCGGTGACCTTTTCTCCATCAATGAGATAAGAACCATCATCGAGCTTGACGTGCGCAAGGGCGATGGAACCGTGGCAGACAGTCGCTACGATGAGACCGGAATCATAAAACTCGCGAATGAGTTTGATGGAAGTGGCATCTTCGGCAATGTCCCACATGGCTTTTTATCATCAGATAGGGCTCAACTCTTGAGGTGATTAAACTTACGTCCGAAGCCACCGACGTAGAGGATAGCAGCGAATTCCTTGGCTCTGCCAACATATTTCTCTAGCTTTTCGGTCTCGGTCCAGGTCTTTTGCTTGGTGTTGAGGAACTCAATACTGTATGCGTCGTCCTTGTACAACTGGATGGAGGTTGGATCAACGATGGTTGCTCCACCTTTTGGTGACACGGTGACCAGCTCAGTCTCGGGAGCCAAGACTTCGTAAGGGTGTGCAAATTCGGGCTATAGCTCAGGTCAGAAGATGAATCGAATAGGAGATCAAGGATCATACCAAGTACCATCCGGTTGCGTGGGAGGACAGGACAGTGAGAACCTTTGGCTTTCCCATTTTGCTGGATAAGATAATGGTGATGTTAGAGTAAGAAGGTAGATTGGAGGATTGAAGAATAGCTGAGAAGATGTATTTGATTTGTTTTGGATGCTGAGATGTTACTTTGAAGTGGTGCGAATGGACTATATATACCGAAACGCTCAAGGCCTCTTGATAATTACCAACATGGTCGCCGACCATTAATAGGTCAAATTACGAACCCATCGGAGGTCGTGGGTGACCATATAGAAAATTTCGGAGTCTATCTACATTGTTTCGTTTCCATTCGCATTTACCAGCGGCTCCCGCTTCTGATGCTTCACGATGAATGGTTGACCTTGTCTTCGGGCGTAGTATCCCGGCAGTAGGATGAGTAATGTTTTACGTATGTAGAAAGTGTGCAGCCATCGCGCCTAGTTTGACCTAATATGAGGACGGCAGATCGAGGTAAACACAGAGGAACATTCTCTAGGGGACAAATATGATTGGCCAGCTGCATCCAATATGCCTTATATTATAATCTTACCCCTGACAGTAGACTCGCTTGGCTCGCTACAACTACTGCAGTGGCATATTTGGGGGCTGGGTCCGGGCCCTTGGAGGGGTGAAATAATCGCCTATTTCCGAAATCCGAATACTTAACGCCTAAACGTCCCCGGACTTCCGTAAGGCTTACGGAGGTAGGGTTTAGACTTATAATTGAGTTGCAGCTTCTCGATAGCTATATTAAAATCGGTGTTTAAATTCTATATAAATGGAATAAATCTTGAATCTAAAATTCGAAATTTGAGCGTTCCGATACATGTACGTATAGTCCCTGGCTATTCTCGCTTCTCATTCGTGCTTGCTACAGCTGCAACGGGATGAATAACAAGATCACATCAAAATTGATCAAATCCTGCGGGGTTTTACGATGATAAATTGACAATTATACTTCCGAACGGACTCAATTCCCCAGGCCAGGTCCAGCTTCCGAGAGACATGCAACTTCATTAGTCATGTGCGACTAAACTTTTTTTTTTTCTCCTTCTGCCGCCTACTTACTACGAAGGGTATTATCAACAAATTTCCATGTTTCTATATTGATTAATTGCCTTACTAGACTTATTGCATAGACTGCGGCTCAAGGAAAATGATCTTTTTTTTATATAGAAAGTAATTCTTGGCTGTCTGATCTCCAAACAAGACCTAAATGATCATGTCCAAGGATCTACCTATTCAACCTATTCATACCTTGCCCTATGGCGTATTGATAATCCTGTGTCATGCAGATGAACTCAAATACCTTGAACTAATAAACCTCGTGATACGATGTGCTGCACATAAAAGGACCTAGGGGAAAGATAATTTACGTAGTAGGTGTCGTGTACGAATGTGTTGGCCTGAGCGCTTAGCATGGCAAACGATAGCCTTTGCCTTTTGCCTTCCTGGTTAGTTTTCCTGTATTCATAAGGTGGGACACCTTTCCAATTGCGTATTGCTTATTCGCATGATTGTAAGTGCTTAGTGGAATATTTGGAATTTATCTCCAAATGTAAACGAATCGGCTTTGAGATGGGGGGGGGGGGAGTTTATAGGCTCGTGTCTATATGAAGATCTAGACACTTTCTTAGTCGCAGCCTTAAAGTTCTATTATGTCAAGACCGTCTTCAGAGTCAAGAAATAATTGAATTGATTTCTCGAGTTTGAAAATTTTATAGGAGTACAGTATTAGCAACTTGACTTGACGAAAGGGGCTTAAGCGAGTAGTGATATATATCTTCCCCTTCACTTTTACATCATATTCTCCGCAAACCCAAAACCCTAGGTAGATCTCGCTGAGTATATAATAACTCAAATCGTTTTATCAACCGACTGTGCTTTTGTTTCAGCATTCTCCTACACAGTTTCGTCGATTAAGATCTTGTCGTGTCTGAGATTATGGGTTGTGTTGATAAAAGCTAAGGAAGAATTGCTACGCAAACCGCCGTTTAAGTGAAGGGAGTAAATCCAAGATAGATGAAGAGCAAGATAAGGGAAAGAGCGTTGCTGTGAATAATATGAAATAGCGCCCAATGTGTTAGTAGATATTAATGTTTCTGCAGCGGGTGAAATCGATGAGTGTCGCGTTTGGCGTCCTGGATATCTTGAGCCAAGAAGATAAAACCGGGGGATTTGTAGCAGGAATCTGTACGCTTATTAGCTTTTGTTTGGTCTGGGATGTACGATGATGTCCACAGGACGGATTTCACTATATACGTCGTGCTGTCTCCGAGCTCTCCTTGTGTTGCCGTTTCCCATAGGCTGCTGGCTCCAATAACTGTTTACAAGTTGTTCGCATTGTCGGTGATGCTATTCTTGTTGTTATGTGACCTTGGGAAAGGCTCAAGGGTAGGGCTCAGTTTCCATTACAGGGCCGGTATCATGTCCGTGTCCATAATAGGAATGTTTCACGTTTTGAGGCGACTGTTACCTAGATAGAAGGACTCCAGCGATAGAACCAAAGGGTACAATGCTTGCTCTGTACGGCTAGAGGATATCGGCCCCTGAGTTTAGTGTTTTTATTGCCATTCAAACTTCTCCTTAACCAATTCCTCGGACAACGCCCACAACTTCTCCGCCTCCTCACTTGACACCGTCCTCGGATTACCACCATCATTAATCTGACAATCCGCCAAAAAGGTCCCATAGTTCTCCTTCCCACCCCTCACCTCACCAGCCCCCAACTTCGGATCCAGCGCAGCAACGAGACTAGTCGCCGCTCCCGCTCCGGTCGTCCTAAACTGATAAAGTCCTGTTTTCATCAAATCATCGAGGGCGTTGAGTGTCTCTGTACCCATGTTCCTTGTCAGCTCTGTCTGTATGACTCCGGGGTGGACTGCTAAGCTCAAGACCCCATGTCCATGCAGTCTCTTGGTGGTTGCAATTGCAAAAAGCACATTGGCGATCTTGCTTTGGTTGTACCCCTCCAGAGGTAGATAGCTCTTTTCTTCCAAATCACCCGTTGCTCCCCAAGCGCGGTGGATTTCGTACAAGGGCTGTTCTTCCAAAGGGAGATCTTTATTCGGCTTGGAGAAGTGGATGTCGCTCCACCGAATCCCTTGTGCCAACATGAGGGACGCCGAGCTGACATTAACGACGCGCGCTCCTTTAGCTTTGAGGAGTTTGGGCACAAGCAAACAGGTTAGGAGGAAGTGACCGATGTGGTTAGTTGCGAAATGCATCTCGATGTCGTCTTCACTTAACGTTCGTTCAGGCAAGTGCATTATGCCGGCATTATTGACGATAATATCAATACTGGGAACATCAGACGAGGAAATTACCTCGGCTGCAGCAGCCCGCACGGATTTTTGGCTCGAGAAGTCGACTTTGAGGGGCCGGTAGTCTACGCTAGGGAATTGGGCATGGAGGGCGGAGATGCTTTCTTTGAGCTTGGATTCGTTGCGGCCGGCAATGATGATGTGGGCTGGGGACTGGGAGGCCTAGAGTATGCAATTGGTATACGGAGTATGTAGGACTTGGGTAAGAGGGAGTGTTACTTACAAAAGCTTCCGCCGTCGTATATCCAATCCCTCCCCGGTTAACGCCCGTAACGAGAATAGTTTTACCACGAATCCGTTCCGCGAATGCACTTGCAACTTCTAAAGCTTCAGTCTTATCGTTGAACTCGGGATGAGTTGTGGCTGTCATTTTGTCGATGTTTGGGGTTGGATATAGTAGTGCAAGTGAGTATATTGCTTTCTAAGGCGAACTGCGGTTTATAAAGAATGAGTGACAACTATTAGCTTTACTTGGATAGCGGCTCTTAAATATACATATATATTCAATGAACACTTTCACTCATATAGAACGGATTTAGGACATATGTGACAGACTAGAACTCCCTTAAACCCGGCAAAACCAAAAACTCCCTTACAAATCCACAAATTACCAAGAGACCACCCCATGGGGAATGGATTTAGTGGAGTTAACGGAGATCCTCTGTCATCTCCTAATTGCCTATTCGTCGAAGGACCTGACTGTATAATTCAACTTGTTACCTTATACTGTAAACCAATCTGCACCTTTCGACTCAAAACGGTAATAATATATTCATTGCAAATGGTTAGGAGTCAGCGCTATAGGTCCACTATAGTTGTAGTACTCCGGAGTAAGTCCTCGCTAATAAGTAGTATAACCCCTTAAATTGTAGTAGCTTCTAGCAGCGCACTATACTTCCTAATGAGAACTTGTATCCGAACTAAAACAAGTAGCTCGTATAGTGTTTTTGTGTTCTCATTCATAAAAAGTCGCTGAGAGTATGGGATCAAAAAGAGAAGGAATAGCCTTGCATTCTGTTTTCCCTCCCCTCTCTACCTTCTCATTCTATATAGCACCCCAACGAAAGCAGCCCCCACCGAAGAGGAAGGAACTAGTCAGATCCCTTTTTCTCTCAGATTATACTCCATTTAGTATTTCATCTGTTGATTATCCGCTTTCATCATCTAAAGCAAGCTCCTTTGCCTACTCCTACGTCCCGTAAATAGCGACCTAGAGAGGATAAACTGCGTGCTATATTTCTCTCCCGCCCTTTGAACTTTACCTCCAACTAGTTCGTCCACGCTTTCCCAGCGGTGTCTAAAAATGAAGCCTGATCTGAATCCACCTTAACAAACCCCGACCGCTTTCCTTGGAACATATTTGAGTGCTGAAAATATGGACTGCTAGATTGCCAATGCCTCCAGCTTTTCAATCCTGAATTTCGGCCGCCAACCCAGAAAAGTATTCCTATCATGAAACTTTCAACTCATGGGTTAGGGTCAGTGTCCCCCACGTCTCTCGGCAGCACATTCTTCCCCCTCCTCCGCCTCAAAAGACCCACTAACTTTTCTTTCATAGACATCTCCGTTTCCGCTGCCATAAAACTGCTTGCATCTGATCTCCCACTTCCACTTCCACCTTCACTTCCACTTGCATCCCCAATCTTCGAGTCCCGAGCTTTGCCAATCATGACCCTGTTTTGTCTCGCACGCCATATTGTCCAGGAGAGAACGATGATCATGGTGATTAGAGTTATGGGGCCGGTGACGGCCCAGTAGAACCAGTAGTGGGGCGTTGTGACTTGGTCGAGGGTTGGAGCTTGCCAGTTGAAGAGGGGCATTGCGAAGAACGTCTGTGGGGTACTCTAGTGTGTGAAAAAGAAACGGTAGGGTGGGGAAAGCTCACCGCAATGAAAGTCCCAGGCAGGAAGAGTGTGGTCAGAAAGGCGATGATTTTCATAGCAGAGCTGTCCTGTTTGCTGGCCGCGGCAAGCTCTCTGGAATCTTTGGCGAGGCCGATGTTGACGTTAGTGTCCGCCTGGGCAATAAGGTTGAATAGCTATAAGAACGACGTATCAGCATCTGGCATTGATGTATGGTCGGTGAGGTGCATGCGTACCGCGGTCTGCTGAGACTGCAGGCGTGTAGCCATGTTTCCAAACACAATTTCATGCTCGATGTAACTTAGTATATACTCTAACCGATCACTTAATCTCAGCGACTGCGCTCGTAACATGTGCTGGCAATCATCAGGCAGATCTGTATCCAAACGTTTGAGGTTCTTCAAGTAAGACTGGATATCCAGCTTGGCCACCATGACACCCCATTGGCACAACAAGTATCTTGAATGTAACCTGCCTAAGTCCTTTACAAGCTCATTGTAGTGTCCGACTTTCAGCTGTTCATCACCAAACCATGGTGTGATACCAAAATATCTCTCTATGGCAAGCAGGTCTATGCTGCATCTATCGAGATCAATCGATATACGTTCAAGGCTCAGTTCCATAAGCGAGATAGGGATTAGGAGAGGATGAGGACAGGCAAGGAATTGATGATGTAGATCATTGACAACGTCATGAGCACGGCCATTTGTGAAAGTGGTAAGAATATAGCCTTTGGTAATATTGGTAGAGGGGTCGTAACGAAGGACCGATGACGTGAAGTCACCACTTGCTGGCTTTCTAGTAACAAATACTTAGTCAAGCATTAGCTTGGTTCTTGCATCTGAGATTTAACGCTTACTAAAGCTTCGATCATATTTAAGGAACATACCACAGCCACCAGCTCGCTCTGATTGAAGATGCAGTTCCACCGGAGGAAGATCAAAGGTCTTGGTTATTACTTCGAAGGTCTCACTCTTCATTGGTATAATATCAGATCCTGGGTGATCCATCTGGAGAATTTGGTACCCCCCACAAGGCTGCGTCCGATCATTCAACGGGGACAGTGCACCCAACCAAGCCTGCAACCCAGATTCCTCAAGCCTGGTATTGGTGATTACTGGATCAAGGTGAGGTGGACCGTACTGGTAGCAAGAAAGGCCACGGATTTCCCCATTAACAGGCACGAATACAGGATCCTCCTGGCATGTTGACCAAGCCCACAACGAGCCTTGTTCTTGGCAGGATGAAGTAGGACAGCCAGGTGGGGTTCGAGGCTGTCGCTGAGCTTGATCCGCAGCCTCATCATCTGACTGGACGCTGGTGCCGTGAGTTGAGTCTGGCATAGGGAAGAGTGGATGATAACAGAAATATTTGGTCTGACTCGAGGCAACGGGAGGACGTACAAGCATCGAAAGAAAGAAAAGACAGCAGGAAAGAAGCCAAATATATAAAGGTGGGCCATGTAAGGCAGGCACAATGTGGGCTGTGCCCCTGGGTTACACAACACCGAGGCTATGCTAGAAGCAACAAATTAACCGGTGTCAACGTCGTCTAGAAACGTGTGGCCTTCAAAAACGAAGACAAGGTTGTTATTTCAGGGATTAATACAATACAGCAACTATGTCGCTAATAATATCTTAGCTCCCCTTCTGTCTATACGTTCATTCTTACCCAGTAGGCAAGAATACTCTACACCCACGGCTATTAATTTAAATAATACATACTGTACCTACCTCCATATCACCAACTGTTATTCCAACGAACCCAGACAACTATGTGACCGGCGCTTGAGTATAGTATAGTACTTTTGGACACCTCTTGTCTCCTAGAACCGAGCCACTTGAAACTCCTAGAATCCGACGACCAGCTCGCCCAGCCACCCGCATAACTCTTTGCTCTACGCTAGGATATGCATACATACACATATATACTCGAGTATATATAAGCACCCGGAATAAAAGAAAACAAAACAAAACAAATAGAAAAAGACAAGAGAGGACGGTCTACTTGCACTTGCAAGCCCCACCCCCTCCCCGCCCCTCTTAAGTTTCCCGAACTTTCACAGCACAAGCACAGCACAGCGAAAGAAGATGAAAAAAGAACCGGAAATAGATAGATACTTATATCATGTCCTATCATATGATATAATATCAAACCTTCATTCATTCATTTTTCTATCACCTTTCCCTTACTTCACTTGACGCAATACCTATAAATCACTCCACTCCATCCTAGCTATCCATCCATCCATCCAATCAATTACCTAAATTTCACCGCTCCACTTCAACTTCCACATCCACATCCGTTCCGTATGTAACCCCCTATCACCTCCCATCTATCTTATGCCTTGCCCTACCCTTCAAACAGAAATTTGGTATCTACTTCCCTCACTTCACCTCCAAATACCACCACACCAGTCGAAAATGAGCATCCCCGTAAAGAGATCTCGGCCGTCTCCATCTTTCAAGGTTCATTTTGTGCATTTACTTAAACCTGCTAGTGCACCTTCCCATAACCTCACCTTGACAAACAAGCTCGGCGTTAAACTCAGACCCATCAAGCGTGAGGTAGATGTCAAAGTAAACACGGTAGAAAGTTCCTTGCGGGGTATCCATGCGCTCAAAGTCTTTTTCTAGGTTTTTGCGCGAGAGGTCTGAGGTAAGGGTTACGACTTCTTTGACACCTGCAGATAGATTTTGTTAGTATGATTAGAAGAATAAATGGTGGGATATGGGGGAGTGAAGACTTACGAGGATCCTTAGTATACTCTGGACAAACATCATCGTCGCATGCGTATAGAATATCCTCATACATCAGCGTAGCACCCGGCGCAACCTGTCTGAAAAACGACACCTTGACTGGCTCTCCAATCTTAACTCTCTGCCCCTTCTGCACAAAGATCTGGCGCGTGAATTTGCACCTATCCTTTCCATCCAATGAAGGAACACGGTATGCTTCTGGGTGATGACCTTCCTTGAAAGGTTGGAGAGTAGCCATAAGGTAGTGGCGACGTGCTACACGGGATGTAACGACTCGCTCTGTGATACCAGCGGTAACGGCACCCTTGACGATAGCAGCGACAGAGTCCATGGGTCTGACGACCTTGGCTTGGAATTGCGGAGGCACGTGGAGCTTGATTTGCTGGAAGAGGTACTCTGAGGCGCCGAATCCGCCAACGACAAGCACATTCTGTAATGTCCGATTTTGAGCTTGGATGGCGATGATTTGATTCCGGACCAATTCCAAGATTCGGTTGACTACGGGTTCAAAACATTGCAGGATTTCCTCATTGGTAAATGTCATATATCCTTCTTCGATACCAGCTTCTGGGAATTCTGCCTCGATGCCTACGTCAACAGCCCATTTTTGGTTGTTGTTTCGGAAATCGGCCTTGATTCTGTTCTCGAAGTCCATGATACACTTGGCGTAGACTCTGCCTGCTGTCTTGGATCCATCTGGTAATTTCATCTTTCGGATCTTCGTTCGGAGGATGTTGGAGAAATTTCGGTTCAGGGCTGTTGATCCGCAAGAGTCTCCAGATCCAGCTGTACATTCGGAAACAGTAAAGGGTGACTCTTCTTCAACCTCGTATGCAATCAAATCCACAGTCCCCCCACCACAATCAACGATCAGCACGGCGTCATGTACCTTTAGATTCAACAGACCAGCTTTTGAACAAAAGAGCGCGGCTGCTTCCGGTTCTGTAATCAGGGTGAGTCTGTTATCGTTCTCATCACGTAAGAACCCAGCTTGGATGGCAGCAGCACGGGTTGCGGCCTTTCCAGCATCGTTCCAAATGGCAGGCACTGTAAGATAGTACCGGATATTCCGCTCTTCTCTGTTGAACACCTCTCCCAACGTCTTTTGCAATTGGTTTCGCATCGCTTGTCGAAGTTTGAATAGGTAGTCTGCCGCCACGTCGATCTCTGACTTTCCGGGAGGAAGGGGGGGGAGGTTGATAGGGTCGATGTATGTGTTCCCAGAAAGCATGAGCTGCAACTTGAACCACTCGACCTTTTGCACACCTGGCTTGGGGTATCCAGTTGGTGCCAAAGCATCGGCGATATCAGGGCCCCATCCCACAACCTTCTGGTATTGATCGTAGTATAATACTGTAGGAATCTACCACTGTCAGCGCAATCTCATAGACCATGGTCGTGTCGGGTCGCATACCTTTTGCTTTGTGTAGGATCCTGCACCCGGCCATTCTGTAATGATATCTTCCTTTGCTTCTGTGTTCGTAGCAAATGCAAAAGCGACACCAGAAAAGGTGGTTCCCTAGAAATGATTAGAAGTGACCCTTATCGCTGTCGCGGGCGGGGTAATTGTTGACTTACAAAGTCGATACCAACAATCAGTTGCGCCTTACTCCGGCCAGCTCCTTCGACCTCGACGGCACCTCTGTTCGCATATTGTGCAGCCGCCATGCTGTTTCCCACTGGCGCACCTGGCGCACCGTATTGAGGAGGGCCGTATTGCGGTGGTCCGCCTGCTGGTGGTGGTGCACCCATTTGGCCTTGCGCTGGGTGTCCAGGAGGATATCCTGAAGAAACTGTGTTTATCGGAGGAGGGCCGCCGACCATCTGTGTGGGAGGCGTGCGAGGAAGACCTGTGGTTAAAGGGCTCTGAGTGCGACCGACGGCAGCTGGTGCAGGTGAATACTGATTTGTATAGCTCGGCGGTCGCCCACCAGCGCCTGGATGATTCATAGGGAGACTTGTAGTCGAGGACGAGGCTGTTGAGGGTGTAGGAGCGCCGGCAAGATTGGGATTATTGGGGATGGGTCTGCCAGGAAGCAGCTGGGGTTGCGAGGTGGGGTTCTGGACCTGTTGTTGTGCGAGTGTCGGGACGACTGCACTCGATTTGCGTTTGGAGCCGAATCCAAGGCCTTTGAAGCGGGAGTTCATAGAATTCATAGAACTCACGGAGGGGGGGGGATGCGAGGGGATAAAGGCGGCGGAGGGGCTGGAGATGTAGTAATCCAAGCCAAAAATATGCGTGAGACGCACCCAAGGAGGAACTGGGCTGGTTTTAGGGATGGGGGTGCTGGGGTGTGGAAGGAAATGCGGCGTCGCCTCTCTCAATCTCTCACTCTCTCTCACTCTGTCCTGTCAGCCAACGTCCAACGCAGAACGCTAGCGATAGTTTGGTCGGGCTGAGATAATTCACAGGACCTCACAAGCAAGTGAAGTTACCTGTAGGACCTTTTTCCTTTTGGCAGTGACTGGGTACAATGGAGAGCTGCTTTTGCCGGCCCGTACCTACTACCTGTACCCTTGAACGAGGGTGGAGCGGAGGGGAGAAATGGAAGGATCCAAGAACTAGGAACATCAAAGCTGCAGGGACGCGGACAATGGAATGGATTGCTAGGCTGCTGGAAGGAAGGAAGGAAGGCGGGAAGTAGTGTATACTGCTGTGTAAGAATAATAAAGTACCGAGTGATGTTGATACGGTATACGGCAGGTACACTCAATCCAGGGTTGGGGCAAAAGATCTGTGCTGTACGAGGGCAATAAAGTGTGCAGTGAGTGAATGCAGCCAGTCCTGATTTTCTGCACACAAAAGAGAAGTTTGTTTGTGTGGTTGGCCTTTGATTTGGTTGGGGTTGATGCGATGTGAAGGAAAGCTGAAAGACAGACTCGGAACCCTTCCCTCTTTGTTCCAGATCTGCTTTGACTTTGGATTGCAACATACGCCACACGAGACACACTCAACAATATGAAATGAAATTACTATAGTATGTAACGTCAATTACGAGACGAGTATCGAGAGTCTTTTTAACAACAATCAAATGCTTCTATTCCTTCATACTGTGGCTGTGGAACACCAGCTCAGCCTCACCTCCCCTCGACAATGACTAAATATCCCAGCCTTGGCCCCGCCATCAGGCTCCGCTCGTTCCCCTCAGAGGAAAGTCTGCCTTGTACATTTATCCAATTCATGCTCTACCTACCTACCCGAGGTCATCGTGAAGATATAGCAAGGACTACCTAGGTCGCGGCATCCATTGACGTCCATTCTCAGGACTTTGCTTTTCACTTTTGCGAGTCCTGAAAAGTTCTGTTGTTAGCTTTCTTTCAGCCCCCAAAAATAGGTTGCCTTGATTGGATTGGATACGGGATCGGATCGGGGATTGTCTTGGTCCTGCTTATATCACGGGACTTGGGGGTTTCGATTCGAGTCCAGAATCCAGGCTCTAGATTCGCTACTTCGTACTGTACACATGGAAAGCTTCTACTTCCATGGCTTGCATTTTGTGATCTACGAGTCAGCGCTGAATATCACCTGCCTTTGGCTTGCAGACTGTGGTGATCACGTGACTATAATCACTCCGTGGAGTATACGGTACACTTCCAAAGCTACTGAAGTGAGTTGAAGAGGGGCTCAGGGGTACGAGGGTACTGTACTCGTAAGGGGTATCAGGTAAAACCACACTTTACATTACGATATCCAATTCAACACGATGTTCGTATATTTACAGAAGTAACGGCTGAGGTATAAGCTCAGATTTCAGGCTGCTTGGAGCTGGCAAATCCAATGGTATCTATTGGAAAGTCCCATCTCCTTATTCTTTGGGGTATAATTGCAACTAATCTCAAGTTTCGTTATCAAACTAACCTCGAATGCCATATCAAAGCTCTTCCTTCAACGCAATGTGACATTGCTATATACACCTGGTACCCAGTTTGCATCACAGCGAGTAGGCTCTCTAATTTATTAGCCTTTTCGAATTCCGAGTCATCCTCTTCGAGATGTGACAATCTGATACCAGTTCGGCTATGGAACTAGCTGTTATAAAGCATCTTCGCCGAAGAGAAGTACAATACACTGTACATTTATCAGTGGAGCGTGTGAAGCTTTAAAGCTTGTCTCTCCAACTTCCACCATAATATATAGTTTAGAGTTTGCGCCAGAAACGAATTCAAATCATTCTTTGAAGAAGCCGTATTCTCATAACCCAGGTCAAACCCCTCGCAGTGATCATAATATTAGCAATAACATTCACATCTAAGGGTTTGGAGAACAATAGTTCAGTATCTGAAGATTTTATTTCAGTTGCTATTTCGATTGCCGCTACCAAACTATTTTCGCGCCGATACCAATTACCGCCATCGTTAATTCGCCATCAATTCATAATCCCAAACCCACCATATCATATCCTACAGTCTTCCCAGATCACATTCCAGGATTTCCCAACGATACATTCCAAAACCATCTAGCTGACCTTCTTGTTGGTAGTGACCGCACGTCCCTGACTACGCTGATAATAAGTATACCCAGCGAAACCAGCAACAAGAACACCAATAACGACAATGTTGCCTATTGAACAATCGCCATTAGAATCGCTGCATAAGACTTGACAGGGCAGGGTATTAAATGTAGATATGTATGTACTTACTCAAAAAGAACTTCACCAAACCCTCAAATGTGTGTGCGAGACCCGAGATCGTGGTTCCGACGGCCGATAACGCGGTTTGTATGACACCGAGGATGGCATTGAAGATTGATTGGAAGACGGCGACGATGGAACCGAGAACGGCGGTGATGGCGTGGAAGATGGAGGAGATGAAGTTTCCGAGGGACTCGACGAGGGAAGGCATTTTGTATCTGGTTTGGATGAGACTAGGAGATTGTTAGGTGGTGAAGCTGGCAGAAAGGTTGAAGGGAGGTAAGGTACCTAGGTACTTTTATGAATGTAGAGGTGGTTGGTTGCTTTTGGAAGTTTGGTTGAACTGTACTGTAGAATCCAAGATACAAAAAGCAAGCGCGAGGAGGGTGTGGCGTGAGGTTTATACTAGATTTCAGGATCAAGATATGTGGCGCAAAGATGACTTCACTCCCAAACAATGGCAGGCAGCGTCTTTCTTTGTCCTATCAAAATGTTGTTGTACCCTGCATTTGTAGTTGCGTCATGACAGCGGGAATGGGGGACCCTGATTTTGGTGGTTGCCTTGCCACAAACTGGTTCTTCGGCTTATTCCGCTGCCAGCCATGCATTTCTTACATCTACTTCTTACTTGTCCATGTTTTGGAGAAGGAGGGGGAGGCTGGAAAAGTAGCTACGTCAGTCAGTATTGGTAGTACGGATACGGAGCAATGTGGTGTGGCTCTCGAACGACAAGGCCCCCCCTGCAAATGCGGGGTGCCAAGCAACGGATAAAGTCTTGGCGACTTATAATTTCAAACTCTGTAAATTGCTTCATTTCTACTTTTCCGAGAATCCGTTTGTCAATAGGTACCTTTCTGTTCCATTTGAGGCTTTTATAATCGCTGGATTGGTGCTGGATTATCCGCCAAATCACGTACCTACCTAGTTTCATCCGTTCGGGAGCTAGCTGCCTTGACCGGGTTAACGTGCTAGTTATATTCATCCATACCTTACTAGGGGCACTCATCATTCCCTCATGTTCTTATACCTTCATTTATCTCGGATTTAACACCTACTCTTTACCACTAAGACTAAGATAGATACCTGAAGCCCTCCAAAGCGGCAAAGTCCCCTTAAACTAGGCGCATTCATGTTTCGACAAACAGGCCTAAAATTACCTTAGGCTGAGTGAGCATATCGAGAGAAAGAAACGGTCTCAAACTCTCACTCCACACCAAAGAAAAGGCCATGCCGCCCAAGAAACCAGCCTCCACAAAGATGCCAAAGAATTGGCCTCCAGAAATCCTCTACCTCACAGCTCCAGCATACTCCAAGACCCTCTCATCACACCATCTCACGTCCCTCAAATCCCCACCTAAAGACCTTCTTCTTCTCCCCATCCCACCCTCTACACCTAGAGGCCCCAGCCCCCTTGTCAAAATAACACCCATAACAACGCCCTCCCACCCCGCATGCGGCCAAAACGGACTCTTCGCAGCCAGCGACCTCAAGCCCGGCCAATTCATCCTCCAATACCTAGGTATCATCCACGCTTCCCCAAACCCAAACTCAACAACAGACTCGGAAGAAGTGCGTCGTGATCATGATCCGCACGCGGACTCTGATTACGATCTGAGTCTGGATCGGGAGCTGGGGATTGGGATCGATGCGCATGGGATGGGGAATGAGGCCAGGTTTATTAATGATTATAGGGGCGTGGCTGAGAAGGCCAATGCGGAGTTTAGGGAGTGTTGGGATGGGAGGACGGGGGAGAAGGGGATGGGCGTTTGGGTTTTGGGCGAGGGGAAGAAGGCTAGTGGGAAGGGGAAGGGTGTGAGAAAGGGGCAGGAGATTTTGGTTTCCTACGGGAGGGGGTTTTGGGGTGCTAGAAAGGATGTAGAAGAGGAGGGTGGATGAGCATGAGCTGTTGGTATTCCTTCCTCTTCTTGCGGGGCTTTTCTTTTCAATTATTCTAACTGCCCTTCTACTAGATCCAGGTTGTGTTCACCTCTTGCCCCCTCCCTCCATTCCACACTCACAAATCCCCAGTAACAAACTGCGCCCTCCCCATCCCAAAACTCCAATCCTCCCTAGTATTCGCCGAGCAGGAAATAATCAGATCCGTCCCCGGAACCCCACACTCCCCCTCCAACCGCCTCTGCAGCTCCGCATACACAGCTTGCTTCGTATGCGCATCCCGTCCTTGCTGGAAGATCTGGATGAAGACTAGTTTGTCTGTTCGCTGGAAGCCGAGATTCGTGTCTTCGCAGATTATCTCGTAGGGCTCGTGTTGGGTTATAATCTGGTACCTTTAGGGACGGAGAAAGATCTAGTTAGTACATACAGCACAGCTGTCTGGGAAAATAGGATAAGGATATGGGTTGGGAGTGTAGACGGGCATACCGATCTCTTGGAGGGGCATTGAATTTCTCTAGCATCACCTCTTGCACGATATCCGCCAGTTTCTTGATCTCCGCAGGCGTACGCACATTTTTGATCATGTCGATTTTCACGAGGGGCATTTTGGACACGAATTTGAAAGGACGGATGTTAAAGGGTTATAGAATAGTGTTTTGTTGTTTGGGGATGAACTTATAAGTTCGGAGTTATGGGATGATGACGTGACATTGAAGCTTTGAAGTGGATCCCTAAAGCGAGCTATTCTCAAATCCCCACAAAGCGAACTTTGGTCATATAAGATATCCAACTTACTATCCTACAGGTAATATGAATTATTACTATTCATTTCCATGTCCGCTTCTCAGCACGAGCAATAGAGCTGTTCATCCGCTCTTGCTCTTCATGTGCATACTGACAGCGTAACAAATGCTGGTCTCTCGGATCACCTAGTGATTTAGAACAAAAGGGGCAGAAATCCAATGTCTTGTTCTCGTCTGTAGCGCCGCCGATAAAAGATGTGTCGTCTAGCTGGCGTTCGAGCGTGTTTGAAAAGAGCTCGGAAAGCCAGTCGTCTAGAGAGTTTGACGGCGGTTTATCCTGAACGGAGCTTGGGGTGGATGGATTGGCTGCCCTTTCCTCGGCGTTCGGAGATTCGTACGTTGTTGTATTGGGTGTATAGAGGTCGGTAGTATCTTCTTTAATGAAAACCTCACCAGAGCGATATTTGGACGCGTTTGCTAGATGTGAAATGTTTGTTGGGTGAACTTCTTCCTTGTTATTGTTGCCTGCTATATGATTCTGGCTAGGATCAATGACTTGCTCCATATCGGATGTTGTTTCGTCGATCCAACCTTTGATACGCTCCTTGGAATGGTTGTTCGATTTTCTTGCCTGGGCAAGATCGAACGCAAATATGCACTCTGAGCAGGCTGGTCCGAAAGGATAGGAATAATCGTCATCGTAGCAGATTCTTGGTTCTGTGTATGACTGGCGTGGTGTATAGGCACTTGATTCGGAGTTTCTGTAAAAGTTCTGCATGGCTGGATCTATGGTGTTCTAAGGAGAAAAGTAAGAGCGGTCTTGAAGATGCGAGATAGTACTTTATACAAGCTGATTGTTAGAAGTAACAAGGGAGTCGCCGATTCAAAGAAGTGACCATAATGAATCTGAGGTTCTCTTTCTTTATTCTCAGAGACAATAACATTGTTTTGGCGGAGTGCCACTAGGCTGTTAACAATGTGATTATCACACACATATGAAAATATAGAGTATGAGAAACTTCCTAATGGCGATGGTCATGTGAAAGGTTGTGGAATACAATTGCGCCCCGAAGATTGAGTTCAAGACGAGCGAAACCAGATTCGCACATTGTAATTTACTTTCATCATGAATCGGCACTTGAAGCAATTCGCGGCGGATGTTTCAGAAATAGACAAGTAACCTACATTCTCACACTACCCAGAATGTGGCCACTTACCAGCCAAAGGAGATATGCGGACCTGAAATCGCGGAAGAGGGTAAGGTATGCTCTTGCTCAAAATACCCAGAGGACAATTCCCCCGATTTACATGTATGCTAGAGCACCCCGGGGAGTCCCGAGCCGCACCCACGCAACACTTGTCTAAGTATCAAACGGGTCGTGACCTGCTCGTGGTTACTAGACATCTCCTATGCCAAAGAACTTATCAACGCGGTAAGCATTCGGCGAAAAAATCAGGTTGTCTCATTGGTATACTGTCACAGGTATCATACAGCTCCTAACTTTGACAAGGAGAACACAAATTGTTCTCGGTGGCTCAGGAAGCTGATTCAAAAGTCAGATCTTGAGAAGCATAGGTACGAGTACCGAATTCAAAAGCTATCCGCTATGAGAGATCATGTGTAGGTGCTTGGTCGATAAATCGAGGCAGCGAGCAGCCAACCCAATTAAGTGCTGCCTTTTGTTTTGATTCTCGAGAAAGATAGACAAGCAAGAACCAGAGCTTTTTGCTCAGGAATTAACAAAAGCGTTCTCAGCACTCGCAACAAATCTAGATGGAGTTTGACAGGACGTGTGTTGAGCTCGAAGGAGTTGAGGAAACGGCGTTAACAGGGTGTAACATTTTTATACAACACAAAGACTTGACTTGTAAATGTGATATACTGAAGGTGTGACCAGACCAGAGAAAAAGGAGACGTTCATTATGTGAAGACATGACTGAAAAGAGACGATGTGAACATTTCTAATGGAGACTGAATCAGAGTAGAAAATAATGCTACTCTCCATGGAACAAGATTGCAAGCCAGCGAGTTGAAGAGCTCAAACTAAGAGAAAGGGTTACATGCATACTGTAGGAGACCCGCAATGATTGAGCAGTAGCAGTATAGTAGTTGGTGTTGTATGATGTGGCCCGTCCTTGGTTCACCGCCGATATGCAGGTCGATCTCCCTGTGACACGTATAAAGGAGCATCGACCCTCAACTTGAGAATGCCATCAATCTCGGATTCTTCGTTCATCCCGCCGAGATCGTGCCGGGTAAAGATATCGAGAGAAAGGTTTGTTGAAGGTGGGAAGACTTGCTCCCGTCGCGTCGATGTTGCACAAGGAAGAATGCTGTCGTCTCATTGGGCAGGAGTCACACATCGCAGTGATAGATATACCTCCATTAACCTCTCTCACTAATAAACACCACCGCCAACAGCTATTTCCAACAAACTCAATAACTTCTTCTAACAAACTCGAATCTTCCACCGTTCTAGAAAACCTCGAAGCCTCTGAAAGACCCAGACCTACTGGTGCTGTTCCTACACCCCAAATTTTGCGACGCCACTCGAGCTTAACAATCAACCACCACACCCTCGAACATCGACACGTACTGGCATATACTCGATCGAACACCAATTCACCTTCTTTGATATCTCCTAGGAGTCTTCCTGCGCTTCACACGCCTTTAAAAACGCCGTGCGCCGTCGAGTGCATAGCGAGGTGTATCTGAAGTTTCCGGAAGATCTTCTGTATTTGCCACTTTGCGACACATGAACTATCCTTTACTCTGGAAGTACTTCTACAATGACGAAATCGAGCGGTTTCGGAAACTACTGGCAAATGCCAATCATAATACACAACATGCATCGAAAGGCTATGGTGGAGGGCCGGGCGCACACAGCTGGGGAAGCATAGTGGGAAGTCCAGGCGCAAGCCCATTTTCGACCTCACCGCGAGCATTCAAGAACCGGAAAGTCTCTGGTCAAGCCGGTAACTTTGGTGGCAAGGGAGGCAACTCAATTGGAATAAGTCGGTCAGATGTCAATAGCAAAGACCACGCTGGAGTGCCACTCTTGTGCCGAATAGTCTCGTCGAAGCTAGAGAACGCGGTTGACTTTGCCCTGGCCCTTATTGAACATCCTTTAATCGACCTCTATGCCCAGGATACAGAGAATGGATGGACAGCCTTGCACAGAGCACTTTACACTGGGAATGTTACCTTGGCACGGGTGATCATCGAGAAAGATAGTCATAACTTGCAAGATACCTCGGCGCAAAGGGGGCCAACTTCTGTCATCAAAGTGAAAGATCATGAAGGGAACAGTCCTTTTGACGTTTACAATGCCACTATCGCAAGGCGAGCTGCGCAGCGAAGAGGTGATGGAGAATCTGATGAAGACTCCGAGGAGAACTCGGAACCCGAAGACGCCGAATCTGGAGAAGGTGGCCAAATATATTCAGTTATCGATGGTGATGAAGTCTTTGCGTGGGGAAGTAGTAAGAATTACAATCTAGGGTTTGGAGATCAAGATGATCGTCAGTACCCGGAAAAGATCACATTGAAGAGACCAGATCACCTCCTATTTCGTTTTTACCGGGAATATCTGGAGTCGATCCAAAGCACCGACGATGCGATGTATCAGACGCTGTCGAAGTCCAATCCAAAGTCAGTCTCTGAGCTCCCAAGCCTGATATCTAATCGTCCAATTGTTGTTCAAGATGTGGCTCTTTCAAAGCTCCATAGCGCGATTCTTACCAACGATCCAGAGTGCAACCTATTCATGTGTGGTTTTGGGCCGGGGGGACGATTGGGAACTGGTGACGAAGTGACTCGGTTTTCTTATGTCTGCATAGAGAATGGACTCTCCGGCAAACATATCATCCAAGTCGCGCTAGGGAACAACCACTCTTTGGCTGTGGATTCTAATGGAGAAATATTTAGCTGGGGCCAAAATACACATGGAGTCCTGGGGTATTCTCTCCCCCGCCCAGCTTTGACTGACGAAGATCCCATATGTTCTACCCCGCGCCAAATATTCGGCCCTTTGAAAAGGGAGCATATCATTGGGGTAGCCGCTTCGGCAATTCATTCTGTTGCACATACTGCCACCAGCCTTTTCACATTCGGTAAGAACGAAGGCCAGCTGGGCTTGATGGATTCAGATTCCAGAAGTCTTGAAGTACAGCCCATACCTCGCAAAGTAGCGGCGTCTCTCTTCAAGGCTCCAATTAAGATGGTATCAGCGATCAATCAAGCTACTATTGTTCTGCTTGAGAATCATACGGTCTGTGTCTTTACCAATTATGGTTACAACATTATCAAGTTTCCATCCAACGACGGATTCAGCAATTACCACCTGAAAAGCAACGCGTTTACAAGTCGGTCTGATTCATTGTCCGACAATATTACAAACATCACAGCAGCTGGAGATACCATTGCAGCATTCTCAACACAGAATTTGTTCACGATAAATGTGAGGAAGATTGATTCCAATTCGGCTACAAGTACAACGAACCCAGCGAAAATCAAAGATTCCTTGACAACCCCGCAACGAGTGTGGAGCTTGCGTAAAGGCCACTGGGACGGAATCAAATCTGCCTCGGTCACCGAAAATGGGTCAGTGGTCGTTTGTACTCAAGCTGGCGCAGTCTGGCAGCGTATCAAGCGAACCAAAGTCAAAGATGCATTCGCAGGAACGGGGACCTTTCATCGCAAAGACTTCAAATTTCAGCGTGTTCCTGGTCTTACTAAAGTCGCAGCTGTTCGCAGCACGGCATTCGGTGTGTACGCGGCTATCCGCAAAGATTGCGATGTGACGAAGACGCAAATTGAAGTTGCTGGCCAGACTTTATGGGATGATGTCAACCCTTTGCTTAGCATTCGAGACCTAGAAGCCTCTGAGGTTTCGAAAGAGGACCATTCGCCTCGATTTTGGACGCCGAGCCTGCGAGAAGACCTAATTGACCCCCTCAAATGGGCCGTGCTAACATCTCTGGACCTAGAGGCAGATATTGGTCGCCATTTATCCAATGTCCAAGGCGACTACGACGCTGAGATTGGCACCACGACGTCTGATGTTCGGATACCCGTGCACAGTTTCATGATTGCCAGGAGTTCAATTTTGAGGACAATCATTGGTGAATTCCGCCAGAAAGGTAGAGCAAATATTGCTGATGTCCTGGATCTTGAAGGTGGCCACCATGGACGCACTACGGTCATCTTTCAAAGCCTAGATTTCATCACACTAATCAACTTGGTTCTCTACCTGTACACGGATACAGTCATTGATGTGTGGCACTTTACCCGTAATTCCCCAAATATGGCTTTCAGATACCGGCAGATTCGTGTAGAGCTTATGAAGGTTGCGGCGCACCTGAAGTTGTCAAAGTTGGAATCTGCAGTTCGGCTTATGACGGAGCCCAAACCGTGCATGAACCTTGACATGGCACTTGCAATCCAGGACCCCAGCTTCTTTGATGATTATGATACAATCATTGAATTGGACGGATCCGAAATGGCTGCTCATAGTGCCTTGTTGTGTCAAAGGTGTCCTTTCTTTGAAGGGCTATTCAATGGCCGTGCTGGAGGCCAATGGTTAGATGGCAGGCGAGAGGAGGGCTCGAAAGCTGTTCGAATCGACTTGAAACACATCAGCCCCAGCACATTTGAGCTGGTATTACGATATTTGTATGCCGATGCTGGACCAGAGCTCTTTGATGATGTTGTATCGGCAGATATTGATGAATTCTCGGACCTAGTGATGGATGTTATGGCTGCAAGCAACGAGCTTATGCTTGACCGATTATCGCAAATTTGTCAACAGACAATTGGTCGTTTTGGTTAGTTTGACTGGATCCCTCACCCTAGAAAGAGAGATCTGCAGTATTTTTTGGAGAACGTGGAAGAGTAGCACCGCTAACTCTCTTTTCTCCTTTAGTAAGCACTCGCAACGTTTGTTACTTGGTGAATGCCATCGCCCCCTGCTCCATCACGGAGTTCAAGGATGCTGCTCTGGAATACGTTTGCTTGCAGTTGGAATCTATGCTCGAAAATCACTTGATGAATGATCTCGACGAGGACCTTGTTTATGAACTAGACGAAATTGTTCGTGCCAATCAGTTGGCATGTCTGCCATTTGCCAAAAGCGAGAGGGCTGAACTTCTGTTGCACGCCAGGCATCCCAGCTTGGCGGGTGATATTGATGAGGAACGACAACGAAGACTCCGCGATATGGCATTTCGAGCGAATCTTAGAGATGACGATAATCGACAATCTTCATCCTTCCGAGCGCGTTTGGGAAGCCCTGATGATTTTATGTCTGTGTCGCCGAGTCAAGAGAAGCTGCGACGGACATCCAAGGGTCTTCGAAATGAACCTTTTAGCCCAATTATTCGGCCAAAAGACTCTACGGTGGACTTGATGTTTGATATGGATGACGATGAGCCTTTGGGCTCCCGAAATTTACCATCTCGAGTCCCAGATCCTGTTCAGGGGTCAACGGCAAAAGCGGGAGATGTCTCACCTGGTAATAAGGAACCATGGGCAGGACAAGATCCCAGATCTATACCCGATGAGGAAGTCTTCACCCTTCCCTCAAACCTATCGAGTGTCGGGACTCCAAAAACACCTGAGATGGCAGCACAAATCTTGAACAAGTGGCCATCGCCAGCCCTCCCATCATCGAAGCTCAACATGAGAGAGATTATGGCTCAAGCCTCCTCTGGTCGAACATCTAGCCTGTCGATGAGTCTTTCTGTACAGAAGACTAAAGATGCAGCTAGCAATGATGACGTTAATAGTAGAGTCGATACCAGTAGCAAGACGGCGCCTTCAAAGATCTCTCAGAAGGAGCGAAAGAAGCAACAGCAGCAAGCGCTGCAACAAGCCATGTCCAGTCCTCAGATTAATGTGGAACAAGCTGGTGAAAAGGCATCTTCGCCCTGGCAAATAGCTGCAACTGGGCCAAAGACCTCATTGAAGGACGTGCTCAAGGAGCCAACGTCATCACTAGGGTTGACTCCGAAGTCTGCGGAATCCCCAATTTCATCTCGGCCATTGACAGTGAGGCGCACTGCCTCACCAGACACCCGCTTCTCGGGTCAACAGAGGAGCAACAGTGCCCGCGAGTTTACAAAAGAGCACCGTTCTTCTCCAGCGGGCTCTTCGCGGGCCACTTCTGGATCGAAATCTGGAAAGGTATCGCCTCACTCGAAATCATACATCCCACCCGTTTCCAGGGCCGAGCCTTCCCTCCAGCTATCAATGTCGGACATCATTGGCCAACAGAGAAGAGAACAGGAAGTCATCAAAGAAGCAGTGGCAAAGCGAAGTTTGCAGGAAATTCAAGAGGAGCAGGCGTTCCAAGAATGGTGGGACCAGGAGAGCAGAAAGGCACGGGAAGAGGAGGCTGTTAGAGCCAGGGTTAGTGCCCCTGGAGCTGCGCGCGGTGGCAAGAGTGGAGGTGGGCGGGGTAAAGGGGGGAATAGAGGTAGAGGGGCGAGAGGTCGAGGTGATGCTTCTTCACGGGGACGTGGAAGAGGGAAAGCCCAGGAGAAGAACACAGGGGCAACACAATGATTTTGTACCTATGTATTATGGAAGACGCGTATAAATGAGGTGCACTTGCACAATCTGTGGGCACAAAAACGTGATTATGATATCAAGGGTCTATCCAAGTGGTACGAAAACGGAACAGCTTGCTTGGTGCAAGTCTTTACCATGCTGAGTGGCTGCGTGCTATAGAGGTAGCTAGCTACTAGTACGCGGTAGTTGAAGCGATATCTATCTCTGCCCCAGTTGGCTTAGAACAAGTCATGCGGACATGAAGAGACGTTGATGTTGGCAATCAGCAGCAGCTTTCACGTGCTTCTTATGCAAGTCCAACAAGGCTCTTGTTCTCGTCACCAGCTTAGCACGCACATAGGTTGGATTGGCTGGCTACCCTCTACCCTGACAATGAATGGCTTTGTACCCGGATGGCTTGCGACATCGGATCGGTCTTATACGTGACCGTTGACTTGGCCGTTGCGTGTGTGCAAGTTGGGGTTGTCGTACGAGCGAGCTTCGGCTGCGACGGACAAGAAGAATAGATGGGTACGGTACGGTACTTAGGGTAGGTACATGCCATACATAGGTCTAGGTAAGGTACCATACCATAGATGGATGCTCGAGGCCATCTATCACATGTTCACCATGGCCCGGAAGAGTTTGGGAATCCGGATGGTAGTCGTGGTCGTGGTCGTGGTGGTTGTCGTGGTTGCATCCTCGACGACAATCGGCTGAGAGATAAGAAACAGATGACTAAGCCGATCCAACTTACCACTTACAGTTTTGAGCTGCATCCGTCCACCGATCCATCCATCGCGGCGGCGACTTGTGTCACTTATTTCGTGCTCGACCTCGACCTCGAGCTCAGACTTCTTTTGTAATAGTACCTCCTGCACTCTCCACCGCTGCCATTGCACCATTCCGCAAAGATACGAAGTGACTTGGAATACCCTCCTGTCTTCCATTGTACTGTCTGTCTGTCTGTCTGTAAGCGCTTGGATCACGAGCACTAGAGTCATGCTCCACAGTCCTACAGTAGTCACCAGTACGGTTACGGTATCGTCGCTATCTGAGTCCAACATCCTAGTTTTGGCAACTTCAGTCATCTACAATCAATCTTGGGATACTGATTGAAACATCTCTTGAACTCATCCTCATCCTCATCCTCATCCTCATCTTCATCCGCGAATCCTCGACAAACACTTAGATAAATATCCTGAAAAGCAAAGATGCTCGCTGCCTGAGCTACCGCTCTTGACTGCAGGCCCCTACCCCTACCTCTACCTCAAGCTCTCAGTTGCCTACCGCTCCCCACAGTCTACCAAAACATTGGCTCCTTTCACCCCAAACCGTCACCGAAACCCTCAAAACTGCCTGCCACGTTATCAATAGCGAATAGTTTACCATGGATGCCCAAATCATGAGGTATCCTGGCTCTGCTACCCTCGACATTTAGCTCTACCACTGCTGCCCCATGCCAAGTGCGTGTCCACGGTTCTCGCAGATCCGCACAACTCAATAGCTCGACCAAACTACAGCTTGCCTCCAAATCGACGGATACGTCGATCGCTCCAAGCAAGATGCATCAACATCCCCGGCCGTCTCCTATGACGGCCTCTTCAGCCTCGTCTCCTCGAACAAATCCAAATAGAACGAATAACCCAAGAGAAGAAGGCCCAGGTTCCCATACGAGAACAAACTCAGACATGCCTATCTACAACGAGGGTGATGATGGCAGTGGGGATAGCGGAATTATGCCTTCAAATGGACCCAGTAAAGAATCCGTCAAGAAGCTGGACCAAATAATACAGGTAAGAATAGGCAGCTTCCAATCAGGATCATGTAGCGATATTTAAAGCTAATGTTTTGCTAAACAGAACTTCCATACAAAAGCAGCTATTGTTGTGCTGCAATCGAGAATGTCTCTTCCCATCTTGTACACTAAAGATGGGTCGAAGAAGGTCAATAAATGGGTAAAGTTTCTTCTTCTGATGTACCAAACATGTTGTCTAATTTCAGCTCAACAGTTCCAAATCGAAACGGATGATACTACTGCCTTTCGAGACGATTTAAGTATATGGCGAACATCTGGAGGCTTTGAAAATCGACCACCCCCTTTAATTTTGGAGACATACCTGGACACCTCGGCATTGACGAGTAGGCATAGCCTGGTCATTGTAGATGACAATGGGAAACGATGGGATGTCTTAGAAGCTTTGAACAACTCAAGCGGATCAAGCGACGGGGGATCTCGTATACGGAAGCGAAATAATGAGGTAGTTCTAGAAAGGTGGCGGATTGAACTTAAAGGTAGTCCGAGGGAACGGACGTACGATTTTGCATCCACCTTGCCAACAGTGTATAAGAAGTGCATTGTCTTCTTCCGATCCTTATACGCCACAGCCAAGTTTACACCGGCATGGAAATTCGCGAAGGCTTTGGCGAAGAGCGGGGCCACGAATAATTTGCTACAAGTCAAATGTCGAATATTGAACGGAGACGTCCCGCCCAGTCGATTTGACGCGCTCACTCATCCTTTGTGCGATAATCGAGGTCCTGTTACCACGGATTATTTTCTAGGGACGACAGATACACCTGCGGGACAATTTTCGGCCGAAGTTTCTTACCGAAATGACTGTAATTTTCGTGTGGACGATTCTGAGACTATGCTCAGCTCAAGATTCATGGGCGTAGATGAACATTATTTTGCACCCTCTATAGTGAGTAAAGATGATAACCGTCCTCGTTCTACCAGAACTGCGGAGGTTGGGTCATTACCTGCTCATCGGCACCGTGTGGACAATACTGAGCCAATTCAAGCTTATGGAAGTCTTTCTACCTTCCATGGCGATGCGCCTCCTAGGGGCTCGAGCCCCATTTCGGCCCTTCGTGCTGCCAAACCTATGGGCTCTAATACAAGCTCGCCGTCTCAAGATTCATTCCCTAAAACCCGGCCTATACAAACCTCTCGAGGGTCACTAAAGTCGACAGAAACTATTCCAATGGCAAGAAGACCATCAGTATCCTTTCAGCCATTCAAAGCTGGATCCCTATCATCCTCACCCGGGCGTGGAGGCTCGTTACAAAATACTGGAGATATGCTTCCACCACCATCACCCCAATCTCTGCCTCGAGCATCTGGTATTAGTGCTTTGACACAAGCTCGCAATCGCTCATCGTTGACAGCCGGAATGCCAGCCTCGCTACGGGGTGGGCCTATCGTCACTGATAATATAGTCCCATCATCCTCGTCTAGCTCGCCAAAGCCTGCCCCAATAAGTAGATACAGCAGCAGCTTTACTCATCGCAGAGGCAGGTCATCGTATGGAGGCGGGAGCAAGCTCGTCGATGATGACCAAGGGAGTAGTGGCAAACAAAGTCTCTCTTCATCGATGCAACCTGGTTCGGGCATTCTCGCCGAAACTGGAGGAGGTGGTAGCTCGGGATCTTTGCAAACTGACGATGATAACATCTCTGAGTTTCTGAAATTATTAGACAGCAAGAAGAACCTGCAAAGTTTCGAGCCCTCTGGCGAAGCATCCACAAAACGCACAGCCGCCCAACTCTCCAAGTACCAATCAATGAGGGAGTCGAATAATCTGCTGACAGAGTCAATGTCGTCGTCAACAATGATGCATCGATCATCAAGCTCTTCAAGTCGACAGCTGTCAAGTGTACCGCCAATGGTAGCCGCTACATCCATGTCAACATCATCGTCGCCTGGTAAGCCAGTCTCGCCGCACACTCCACATACACCAGCTATACCATCCCGTCTGAGTGCAAACTCTATAGCGGAATACTCTGTACCGCAGCGGGTAAGTCACCGCAGCAGGACTTCACCAGAGGCGAGGTTGGAAGATGTCACGGATGATAGTCTATCCAACGAGGGGACAAATGCAATCGATATCCCTACATCGCCGCGGACATATTACCCTCATGTACGAAGGTCTAGCTCTGTTGCGCAACAACACCGAGCCCTTCCTGTGGAGGATGATTTGGGCGATCTGCCATTTGCAATCCATCGTTCGATCAGTCTAGGCGCTGATGACCGCGAGCCGCCTAGTTTGAGCGCGTTACTGGGGCTCGGTCAAGCCGCTGAGAACGAAGCATCAGCATCATCGCCTTCCCCATCTCGTATGTTACAACCTGCTGCTCATATCTCAGAGCCAACGGATCGCGAAGCCTCCTCTCTTGAGCAAATCGAGTCGGAAGCCCCACAAGTACCACGCGGGTTTTCTGCAGGGTCTACAAACTCCCCATACCGGCCTAGGATAGGTCGCACAGGTGGCCGTGGAGTAACCCCTCCACAAACAGGCTCGTACTCGAGCCTCATTGAAAGGGGCAGCGGGAGTGGTACGAGTACAAGCGATAGAGCTGGTGGTGGCAGATATAGCTTCACTAGGACCGCAGGGATGTACGAGACTGACGATGAGCTATTGCTCTTCGACATGAGCGAAATCGGACGAGATCAATCGAGGAGGAGCATTGAAGAACCAAGGGGGGGAGGAACTATAGGAACTAGCGAACGTGGAGGCTACGAGTCAGGGAGGGGGGGCGATTCTGGCTCAAGCAGCCGGAGAGGTAGTCGCCGAGGAGGATGGTAGTCATTTATCCTGTTGACTACAGGAAACATCTCCCATGTTCAGCGGAGAATATACGTTCACATGACGAAGCACATTATACGACCATTTATGATTTTAACGTATACCCAAGCGTCACACATATTTGAGCAGCGCCGGCCACATTTGGGAAACGGGAGTTGGGGTTCTGGCTTATCCCCATCATCATTTTCTGGTTGTTGCTGCGATTGGCGCTGCATACGGGAAGGCACTTTACAGATTGAATTGGATGCCACAGGGTCTGATACCTAGGAGTTTATAAGAGACAGGGATAGGCAACTTGCGTGTTGAGAAGTATTTAAGGATTGAAAGATATTAAATTGCTTGCTTGCATATTGAATGTAATGTGACTTGTTATTCAGCTTGCTAGTTCCTGACTAAAGACTCCCGATCAATGGATTTCTTCGAAAGGATATATCCATGAAAGCCCCGAGTAACGAATAATTGCTTGTTGTTTAGTGGTCCTAATACTCGCATGACAATAGAATTGTTGTTGACGGTGCCTAAGGTATGGTCGGCTTCCAATACCTCCTGGGATCGGCACCCAAATTGGACGAGCCGAGGACGTGGGACGTGCCTCGTACCTCTTTCCCCGCATGAATGAACCAAGCTCCCGGTAGTAGTAACAAAATGGATTCCGCGGAATTATGACTTACACTTACATATATAGCAGAAACTCTCCCTTGCTATCGATTCGCAGATTCTGGCCGGAACAGAATACTGCTTAGAGAGTATTTACTTGGATACCTACATCCATCTACCCTAAGTTCTCCATTCCAGCATCCGGAATACCCCACCCTACCTCTATCAAGATGGTCTCTGCTGTACGGGTCGCCCCAACGGTATGTATTCAATTGCTAATATTGTGACCCTGTGCTGATGCTGCGAACCAGAGGGCAATGCGCGCCATGAACCTTCTCCGTACCGTTCAATACACACATCCGCCCTCCTGTCCCTGCCACGGAAACCCCACGCATCCGCACCACCACCAGCCCTCCTCCGGTCTCCTCGCCCACGCAAAACAGAATCTCCAGCGCAACTATGCCACCCCAGTCGACACCTCGAGGCAGAAGGAATATGCGTTCGAAATGGCGGCGTCGTCGATCCGCTTCGGACCGGGGGTTACGAAGGAGGTAGGTATGGATTTCAAGAATATGGGCGCGAAGCGCGTGTGTGTGGTTACGGATAGCGTGGTGAGGAATTTGAATGCTATGAAGCAGGTTGAGGAGGGTCTGACGAGAGAGGGGATTGAGTATACTGTTTTTGCTGGGTGTAGGGTTGAACCTAAGGATAGCTCGTATACCCCCCGCCCTTCCCCTATTTCGCTTAGTTCTAGGAGTCTAATATGGGAGTAGGATTAAGGAGGCAATTGCATTTGCCAAACCGTATCAACCAGACGCTTTCCTTGCCGTAGGTGGTGGATCGGTTATTGATACGGCGAAACTCATGAATCTTTATACTTGTTATCCCGATGCCGACTTTCTGGACTTCGTCAATGCTCCGTTGGGAAAGGGACTACCTATTAACAAGCCTCTGAAGCCTCTTATTGCCGTGCCCACCACAGCTGGCACAGGTTCCGAAACCACGGGTACAGCAATTTTCGACCTTGTGGCCAAGCGTGCAAAGACCGGTATTGCACACCGGAATCTCAAGCCGACACTGGGAATATGCGATCCGTACAACACTAGGACTATGCCATCAGCCGTCCATGCCAGCTCAGGCTTAGACGTACTATGTCACAGTCTCGAAAGCTGGACTGCAATTCCGTATTTCGAACGAGTTCCACGACCTGCGAATCCAATACTTAGGCCTGCCTACCAAGGAGCCAACCCTATAAGTGATATTTTCTCCTTGCAAGCTCTGAGAAGCACGGTCAAGTACTTACCCAGAGCCGTAAAGGACCCGGATGACCATGAGGCCCAAAGCCAGATGTTGCTAGCAGCTACTCTTGCAGGCGTCGGGTTTGGAAATGCTGGTGTGCATTTATGTCACGGTAAATAGCAACTCTGAAATAAAAACGAAATTCGCCGCTAATACAACCCGATCAGGAATGTCCTATCCAATCTCTGGCCAAAATCCAGGCTACAAGCACGCAGGCTACCAAGTCGATACCCCCATCATCCCACACGGTGTATCCGTAGCCGTCTCAGCACCAGCCGTATTCCGCTTCACAGGCCCCTCGAACCCAGAACGCCATCTCCAAGCCGCCGAAGCATTCGGCGTCGACATATCCAACGTGAAGAAAGAAAGCGCGGGCGAAGTTCTCGGCGAAGCGCTCGAGCGATTCCTGGCAGATTTGGGGGACCAGCCTAGGGGCTTGAAGGATTTGGGATTCAAGGCGGAGCATTTGGATGATTTGGTCGAGGGGACAATTCCGCAGGCTAGGGTGTTGATGTTGGCGCCTGGGTTGGCGGAGGAGGTGGGCGAGGAAAGACAGCAGCTGAGGCACCTTTTTGAGGATGCCATGGTGCATTAGATGACCTATGCAAATCGTATATACTGATAAGCATTTGAAATAATAAATCTATGTTTGTTATTTCTCAGATGTTATACCGAGTATATATTCCTTTACGACCAGTCTTCTACATTTGATTTTCTAAATACTGCCTGCAACTAACTACAACTACAACAAAATCCGTGAGATGAGGGCCAAGGAAGACTCCAAGGGTGCAAGATGTCGGAAATGTAAATAGGACCCGGCTGGTAGAGTTGCTTCTCCTTGAGCGCAATTTGCTGAAACTAGCACACAAGTGGGGAAGTAAGTCAAAACATCACATAGGAATGGAAAGGACAAGCACAAAGAGATGGAGAGATCATTCGATGGAATAGCATTCTTGGATAACTATACTATCGTACATCCATGAAAGAGGTCCGGGCTGTTCCTTTATTCAGATAAAGCAGCGCTGCAACTATGCGCTCATAAACATGAGTGCCTATGCACAAATGACTTCCGCTGCACTTAATATCACTTGCCCGTATGGTCATTAAAATCCAACGCTCCAATTCCACTTCCACGCTTAACCCAATCTAATATGCTGCACTCTGTCTATAGAAATCGGCTGGGCCGCCAGGCGGCGCACTTGGAGCAGATGGCGCAGTCCCGTCGGGAGAGCCTGGTCTTTGGTACGCTTTGTATTGTCCCTGGGGAGGAGGAGGAGCTCCTTGGCTAGGTAGCGTTTGTCGCGAATCGATGACTGGATAGCCTGGGTTTGTGCCTGCTGGGGGGGCAGGCGGTTGATATCCGGGCTGCGGTTGAGGAGGATGATGGGGATTCAGGGGCGCCGGAGCGTAAGCGTTGTATTGTTGCTGGCTAGGTGGTGGTTGCTGGCTTCCGATGGCGTTGGTGGAATATGGCTCCTCTTCTGAGTAGACCGATGCACTATAAGGCCCTTGTTGATTTACAGGAGAGTCGTATGCAGAAGTAGCAAGCTCTTGGGGATTGTTGGAGTACGTGCTCTGAGGCCGCTGGTTAGATTGTGCTTGATGCGGAGGGTATTGATTTGGTGGAGGGGAAGCTGTGGTTTGGAGAGGGGTAGGCTTTGAGCCTGAAGGGATTCGGGGAGTTGGGTCTCTTTGCGGGTATGGCTGATGCCCTTGAGGCTCAGACGAAGATGGTGGTTGTTGTGGGTGCTGTTGGTTTTGTCCAACCACGTAGAAGGGTTGAGGCCCGGTGCGGTGAGGTTGAGGTGGGTAGCCTTGCGGGGAAGAGGGTTGTTGAGGGTAAGGTTGATCTAGTACAGTCAGTTCGCTCTTTAATATGAAGGGTAACTTTCTATACCTTGAGGATTGGGAGTGTAATATCCTTGGGGTTCTGATTGTGGTGGGGCAGCTTGAGGCGGGTAGCCACCCCCATAAGGTTGGTTTTGGCGACCGTACTGATAGGCTGGCTGGGCCTGTGTCATTGATGCATCTAGGAGGTTCTCATAGTCACGGCAAGATTTAATGAATCTCTCGTTCAGCTGCGTAAAATCATCTAGGACAAATTAGTTGGGCAAAGACAAGTGATGCAAGACCACTCACCCTTTCTCTGAGAGTATTTGCCAATGAGCTCAATGAGCTTTGGGCGAATAGCTAAAGTGGAATGATAAAGTTTCTAGGTCCGTTAGTCTGGAACTACAAAAATAGGAAGAAAACATACGGTAATCTCATCATTATCACGAACGTTCAAGTCAGAGGTTGATGTGCTCAGTAGCGTGAGCAGTTTCTCCACGTTCTTTATCTCAGCAAAAACCTCCGCTTCCATTTGTGCTTCTCTTTGCAACTCGTCTGATGTTGGATCGGCTAGCTTCTCGACATAATTCAGAGGGAAAATTCCGGTCTGGCCTCTCAAGAAACCCTTCCACCAGTCTTTGTAGACCGATTCAAGTACTGCAATGATATCACCCTTTCGGAACGTTAACTCGTCTGGATCGGTGGCCTGGAAATCGAACAGCGCTCTAACACGGGACACTGTTGCGGCAGTTGTTCCCGATGGCACTGTTTGTGGCTGTGCAGCAGGTTGTGATTGTGAGGGTCCAGACGAACTTGGTTGCTGCTGGGAGGATTTTGCCTGGGCTTGTGTAGCCTTGTCTTGAACTGATAATTTGAGGGCCATTTGTAGTTCATCTTCTTCCTTCTGTCTATCGACATCTGTAAGTCGGCTCTTTGATGGGGCCGAAGGGGGATGGAGGTTGGGATTTTGGCTCTTGAGCCTTTGATACTGGTCCCTCATGATGCCTAGGTCTGGGTCCTTGAACATTTCTGCCCATTCCTGCATCCGTTCCAATATCTTTGCTTTTACTTGCTGGTGTGTATTTCGATCGTTGGCTAACCGTAGCAGGGCGTCCGTGAAGGCTCTTGATGCAAGCTCTCGATGCATCTTGACTCCGCAATTTTGGCTAAGGGCATTGGCAAGCTGTGATTGAAATTAGCTTTATGAATAGGGATTGCTTGCATTATAGGGCATCCTCACCTCTAGAGTATATAACTGAACGTTTGCATTTCTATGCGCCAGCCTCTTGATCATACTCGCCACGGCGTCTTTGGCACCACTGTCCTCGGTCGTAACCTTGTCGCAGACATCCATAATGTACTCCCAGTTCTCGGAAGTGAGATTCTCGTCGGTCGCCTTGGCTGTGAGAGATAGAGGTCAGTCATCTTGCTGCAAACAGCTGTTCCCAAGCTCTCCAAGCTTCCGTGCCTGGTGTGAGCTCTGACTTACCGACAACATCGTCGAAGGCATTCTGCTGGGCGCGAAACATGGTTTCTACCAGTCTGGAGTATCAAGTCCGAGGAGTGCTTCTGATGTCTAATTTCTAGGTGAAAGTTGAGGTGGAGGATGAGATTACTTTGATCATCCTCTGGCTCTGGTGGGTGCTTCCGCGCCTCGAGACAAGTGCCCAGGTGGGACGTCACTGCCTCCCTCGCCTGTTGCGCAATTCCAGCGCTAAGGAAGAAACCGTACCTTCACTTCGATACGCATGTCTCCAGGCTGCCATTATAGTACTATGATTTATGACAAAACTTATTTGTCAGAGACAGCATTCAGATGCCATGCATACATATTTTATATAAAAAAGTGATAATATATTCTACAAATATCTACCCAGCTTAAAGTGCTACCAAAACGATCGAGGTATGGAGAGGGGATAGATAGCAGGACCTTCTGGTGTTGATATGCCTCGCAAGAGCTTCTCCTGGCGTACTAATCATTTGGGCTGAGAGAATTCAGAGAAACTTTGATATACGTGCGAATCTTGTTAAAAGCCTGATCACAGATCTCAAGTCATTCATTGCGATAGACAGACATGTCGAGTGAGAGCCATTATCCAATGTTCATCCATCTCAATTGATTGGAACCGCCATCCTTAGCAAATGCTAGATCTATGTTACATATAAACATGCGTGGGCCCTCGAGCATTCCCAGAAGACATTACAGTAGCCCCGAACCAAGGGCCAGTGCGCAAAAAGGGACCACCAGACGCTATGCTTCGAATAACGAGAACCTCCTAACACCACAAACCAATTCGTGGTGCCTCAATTCATCCTGATGTAAAAGCGCCGGAAACTCCATCATATATGCATAAAGACATAGGAAAGTGTCAGGCGTCAGGGGTCAGAAATGCATGGCGATCACCACATGTCATCATCATCTTCTTCTTCCTTGCCTTCATGGGGTTCCGAGCGTCCGTAGGGATAATAGTCTTTCCCTTGTCGGGAATACTGTACTTGATCATCGTATCCGTTCTCGGTATCGTGCTGAGCAGCTCGAGATTGGGGCCGATTCGAGCTTTGGCTATGAGAGCCATCATTTTGATGATCGTAGTCGTAAATCTGAGAATCATCTACATAATTCACTCCACTCTCAGGAGGCGTATTCTGTGCCGGTTCGGCATATTGTGCGATGCCCTGCACGGTTGTTAGTATATATACGTTGAGGATACGATTTAGTGACAGAGGACACTCACGCGATGATAATCGTATCGGTATTGCTCCTCACCATCCTGACGCTGTTGTTCCTCTCGTTGTTCTTGCTCCTTCTGTCGTCGCTCTGCATCTTGTTTCTTTTGCAGTGCTGACTGAGGAATTTGCATTTGCGGATGCATCTGCTGTACCTTGGCCAAATACGAGTACATGAAATTGCTGAGGAGAACTTGGCTGTATAATGCTCGCCGTGGGTTCGCTAATTTTATGTGAGCCATCCGATATATGGCTCTTTCTTCCAGTATCGAGAATCTTGTCCAGTTGTAATCAATATCGGGCTTGAGCTCGCGGTGAGGAGGATCTGGTGAGAGTGTTCGCAGCGAACTACCTTTCTTGCCGCCCGAGTCACGATCACTCTTTTTCTTGCCGCCACCAAAGAAGGAGGAAAAGAGACCGTCTTTCTCCTTCTTTGTTTCACCGCCAGACTTACGGCTACTCTCCTTCTTTCTCTCGTCTTGTAATTTGTTCTCAACACTATCGCGGTCTAATAATAAGCTCTCTCGTCCTCGGGGAGTGACAGTATCGAGGGTAGATTGCAGAACATCCAAGCGAGCATTGTCGGCAGCTTTTGCCTTTCCCCGTTTGCTCTCCTTGTGATCGTCATCCTTTTTCTTGTCTTTCTTCTCCTTCTCATCACTTCCCTTGAACCAACCCCAGCTTGTCTTCCTTGATCCAGAATGCTCAGAGTCATCCTTGTCTTTCTTAGATTTCTTCTCGGGCTTCTTTTCCTCAAGAGTTGGAATGAAAGTGAGAGTATCGGTCCTTGATGTATTTCCTGGGAGTGGTGAAGGATGCTGTGCCATTTCATTTAGAGTGTGCGATGGAGCGGAACTCCTGGGCACTGTTTGGGCGGTACCAGAGTTATGGCGATCCATACCAGGCCGCCTACTAGATTTTGCAGGAGGTTCAGGAACAGTTTGCTTTTGCAGAGGTTTGGAGGCCGTCTGTGAAGATGATCTCTCGGGAAATTGAGGTGCTGGCGTGGGAACTTCTGTAGGCTCTTCTGAAGGCGGTGGGGTTTCAACGATCCGGGGAACAGGCGAATCATTTCTGGAGTGACTAGTAGTATTTGGGGGTGTACTTTGCTGAAATGGTTGGGTAGAGGTTTCGCGGTTTTCTGTGCCGGCATCACGTATTCCAAGCCCTTCTAGGGAATTACTATCTGTACTTGCAGCTGTTGGACCGCTCTGTTGCAAGTTTTGTAATCGACGGGCCCCGCGATTTGGCCGAGAGAAGTTCTCGGTGGAAATGGGCTCAGATTGAACTTTTGTAAGAGAATGTCCTATCGGTGGACGTCCATCGATTGGCGAAGACACTGGGGACTCTTCCCCATCTGTATCTCCCCGTAATGATCCAGCTCTTTTAGAAAAGGGTACTCTTTCGCCCTTCCTTAGACTTCCTCTCCGGTACGTTGTGTGTGTAGACCTCCTCAATCCTATTCCAGGTGCTTGTGGTAATATTGGCCTGTCCTCTATCGAGCTAACTTCTGCATTAGGTCCCTGTCGATTTCCCTTGTCGAGGCTCAGTTCCTGCATAGCCTTTGATGGATCTCTAGCTAGCGCATCCAATTCTTGTAAATCTGCAATCTTCAAATCCAGCGCCTGGTCCGTTGAGAGAGACTTCTTCCTTTGTATTTGTTCGGCTCCATCTTTGTATCCAACTGCCCCTCGGCCACCATCGTTATCAATCTGTCGAGATAACATAGACTTCTTCCGCCGTAAACTGCCCCCTGAGTCGCTTCTTTCAAGCCCATCTGGCGACAAAGATGTTTGATCACCAGAACGTCTTTTGATCGACTGCACTCTATTTTCCAGGAAGTTTTTGAATTCCATAGGGGCAAGCTCAGGATGGACCCTAGCTGGAACCCAAAATAATCTCGATGGATCATCTTCATCATCGTTACCTGTTGGAGCAATGGAGGGCATCAAGGCAACGCCCTGAAATGATGGTAAATCCGGATCGCTTGTATTACCTACATCCATCGACATCCGCCGTAATGCTTGTAGATTGCTGAGTTCCTTCGCAACTGCAGCCGGATTCGATTCATAGTCGATATCGTTGAGCGGGAATTGCGCACTCGCCGGGTCGGTCGTACTTCGATCTCGAAGAGAGAGTGAGGGCGATATTGGGCTTTTATCAAACGAACTGCTTCTCGGACTCTGTATCAAGCCAGGTGATGTATGTGCTTTCATCCCCGGGCTGCCATTCGTACTCGGTCCTGGCCGCGTCCTAGAGTTCTGGTTCGATTCTCCATATGCAGCTCCGCTTTCGATGGATTCGGTCAACGGTGAGGTCACAAAACTTAGAGGTCGCGAGTCGCGTTTCGAGTAATCATCGTCGCCATACATATCGCCGATTGCTTCCGTGACGTGGTGGTTGGTATCACTTATCGAGAGTTGGGGACCATGTCGTCTGCTGGCAAAGCTACCGCCAATGTCCCGGGGTCTGGCTGAAGTCTGCAGATGGTGAAGAATTGTCAGCAACAGTTTGGGGCGAGATCTGCTGCAGAAATTGGTGGAACGTTTGGTATTCTGCTCGCATGCAGCAGCAGGGGCTACAAGGAGAAGTACAAAGTGAGGCAGACGGCAACAAAGGCCTTGCTGTGAATAACATGCCGTCGTTGTTCATGTGCAACGGGCCGTAAAGAGGAAGAAGGCTACATACCTTCATCGGAACTGTTCCTTCAGGAAGAATCCCCCTTGCTGCGCTGCAACTAGCACCGGACGCTCAGTTGGAAGTCTAGGCGGTGCTCTCATCTGGAGCTGCTAGTAACGTCGTTAAATTATCTGCTGTCGTGGTGTAAGGATAGGGCGGACGTGGCTAAAAGGTCGGATAGGTGCGTATTATCGTCATGGCATCAAATTGAATGTTTGCAGATGCTGAAATGGATCTGGATGGTATGGGATAAGGTGAGGTAGCCGTTAGGTAGGGTAGGATAGAGAGGTGTGGTTGTCGCTTAAGCGGCGACTCTAATAAAGAGAGAGCACCAGAAGCGGAGGATGGAACAGAAATAGACGCCAATCTACCACTTCACTTCATGGTCAAGACTAACGACTATAATCTTCTTTGTGACTACCACTATACTATACACTCTGGTACTCCGGAGCGAGATGATCCGATGACTTGGTTACGGAATACTGTATCAATGTGGATTTGCACAGTTCATGCCCATGCTCAACTACCTAGGTACACCAGGTACAATTAGAGGACTACGACAACCCCTGGGAGCTCCTCGACGAGGTTGCATTCAATGATGCGCGACTCTGGCAGAACAAAAGAAACAACACATGAACATTGGCCGGCACGCATATGTACAGTACTGTGCTGTGTGACGAGCAGGCAGCTTTGGCAGCGACTGCAGTGTCGCAGTCGCAGTCCCCCTGGCCCTGTTCACTCTCAGCCTTAAATGCGAAGGCTTAGCTTATATCCGCTCTGGGCCCGACCAATCCACCAGTGCTTACATGCTTGTTTTGATCTTCACAGCATTTCTATTGTCCGCGGTTTATGAGCTGCTATATAAACGAGTAACTGCGTCTGCTCAGGATGTTGGTGTCTAGTTATTCGAGTTGAATGCCTTCTCTCTTTAGTTATTTTCCGCCTAGTTTAGCCACCGTGCTACTTCTGTTACGCATATACTTAAACCAATGCTCGAAGACAATTTCCTCTCTCCTTATATACTACATTTCCAGCCTATTTGATACCGTGCGATGTCTTCTAGAGTCTTCATAACTTTGTCGTATGCTGTGGCGTAGAGCCGTTTCCTCTCAACAGAAAAACCAATGTCATGATGTACCCCACTGTTTGTTTCACTTTGACAAAGTAGAGATGAGCTCGTGTATTTTGGTTTCTCTTACCCAAATTACCATTGACGAGGCTTTGGATACAAGCTTTTCTGTATCAGGTAAGCGGCGTAAAGTTTCGCTGTCTAGGTACGAATGTGAAATCCCAGCGCACTGCTCTTCCCCGCATTTGAGGGGCAATCATCACCGGAACGGAAAATTTACCTTCTTCTTCGGTCTTTCCTTGCGCCGAGAATGGAGCTTATAGACTTTTTTTGTTTACTCCAAATGTCCTTATATAATCTAATCGTTACCCCAATGTTGGGGCTTCAAGCTCTTTGTATCTCGTTGATCGAAAATGGCATTCGTGACCCTTATTACTCGGCTGGCTACACTTGCTTGTCTCTTGTATATTTCGCAAGCTCAGAATTGTTGGAAAGATACAGCATGCAGTGGACCAGATGATACTGCATTCCCTGGGCCATGGGAATCGAATATATATGCCCCATCATCACGTTCAGTGTCTCCAAAGTCCATCCTTTCCTTGCAAACAGGAGAAGTTATATCGAGCTTCCCTGGAGACGCTAAACTCTCAGGCAATGGGTCACAATTGGTGTTTGACTTTGGTATTGAAGTTGGGGGATTAGTCCATCTCAAATACCTTTCTACTGGACCAGGAGCGTTGGGATTGGCATTTACAGAAGCAAAGAACTGGATTGGTGAATGGTCGGACTCCTCCAATGGGAAGCTCAAAGGTCCTGATGGTGCCATATATGCTTCTTTCAATAAATCGGGTTCGGGGACTTATACGATGCCTGATTTGAGCCTGCGAGGGGGGTTTCGCTACTTAACGCTTTTCCTGGTTACAAATAGTACTACGTCAGTAGAGATCAAGGACATCCAACTCGAAATTGGTTTTGAACCAACATGGTGTAAGATTATTAGATCGATGGTTCTTAGTCCGGGTCATATGAATGTCTCCCAATACCTGGGACAATTTGGAGTGCATATCGCTAACCACACATTCTTCTGTAGCTAACCTGCGTGCTTATCAGGGGTATTTCCATAGCAGCGATGAGCTTCTCAATAAGATTTGGTACAGCGGCGCTTACACTTTGCAAACAAACAATGTGCCCCCAAACACGGGTAGACAAGTGCCATTCCTCACCACAGGATGGGCGAATAATGGTACACTTGGCCCTGGCGACACTATTATAGTGGATGGAGCGAAGAGAGATCGAGCCGTGTGGCCTGGGGATATGGGGGTTGCTGTCCCTTCGACATTTGTGAGCGTAGGTGATCTCACAGCGGTGAAGAATGCTCTTCAGGTTATGTACAATTATCAGGTATGTTTTAATCCAAGTGTCCGTTTGGGATATTGATACGTTAGATATTGGTCCTAATTATCCGAGCAGAACTCCACTACGGGAGCCTTTCCAGAAGCAGGACCACCACTTCTTCAGCTAGGTTCAGATTCATACCATAGTAAGTATTGTTGTTAAATCCCCGCCTGTTCATGATTGATCATCAAGCACACCCTCAAATTAGTTCAGGTCTTGCGCTACACTTCACTGCATAATTCGATTTCTAATAGGCGTATCGATAGTGTGGTCCATGATAGGCAGCTATAACTACGTACTCTACACAAATGATACTGTATTCCTTGCCCAAAATTGGGCCAAGTACCTAAAGGCAATGGACTTTATCTACGGCAAAGTCGGCGATAGCGGTCTCCTGAACGTTACAGGGCTACGAGACTGGGCTCGATGGCAAACCGGATTTAATGGGAGTGAGCCAAACATGATGTAGGCCATATATTTACCAAAATTTGAATTCCTTCTAATAGCGTCTAGCCTCTATCGAACTCTCATCACAGGAGCTGAACTGGCCATCTGGGCCGGACAACCCAGCCTCAATGCAACCTGGAATGAACGAGCGGCATCACTCCGAACAGCCATCAACAAGTATTGCTGGGACAGCGGTTACGGTGCTTTCAAAGACAATGCAACGGCAACGACCTTGCATCCACAAGATGCCAACAGCATGGCTATCTTTTTCGACGTCGTTGATTCTACCACAAAAGCTGGCAGTATTTCGAGCAATTTACTCAAGAACTGGACTCCAATCGGAGCCGTGGCGCCCGAGCTCCCCGAAAACATATCACCATTCATCTCGAGCTTCGAAATCCAAGCGCATTTCTCCATAGGCGAGACAGCTCGTGCGCTAGAATTAATCAGACGGTGCTGGGGCTGGTATCTCAACAATCCCAACGGAACAGAGAGTACAGTAATAGAAGGATATCTGCAGAATGGGACATTTGGCTATCGCTCTTCAAGGGGATATGCTTATGACGCCAGCTACATCTCTCACTCTCATGGCTGGAGTTCGGGGCCGACGTCTGGACTTACAACGTATGTTCTCGGTCTTAGTGTCACCGGCATTGGTGGGAAGGAATGGAAGTTGGCTCCGCAGTTTGGGGATCTCACGTCTGCTGAAGGAGGCTTTATGACTATTCTGGGGAGATACCAGGCTAGCTGGCAGCTGAAGGCTGGCGGGTATACGTTGAGTTATAATGTACCGGAAGAAACGACTGGACAGATTGTTCTTCCGTGTCTGGCAAGAGGGAATTGGCCTCGCATTGAGATTGACGGGCATCCTATCCCTCGTGATACCAGCGCGCAAATCGTGGGTGATGGTGTGGTCTTCAGTGTTGCTGGCGGAGAGCACAGTATTGAAGTTAAGTAAAACAAACACCAGGTATTAATAGCACTCCTAATGTTTCTTTGGGACATGTCGCTATCGCGCGTCGTGAATATTTCTGCATTCTTCGCATGGTTATCCACTGCTTCTACTTGTAGATACAGTACGTCAGTGAAGCAAGATACTGCGGGCAATTCCCCCTGGCGTGTTCATCCCTGCTTTCCGATCAACAAGACGCCGATCACGACATGGGAGAAGCATCCTGGCGCAAGATCGTTGCCCTGTACCTATTTTCTGGAGCTTCGCGTATCTGCCGGTGGATTTTCTTGCAGAACCACCACCACTACGACTCGAAAAGGATACGGAGGAAAATAGGGGTCCATATCAATAACATCAATTAAAGTTACTATCTCACGCAGCTGCGCTTACCCACCGTAGTTACTCACTCGTACCTTCATTAAAAGCATTTAGTATGACCTTACAGCGTTTATAATAACACCATCCTAACATATAAATTACTACTCCGAGTATATATACGATACCTGGTTAGATTTTACAGAGTACAATGCCAGTATCCATTCATTCATTGCCTTACTCTGTGCACCTCCATTCCGTAACCCAGATAGATACTGCACAAGAGCACATCACATCACATCACGTGACAAGCAACACACCCAAACAAACCACCCAGACTAGGAGGATTAATCTACGGTCCACAGGCTGATTGGATTGCGACGTGCAACAAAAAACCGCGGCTGTGGGCGGGCGGGTACAGGAAGGAGGTGGGTGGATGCTGGAGAGAGGTGTACTGTAGGTGTTTATGTCAAATGTCTCAGATGGATGAGATGTGGTGTGGGCATGTGATGTGCCCTCCTGACTAAGAGGCAACTTTTTGTGAATTGCGATTTTACTTGATAATCGTATGAGAGTTGGGATTTTATATCGTATGGGTTGGAAAGGGGTTTGTTTGGTAGAGGGATAAAAGTATAAGGATAGTATAGTTTACTAGTAATAATATCAAGGAGAGATAGTAAGAAAGCCAGCGGGATTAAGAAATCAAACTTATACTGTACTAGATGGAGACTTGAGTTGAAAAGTATCCATTTCCAACAAAGAATCTTTCCTTATTAACCATGGTGAATACCATAGCCAGAGTGCGAAGTGCAACAAATCTTCGAGGCTACGCAGCGTTTCGCGTGATAGATGAATGTCCCGCTCCACTCGCCCCACATGCCCAGAGTCAAGGAACGGAGCTTGGTAGGGATGCAAAGACAGCGATATGCAACAAAAATCAAAACTTTGTTTGCTCGAACCCTGCGCTAAGCCGTGGGTGGGTGCGGGAATCAGATCGGACGAAGAGGACAAGAAGTGGAACTGCACTGCATTGCATGTGTGTAATTTACTATAAGGCCAAGATCTTGGAACTTGATGTCGAATTGCCAATGAAGAAGTAGGATTGAATTGAGTCGCCCTCCGATATATATGTAAAATGTCGTGATCATAAATACGATAACTGTTTCCCTCGCTATGCATGCAAAAAATCAAACGCTCACAGAATCACACCTCAATCATCTCACACCTCGATCATTCTCGGCCGGTGACTACGGCTGTGGCTGCTTCTTTCACTGCCTTCCTTGCTCTTCCCCTTGCCGTTGTGCTTGTTCAAAAAGATGGATAGCGGGGACTTCTTCTTCTCTCGCTCCTTGCTGAGCACCACAAGCTCTTTGCCTTTACTCTCCTTGCGACTGCGATCACTCCTGCCGCTCTCCGACAGGCCCGAAGACGACCGAGTATCGCGCGGCCGAATCGTGCTCTTGCTCTTGGTCGTGCTGCTACTCCTGACCGTGCTTTCACTCATCACACTCTCTGCTTTCCGACTGCGCGTACTCCTGCCGCTCTCCGACGGCGCGGGAAGCGCTTTACGAGACGATGATCGAGCCGGGAAATCGCTCTGCCGAATCGTGCGATCACTACTGACCGTGCTCTCACTCATTACGCTCTCACTCATCACACTCTCTGCCTTGCGACTCTTGCTCTTCTTCCTCTCCTCCTTCGCACGGTCCTTGATATGCTCCTGCTTTCTCCGCGCCGCCTCAGGAGTGATAAACTCCCCATCCACACTCGTACTAACGCTCTGGCTCTCCACATCCGCAATACCTCTTCTCCAAGACTCAACACTGCCCATCTCAAGCCCATCGTACACCATTGCCTCCTCCATACGAGGCGCTTCTTTCTGGTTGTCTTGCATGTTCTTGATGATCTTGTATCCGCCAAACATGACGATCGTGACGCCGATTGCGAGGCCGCCAGCGATGAGGAATTGTGGGGAGGCGAGAAGGCCGAAGATTGCGGGTGAGGTTGCTTTGAGCGCTGACAGGATCCCGGGGCTCATTGATTTCAGAATATTGGAGAGTTCGGCTAGGGTTAAAGCTACGGCTGCCATAGCTTCAGGGTTGGTCTGCAGATTGCTGATTATGGCTGTAGCGGTGTATTGTAAGCATTGTGCTTCTGTAAGCAGTATTTCGAGTTTGGACATTGTTGCTTGGAGCTCTTGTTCTTGCTCGATGGCTGGTGGGGGTGGGTGGTGTAGCTCGCCGTATGCGAGGTTCATGTCAATCTTATCAGAGAAATCGGGGTTCGAGACGCTGCGGTGGAGTGTGTATGGTGGAGGCAGTGTTCGTCGAGAGACTTGGGATTCGGGCATGTCGGTGTGTCTTCGTGTGATGGCAGGACCGGTCCCTTCAAAATCTTCGTCCTCGAACGGCGCGGTGTATGGCGGGGGGCTTGTTGGTCTGCGGGAACCATGGTGAGAACTGCGGCTTCTACGAGATGAAGCTACACTTCCTTCTGATATCTGAGAGAGGTTTTGCATTGTAAGGGGAGGACGTGATACACCATCATTATCTGCGTGACGGTGTCGCGAGGATCGAGAGCGGTGGGAACGTCGAGAAGATGCGACGGATTGGGTCTCTTCACGGGCTTCAATGAATTTCTGAGCATTCTTGTAGGTGATTTGCTTTCGATGCTCGGCTTTCATCTCAGCCTTTTTCTCGTTGTATGCCGCCTTTGCATCTTTAAAGATGTTGACCAGGTGTTTTCCCTTTTTCATGTCAGTGTGCATGTGAAGAGGGAGGGGTGTTCAAACTTACAGTGCCGACTACCTTGCCAGACTTGTTGATGATGGTTATAGTTTCCATAACCATCTCGACGGTTTGTTATTATTAGAATTGAATTCGAAGGCCAGCTCCAAGGGTAGGGTATAGATATTTCTGTTCGTTAATTCGTGGATATTTGTTGCTGAAGTTGCGGTGAGGAATTATGGGGAGGTGGGGGTTTAAAGATAATAAAGACAAACAAAGTCCTGCTTGAATGTTGATAATGATATTGACAATGCTCTATGAACACCAAGCCTCTGTGCCCTGTTGCTGAATACAAAGAGCAGGGCAGAGGATGCTTTGAAAGGATATTTAGAAGGAAGGGGGTTGTCGGGAGAAGATGGGATGGCGATTGATTTAGGTGAAGCGATGGTGTGAGCCCTTAATCGTGATTGGGGCAATCTTCCAACATCCCCAGGCCTCTCAACCAGTAAGGCAATCTAGCGAGGTCTAACTGGCACTCTCACTGGCGCCAGAAGTGATAGTCGTAGACGTACTTGGAAAGATAAACCTTATTATCCTGCGCGCTGACGGCGAGCAAATCCCCACTTGCCGTCGTGTCGCAGGATTTCACGATGGTTAGGATGCAGAACTGATCCTGTGGACTAGCGAGACTTTGCTGGCGCTTCCTGATTCGAGGCGGGTTCAGAGTTGAAGCTTCCACGGACCATGGGCCCCCCTGTCGGTTCGGAGGGTAGAATAGGGCTTTGGGGAGATCCAATGAAATGTCCCGAATGTCTCCATATTTGAGGGCCGTCTCCACATTTGAGGGCCGTTACCCGTCCTGTGGCTGGTATTGCGCTCTTCATATGGGGCTGTACAATCCCTGTGGCTGGTACAAGCAGGTGGGAGTGGTGGTAGGGTTTCGAATGGGACTTCAGGAGAGGTCAAAAGGGAATGTACGTTCTCTGGTCAGCGTTGCATTGGGCCACTTCCACTGCACCGAAATCCGAAGGTTGGGCTCTGCTCCACTGCATATAAAAGGTACCATGTGACCACCTGTGCGATTACCTTGCAGCTGATGTTCAAGAAGATGGCGGTAGGATTGCAGAAGATGTATTTGACAAACATAATTTATTACTCCCAATGCTCCCAATGCTCCCATCCCAATGCTCCAATTCTGCCAATACTCCCTCCTATCGCTACCAGATCAGCATAATCATGTCATAGCACATACTAACAATCCCACAGAATGCAACCACGAGAAAACATGTCCCACCAGATCTGCTTCTCGACTTGCATGCATATGCATCACCACCTCGCACCACCTCGCACCACCGAAGACCGGAGTCGACGTCATTTGGTGCCAGCAGACCCCATCCCTTCTAAGAAACATTATCCCGAGTTGTCGGTGTACAGTACATGTACATGTGGATGACCCCCCGAACCGAGCGACCAACGAAAGCAACATAATACCGTAAAGTCCCAGCGATTGAATATGCAGGGCGGATGTTTCTACAAGATTGATCCACCGCGACGAATTTGACCTTGAGCTCCGAATGTCTGAAGATGAGACTGCTATGTGATGTTGTGGGTTCTCGAGAAATGTGGGTGATTTTGATGTTCACATCTTCTCAGCTATCCTGCTCATGTTCACACCGGGCCCCGCTCATGAGAGTTTCGGTGAGGAGTAGAGGTTTCATCGTCCTCCAATGTTGATGCGAGAGAGTCGTCGATCGCGAAAGTGGGACTGTTTTCGTCGAGTTCAACACCATTGCGAACTTGGCTCAGGATTGCCTGGAACTTGGCCAGTTTCTCCTTTTGCGACATTAGTGCGAGACGCTTATTCTCAACTTCGGCGCTGCCGGGTAACAATTCCTGACACTTGGCCTCACCTGACGAGTTATCAGCTTCAGTTCTTGTTAGAGCGGAAAACGCTCTATTGCGCGGGGATATTTTTCATTCTTACCATCTCTGTCATTGATGCCAAATGTTCTGGGCAGCAAATGTTTGATCTCCTTCTTGATATCGTTGAACATAATGACTCCAATGTCTGTGCATACAGAGTCGGTAAACCGAAGGCGTGCGGTGGTGTAGTACCCTCGGATGGACGCAGCGACTTTCAGTTCTTCCTCGTAGGAATTACCAGGGAGGTCGCTATCTTTCATCTTTTCCAGCTGCTCCGTTCTGAAGTCTTCCAAACTCAACTTACCACTGTAGGAAGGAAACGACTTCTTCACATACATATCTATTCGAACACCTCGCCTCGTTGTTCTTAGAATTGACAGTGCCTCTTTTTTGTTGAGAGCGAAAGCTTGTTTGTTGACCGTGAATAAAGCCGCCTTTTCTCGATCGTAAAGGGTGAAAGCCTTCACCAGCTGCTTGTTTTGGAATTCAGCGAGAAATTGATACAGGATCGGCTTCGAGTCCCTGTAGAGAGGTGTGTCCCGATAGTTCTCGAGCACATTAGAAAGGACAGCGAAAATTCGCTCCCGGAGAATCTTGAAAGTGCTGTCCAGAAAATCCTGTAAAGGAAGTCGCCAGGGAATAATACTCGTAAGAGCGAAGTCTTCTTTCACCTTGAAATCGTCAGACTCCGGACGTCCAGCACGAAGATTGGATTGTCTGGACTGCTCGATATCTTCAATCGATATTGCTCCATGTCCACTGTCGAGATATGCATTGTAGAATGGTCCCAATTCCTCGGGTTTGAGTCTCTGGAATGCACTGGATAATCCTCCTCGTGGGTTCTTAGTCTTGTTCTTGCTTTGCGGAGTCGCAAACAAAAACGAACGCTCTTCGAACTTCGATTCGCTTCGCCCAGGGCTCGATTTGTTTCCAGGTTTCGGTCTCTTAGAAATGGGGACCGGGCTGTTCTCTAGAGGTCTCTTGCCATTCTTGAAGGACTGACGCGCCGGTACCGCTCTACCCTCGTCATCGGAGTCATCATCGATCAAGATGACCTCTCTTTGCTCGTCAGATGGGTGACTGCACTTGCAACCAGGACGCATAAGCCCGATCGCTTTTTGAAATTGGTCGCACAAAATGCCCCATTCACAAGGCAGTTCTTTATCTAGAAGGCTGTGTACACCATTGGAGAATTCGACCAGCGCCTGACTGACGGTTTCCCGTGCTCGATCTTGTGATACCTCAGGAAGGCGAGATAAATTTTTCTCGACCTCAGCGGCTTGTACCTTGATTTTTTGCTCTAGATCGGGAATGCTAGAGAAGTATTAATAAACGTCCCGTAATAGTTATTGGCATACTTACCTCTGCAATATTGATTTCCCGAACTCTTTTGAAAGGTACTTCGAAATAGTAGCAGTGCCGCATCGATCCCGAAACTTTTCCCATTCCCCACCATCTCTCCACCTGTCATCTGTATTAAAAAAATGCTGCTCCTCTTCATGAGCCAAAGTATGATAGTTTGGTCCACGCAACCGATCCGAGTCCTTGCCTGGCCGCTTAGTGACGAAATATCCATGAGGTAACACAAATGTCCTCTGGTTCAGGATGTTGTCATAATCGTCACTCGAGAGCTTGTCAGGCATGGTAAGAACTCCAATGCAGCGGTTATCAGCATTGCATTGTCCGATTACTGCTTTCGTGCGGGAAAGGCCCGGGTCATTTGCCATCGTAATTGCACAAATAATCAGAGCCTTCTCATGCTTAACATACTTGACTGTCAGGGCCTCGAAGACTCGAACCAAATACTGCAATTCCGGATCCTCAGCAGTTTGAAAAAGGCCCGGAAGATCGAAGAATGAAAGATCGGGGAGTCCAGGGCCGGTTATCTCGACCAAGATGACGTTTGGAGAGAACCGGGCTTCTTCTTTGTGATTTGGGTCGTTTTCGCGAATTTGTTGTCTTACCATATATCCTTCGGATCCAGGAATAAAGTTCTTGTAGTCTTGAGAGGGATTAAGTAAGGCAATCTGTGCCCACGTGAGGATTGCTTCCAGATCAGATTCATCAGCGATCGTCTTGAATTCGTTGGTTTCAATTGTTTCCATTGGCCGCCAGTTGGGAAACTCTTGGCTATCATCCCATTGGTGCTTCCCAGGAATGAATGTGTACTGCTCTTGGAGTGAGACTTTGCAAGTCCATTCTTTTCCACTCGAAGTTTTTATATTTGTTGGGCATTGAGTACACATCGACTGCCCTGTGGGGAGATTGATTCCGGCAACTGTGAAGAACGAGTTAGATAAGACTTTTCCAAGGGCATCTTGGGAGCACATGAACACGAAAGATGTTGAGGTAGGAGATGAATGAGATTGTGGATTATCTTACTTCCTGACATAAGGGACGACTTTCCTGCGCTTTGGTCGCCAACCATAACCAGTTCGGGGATAGACTTGTTAATGCCTGGAATTCCAATCTTTCGCATCGCTTCCACGGCATTGACACATAGCCTAACAGACTGGCTGACAGCCCCGATACCTGCGCCTTTCTTGGCCGGCGTAGCTGACATGGTCGCTAGACTTTCTGGTGGGTCGTTGCGAGTGCGGTGTTGGGGAGGCGGGGGATAAGACGACCGAAGTGATACTGGAAGCAAAGGTAAGCGGAAGACTCTTTCAATATCAAGGTTCATCTTACCTGAAGCTGAGCGGCGCTGATGTTCGGCAACTTCGCTAGCGAATATATGGTTTTCAAATGACAGACCGTGGTGAGACTTGAAGGAGTCCTCTTGCAATTTCGCTTGAAGCTTGTCAGAGAAAGACACTGAATCTGACTCTTCGTCTTCGTCTTTTGGGTGGACAGTACCAGTACTTGCCATGGACTCGTCGGGTGTTATGAGACCATGTGCCACAGTGGACTCACGCTTAAAACGTGCTGATCCCCGTGTGGCCATCTTATTGATATATATATTGGGACGCCGCGGGTTAAAGAAGGTATCGGGTCTACCTATATAACGAGTTAGTGCTAGAAATAATAGGAAGGGACCTCTAGCAGCTGGTAAAGTATATTGCATAGTACCGTAGAGAAAGAAATAACACAAAGAAGGCTGTAGAGTTGACAGTGAGATGGAAAAGATGTGTGAATAGCTTCCACTACACATGGGAACTCTTTGGACTAGGAGTGCGATAGTATACCTTTAATTAAGGAGTTCGTCAAGGCTGACAAAAGACTACAAGCTTCGAGAAGCCGTGGAGACCTTGAAGATTCCAACGGGCGATGTAGAATCAATTATTCAGGGCAGAACAGGTTCGCAAAGCAAGAAAGGCAAAACGATGTTGAGCTCAGGTTGGAAGGCAAGAGTGCAAGTTTTAGGTCTGAAAGGATATAGCACCGCACGTTGGAAACCCACTGGAGACAGGAAGAAGTGCTGCGTAAGAGTTTGGATAGATAACAAGGCAACCTTTTCCTTTCGAGAACCTAACCTTGACTTTATACCCGTCCAAGAAACGCGAGAACCATCTCCATAGCGAATCACCACGTCTGATTCTCTCATTTCATTCATCGTGCTCTTCAACGCGTTGCAAACGTGCAATGTATAAGTGCTTGCATGATGCAGAATGGACTCGAGACTCGTCACCAATAGGAAGGGACGGAAGCTCTCAGCTGAAGTTAGATCGTCCGATCCAAGAAGTGGCAATTAGAAATGTTGAGAGGTTTCCTCGAGGTCGCTGTTGTAAAGCACAAACAAAGATATAGCTAAGCGGGCGTCAACCACCAAAACAATATCAGCACTTGTGAACTTCAACGGATGGGAAAAGGAAGACAAGTGCGGAGTAAGATGTGACCATGCTACATAAGCGGGGCGTCGTGTTTCGGGTGGCACCAATCCCGGGAGTGAGCGTTGGAGCAAACTTTTCACAGCTCTCCATACTCTCACTGCCATTTTATAAGGGACTTGGAGTTTCTCTCGTGAATGCCTTCACAAAAGCACTTTCAGCGTCGAGATCATTTGCTTTGAGTATCGATTTCCCAATCTTAACCCCTGCAAGTTTGCAAATGAAATGCCACACCGATAGAAACGGGGAAAGTGGCGGCAAGGGCTGCCCTCGATCCTATCCTACTATCCTCGGGCTCGAGCTGCTCATAGATTATCTGAAAAGTGCTAGAATCGGGATCGGTGGGCGTCACTTGTGACCGCACACCTTACTTCACGATCCAATGACTTTATATGATGCGTTTTATTATCTACCAACTTGGTAGAAAATAGCGCGACAAGAGCGGGCTCAATACCTCGCTCTTATTAGATATTGAAAGTACATACTGTAGGTAGATAATCTATGCAAAGATTACCTGCAATTGAAGGCATAAAAGCATAAACGACACTGCAACACCCACGACAGCCCAAAGCCTTCCCGCTTACGTAAGCGCGTACACGCCCACGCCAGCTCCCATTAAGCGTTTAGGGGGTACACACGCCAAAATTCCGTGCTTCGTGTCATATTCCTTGTCAAAAACCACCCCGCAAATCCAATTTTGAGAGTGTCCACCCAAGATTCAGGATTCACGATTCAAGATGTCTCTCCAGATTCCTAACAGATCCAAGGCAAATGGCTCCCATGCCGCTACGAAGGCTGTCATTCTAGTGAGTTGCGCGAGGCCAATGCAAAAGGCCACTCATTGACAAACGTCAGGTTGGTGGCCCATCAAGGGGAACTAGATTCAGACCATTATCTCTGGATCTGCCAAAGGTACAACTCAATCTCCCAAAGATTACACGAAGCTACTTCTAATATATTCTCAGCCGCTTTTCGAGGTCGCTGGCCATCCCATCGTCTGGCATTGTCTCACCGCCATCGCAAAGGTCCCCTACATTCAGGAAGTTTGCATGATCGGGTACTACGACGAATCTGTGTTCAGAGACTTTATCAAAGATGCTTCAAATGAGTTCCCCCAAATCAAGATTGTGTATTTGCGGGAATATCAAGCTCTGGGAACTGCGGGAGGGCTCTACCACTTCCGCGATGCTATTCTAAAGGGTCGCCCAGAACGTTTCTTCGTCCTCAACGCAGACGTTTGCTGCTCGTTCCCATTGAATGATATGCTCAAGCTCTTTGAGGACAGAGATGCTGAGGCTGTTATTCTCGGCACCCGTGTTAGTGAAGACGCTGCTAGCAATTTTGGTTGCATTGTGTCAGACGCCCATACCCGCCGAGTCCTGCATTACGTCGAAAAGCCCGAATCTCATATCTCGAATCTTATCAATTGCGGTGTCTACCTCTTCTCGACCGAGTGTATTTTCCCCTCTATTCGAAGTGCTATCAAGAAACGCACTGAGCGTCCACGCCTTGTCTCATACCCATCCTCGGAAAACCTCGAATCATCCTTTTTCCAAGACGAAGATGACGAAGAAAAAAAGAACGAGGTCTTACGATTGGAGCAGGATATCTTGAGTGATTTGGCAGACAGCAAGCAGTTCTTCGTCTACGAGACAAAAGACTTCTGGAGACAAATCAAAACTGCTGGTTCTGCCGTGCCTGCCAATGCTTTGTATCTTCAAAAGGCATGGCAAACTGGATCCAAGGAGCTTGCAAAGGCATCTGCGAACATTCTCCCACCAGTCTTCATCCACCCCACCGCACATGTCGATCCTTCCGCGAAATTAGGTCCCAATGTGTCCATTGGCCCACGGGCTGTCGTTGGCGCCGGTGTTAGGATCAAGGAGTCAATTGTGCTGGAAGATGCCGAGATCAAGCATGATGCTTGTGTCCTCTACTCGATCATTGGGTGGAGCAGCAGAGTTGGCGCATGGGCTCGTGTTGAAGGAACCCCGACCCCCGTCAACAGCCATACTACAAGCATCATCAAGAACGGGATTAAGGTCCAGAGCATCACTATCCTAGGAAAGGAGTGCGGTGTTGGTGATGAAGTCCGAGTGCAGAACTGTGTCTGCCTACCATTCAAGGAGCTGAAGCGGGTAAGTGCACCGTTCTCGATACTGCAAAGGGATGCTAATTCTTATAGGATGTTGCCAATGAGGTAATCATGTAATCGATTACTACAAAAGCAATGTTAGGCTACGGGGTCAGGCCACGCGGGAATACCAAATGTGGGCGTTTGTTCATTTTCGGAGCACAGAACTTTTGGTGGCACATAAAACCTAAAAACTCACATAAGAGAAAATCTCATACATTCACCACTTCTTGTCACTTGTCTCAACCTAGTTTCCTTTCAAACCACAACATATGAAGTACATGTTAGTAACATTCCCATAAACATCTCCCATTCCTAGCTCGGTGATAACTCGCATCGGCGTTTAGATTGCAAGACAGCACTTTGTGCTGCCCCTCCTCGTAGTGGGGTATTTACATTCGCTTATAAATCAGATTCCACCTTATCCTATCAGTGTGATTCGGACAAGCTCCAGACTTCGGCACAGTCAACTTTCGCATCATGGCATAATAGATTTGTCATTTCAAGAGAGGCTGGCCATTGGTAAGTGACATCACGGCTAAGAACAAGGGTCTGAGCAAAATATATATAACCGCTCGGAAACATCTATAGTTCTCTTCTTTCCATAGATAACATAACTGTTCGTTGGACTTATACTTGCCCCTCCTGCATTCCAATCTTTAAGCAACAATGTCTACGCATCATGCAGTGCCTACGAGGCACGGGGAAACACAAAGCAAGCCGGGAATACCAAATAAGCCTGCGCCAGGCGTGAGTTCCTCAAAAATACCAGAAGCCCAATTTACAAGCACTTACACCTTTACAGATCTCCTACTTTACTCCAGCCCAAGTACCTCCAAGTGGAACGGCATCCGATCCACAGCCAGACAACACGCCAATTCCCAAACTCTTCACGCCGCTCAAAATCCGCGACCTTACTCTTCAAAACCGCATCATTCTCGCTCCCCTTTGCCAATACAGCGCCGTAAACGGACACCATACGGCATGGCATTTCGCACATCTAGGTGGCATCATCTCACGTGGTCCAGGCCTCGCTATAATCGAAGCCACCTCCATAACGCCGGAAGGACGCATCACGCCTGAAGACTCGGGGATCTGGTCCGATGACCACCTAGAAGGGGAATGGGGCCTCAAGAAAATCGTCGAATATGCGCATTCGCAGGGCCAGAAGATCGCTATCCAGATCGCGCATGCGGGTCGGAAAGCTAGCACCGTTGCGCCTTGGTTATCTCACGGTGCTGTGGCTACGAAGGATGTCAATGGATGGCCTGACGAGGTTGTGGCGCCGAGTGCGGTTGCTTATAACGCCGACCATGCGATGCCGAAGGCGTTGAGCCTTGAGGAGATTGAGGATTTGAAGACCGCATGGGTTGCTGGTGTTAGGAGAGCGGTTAAAGCAGGATTCGATGTGATTGAGATCCATAATGCTCATGGATACTTGTTGCATGAATTCTTGTCGCCGGTCTCCAATCACCGCACAGATAAATACGGAGGCAGTTTCGAAAACAGGACGCGATTAACGCTGGAGATTGTGGAGTTGACACGGAAAGAAATGCCCAAGGGAATGCCGCTGTTTTTGAGAATCAGTGCGACTGACTGGTTGGAGCATGACGGGTTCAAGGGGGACTCATGGAAGTTGAGTGATACAGTCAAGCTCGCTCCTTTGCTTGCAGAAAGAGGTGTGGATGTACTTGATGTTTCATCTGCTGGTAATGATCCGGCTCAGAAAATCTCTCCGGGTCCTGGGTACCAAGCTCCATTGTCGAAAGAAATCAAGAAGGCTGTGGGTGACAAGTTATTGGTTGGAAGCGTGGGATCGATTACAAGTGGGAAACAGGCAGAGGCTATTTTGACCGGCAAAGGGGAAGGGAGTCATGGGGATACGGAAGTTGACTTTGCGTTCGTAGGACGCATGTTCCAGAAGAATCCTGGTCTTGTGTGGGCGTGGGCTGAAGAATTAGGTGTAGAGATCAACGTGGCGAACCAGATGAGATGGGGCTTTGGGGGTAGACCTGGGGCACCGAAGAAGCAAAAATCCAGCTTCTAAATAGATTTAGTTAGATCTTGTCATAATATTTTTATTACTGAAAATACAGTATCTTTTCAGGTTCTTTTAAAGCCTTTTCTATGCTTTTCAAAAGCTACGAATATAAGTGTGAGTGAGGAATGGTATAAGTAGTGTGAAGTAGACGGTTTTAGACGCTTGTAATGAACATAATGAACTAACTCAGGGACAGCTTTAACCTGTATAATTCGATTACTACAGTGCATCCTTTGCCCAAGTATCACCTTCAGGCATTGTATAGAAGTGGTTTACTAACGACCTTTGGTATTTTCATCATGATGTTAGAAGAAGCAGGTAAGTTTCAGGGCTGACTTCCAACGTCGCGTAAACGCGTCTCCAATCAATTCAATCAATGCTGGCGGTGTGCAGGAACAGCACTCAAATACATCATCATCGTGTATGCATAGTTTCGTGGACTGAATCAAATTCCCGAGTGGGCTATCTATTTTCTACCTTTTGCATCCTCTTGACCCATTCTCATCCGATGCTTGACTCTATAACATATGACTACCTGAACGAGTAGACCTCGAGATCCCGACCAAAATACAAACATCTCAGCTTCGTCATGGATCGCCAGGAAGAGGCAGGAAGAAGCCGCGAAGGCCTCTTACGCTCATATAACAAGGCAGAAAATATTCCCCTCCGCAAATCCCTCGAAGATGCCTACAAATCCGACACAGATTCCGACATAGATGCCACAGAATTCCTCGACCGAGACCCCCTCAACGAACGCTCCCAATCTCCCGTCACCGCGTACGAACCCGCAAGGCGCCTCCGAAACATTCGCAATGCGTTTGCACGCCGCTCGAAATGCCTCATTATTACTCTCGTAGTCCTTATCATCTTCTGGTCAATACTGGCAGGTGGGGGCTTTTTCTTTTACAAGAAGAGCCCTTACGATGGGCAATCCCCGCCGTGGTATCCTACACCACTCGGGGGAACGGTTACGCATTGGAGTGAGAGTTATAGAAAGGCGGCAGTGCTGGTTAAGCAGATGACGCTGCCGGAGAAGGTTAATATCACTACTGGGACAGGATGGCAGATGGGATTGGCGGTTGGGAATACGGGTCCTGCAAACAAAGTTGGCTTTCCTGCGTTGGCTTTACAAGACGGACCTCTTGGATTGAGGTTTGCGGACAATGCTACGGCTTTCCCTGCTGGGGTTACTGTCGGGGCGACTTTCAACAAGGAGTTGATGTACCAGCGGGGCAAAGCACATGGCATGGAGGCACGATTGAAGGGAATCAATGTCTTGCTTGGACCGTGTGTTGGGCCTTTGGGAAGAATGCCTGCTGGTGGTAGGAACTGGGAAGGCTTCGGTGCTGATCCTGTGCTTCAGGCAATCGCCGCTTCACAAACCATAAAGGGTATTCAGGACGAGGGTGTTATGGCTACGATCAAGCATTTCATCGGAAACGAACAAGAACACTTCAGACAGAGCTGGGAATGGGGTCTGCCAAATGCCATGTCTTCGAATATGGACGATAGGACTCTTCATGAAATGTATGGGTGGCCGTTCCAAGATTCGATCAAAGCCGGAGTTGCCAGTGTTATGTGCAGCTATCAAATGACGAACAATTCCTATACATGCGGAAACTCGAAATTGCTAAACGGTATCTTGAAAGATGAATGGGGGTTTCAGGGGTTTGTGCAGTCCGATTGGCTGGCTCAACGATCAGGTGTAGCAAGTGCATTGGCTGGTCTGGATAGTAAGTAACTCCTCCCGGCATTTATTTCCTCTTTCAGAAGAATGTGGAGGTCATATTTATTCTCCAATGTATTCCTTAATCAGGCACGCTAACTATGGGGACTTGCAGTGTCTATGCCTGGGGATGGCCTCTTGTGGGCGAAGGGTAATTCTCTTTGGGGAGCAGAGTTAACCAAAGCTGTTTTGAATGGCTCTATTCCAGTAAACAGGCTGAATGATATGGTTACTAGAATCGTCGCTTCCTGGTATCAGTTGGGGCAAGACGACAAATCCAAGTTCGATGGCGAAGGACCCAATTTCTCCTCGTGGACAGATGATGAAATGGGACTTATCAACCCTGGGAGTCCTGATGATAAGGATATGAAACTTGTCAACAAATATGTTGACGTTCAGGGCAAAGGCGATGATGCCCATTCGATTGTCGCCCGTCAGGTCGCTGTTGAAGGAACCGTCCTGGTTAAAAATGATGATAATACGCTTCCGTTGAACAAAGATGGCTGGCCGTCTGGTGAAACGCACGATGCTAAATTTCGAGTTGGAATCTTTGGAGAAGATTCAGGAGAAGGTGAAGGCCGAAACGCTTGTGCCGATCGAGGCTGCAATACTGGCACCTTAGGTTCCGGATGGGGGTCTGGAGCAGTGGAATTCCCGTACCTCGTCACCCCAGCAGATGCTCTTGTGAAGGCCTTTAATACGGAACTGGTTTATGTTACGGACTATCCAACGAACCAGCCACCTTTTGAGATTGCCCCTGAGATCTTGAAAGACCAGGATGTCTGCATCGTCTTCGTCAATTCCGATGCGGGTGAAGGGTATATTGCATCTGAGGGGATAAGAGGTGATAGGAATGACTTATTGCTCCAGAAAGGAGGAGAAAAGCTCATAGAGGATGTTGCAGCAGGCTGTGGTGATGGGAAAGGCAGCACCATTGTGGTTGTGCATTCCGTCGGCCCTGTTGTGATCGACAAATGGGTCAATATTCCTGCTGTCAAGGCTATCATTATGGCTAATCTACCAGGCCAAGAGAGTGGCAATGCTATTGCGGATATCCTTCTTGGGAATGTCAATCCGAGCGGCAAGCTCCCGTACACCATTGGCAAATCTCTCGAGGACTATGGTGAAGGCGCCAAGATTTTATATTATCCAAACGGCGTAGTCCCACAACAGAACTTCTCTGAGGGGTTATACATTGACTATCGACATTTCGATAAGTTTGACATCGAGCCTACGTACGAGTTCGGGTTTGGACTTTCGTACACCACCTTCGAGTTCTCCAATCTCGTCATTACCAGCATTCTTCCCAAATCCCAACTTCCGTCTCGCCGCCCTGCTAGTATTACACCACCCAGTTTTGATGACAAGATCCCTGATGCGAGTGAAGCCCTCTTCCCCGAGAACTTCAGAAAGCTGAAGAAGTTCGTTTACCCTTACATTGACAAGCTCTCCGATATCAGCAAAGGAAAGTACCCTTATCCTGATGGATACGATATCAAGCAACCCCTCTCGCAGGCCGGAGGGGGTGAGGGAGGAAATCCCGATCTGTGGGATGTTTACGCCACTGCTGCAGTCGACGTCAAGAATACCGGGGCTTTGCCCGGCAAGGAAGTCGTGCAACTATACGTGAGCTTCCCAGATGTCCTAGGCGAAGCCAAAAACGTGGACTTCCCGGTGAACGTTTTGAGGGGATTTGAAAAGCCATATCTAGACTCGGATGAGACGCAGACTGTAAAGTTCAATCTCACAAGGAGAGATCTGAGTTATTGGGATGTGACGAGGCAGAATTGGGTCATGCCACATGAAGGCTCTATCACGATTAAAGTGGGCGCAAGCTCCAGAGATTTGAAACTTACGGGTTCGTATTAGGTATGTGGGGGGGAAAGGGGTCTTGCAGGAAAGGAAACAAAAACTGGAGTTGGGGTCATATGATTTTGGGTTGAAAATATATTGTATCATAGTAAGGTTGAGTTTGCATCTGGAAGAGCAGTAATCATCCATTGCTTTTATGCAGTCTCCTTATTTTAAATGCCTTGGGGGGAAGCTATTCACTCTCAACGTCAGGGGGTGATATTTGAATATAAGGACTTTGTAGATTCATGTGAGAATATATGGATTTCAAGCTAGCTTAGCGCAACACGAAGCTCGAAGAAGAAATTATAGTAGCTACTAAGTTCGATCCTTCCATATCAAAGTCTACCCGCCCGCAGTTTTTATTTTGGGGTGGGGAAAGATGCGATAGCGGTGACGGAGCTTCTTTCTGCTTTTGCATTAAGGGGAGGCCGTTGTGTAAACTGTACGGTACCGCCGAAAGGAAAGGATATAGTTTTAACTCCGCCGCTCTCTTCTCTGCTATAGATATGATACGCATATATACAACTTCAGTGGATGGCACAAGAGGTTGAGAATGAGAATGAGAAAGTATGGTGGTTTGTTGATTAATATTTCATCAGTATCAAAATATGTTGATGGGTATCTATTGCATAATCTATTCTACAGGTGCAAATTTACTCTTCTGCCTCAACGCAAAGCCGTACTTCATGAATATGAAAGGTACAGGTATAGCAATCGTTGCCACTGCTCCCAAGATGGACATTGCAGGCCCGACACCTAGATTATGGAACATAGGTTTAGCCACAAGGGGAAATGCAGCTGCCAAGACGCTGCGCAGAAAGGTATTTGCAGACACAGCGCTCGCGGCATACAGACCATACGTATCGACGAGAAAATTGATGCACTGTTGAAAGATGGAGTTGAACCCTGCGCCGATGAAGACGGTAGCGAGAACGGGAGACACCCAGAGGATTTTTGGATCGGCCGTCCAGCCGAACCAGAAGAGTCCTATTGCGAAGAGGAATGCACCGATTGCCATGGGAGCAAGTCGCGCTTCGGGAACTGGCTTCCCGTTTGCAGCGTCTGAGATGCGGCCGTACCGTCCCTCGTTCCCGAGATTGATGGCCATGGCGCAGATGACGCCTACGAACAGCCCGAGAAAGGGTAGCGAGCCATCGACAGCACCCCATCCACGGTCTTCTTCGAAGACGATGGGGAAGACCTCGAGCGTCAGGTAGAGCAGCGCATATACGAACGAGGCGTATATCGCAATGCATGTCACCATAGGTTCTGTCGTGAGCAGTATCAGAGGCCGCGAGAGATGCTTCGTGAATATAGTCTTGGGGGACAACTTGATGCGCTCGTGCGGGTGGTAGAGCGCCTCGTTCCCCGTTTCCTTGCGCAGACGCTGTGCTTTCTTCTTCAGGAGAACAGGGCTGTACATTTCGGGCAGGCAGAAAATACAGACTGCCAGGGTGGCGAAGACCCAAATGGCTTCGATATACTCGGTCCATCGCCAGCCCAGATGGGGATTGACCAGCAGCGCAGATCCAATCAATGGCCCGAGGGTTGGGCCACCCACTACAGCCACGGCATAGAAGCAAATGGCTGTCCCTCGCGCTTTGGGGTGCCAGATATCTCCCAGCGCCGCTGAGACATTGCTGACGGGTGCAGAACCGAAAAGCCCCCCGAAAAACCGGGTAATGAAGACGGATTGCGCGTTCTTACTCGTTGCCGTACCGATGGAAAACAGACCCAGGCAGAACAGCGCTGGCAGGATCGAAACCCTCCTGCCCCAGAGTTCTGACACAGGAGCCCAGCACAGTGGACCGAAGGCAAAGCCGAGACTAGAGTACGTTTTCATGTTAGCAATGCCATCTTGCTTGCCCACTCGAAGTGAAGTGAGCGTGGCGGGCGTGATGCAACTTACATGTACAACGATATAGAAAGAACAGAAACTTCAGAACTCACACCCATGTACTCGGCAACAACATTCCCAGCCGGCGAGATGATACTCGATCCCAAACTCGCAGCCAGCGCCAAAAACCCCAGCTGCACCGTGATCCAGCTCTTATACGCGGGTGACCAATTCCGGGGATTCTCCTGGTCGGCGTCTCCTTCCCAGCCAACGATGTTGGAGTCTCTCTCTTGGGTTTCCACGTCTTCATTTGCTTCTACGTCTTCTTTTGACGTCGGCGGCGCTGTCTCTTCATCGTTGGGTGGCGTGGCTGTGTCCCATACTACGCGTTCCTCAGGGGCTCGCGTATGGTAGGTGGCAGACATTGTGTCTACCTAGGCCTAGTTATAGTATACACAACTAAATCGTGTATTTTGGTATGCATCAGCATGTCCATGTCCAAGCCCTCCCACATATATACATTTCAAAGGCAAGGCAGAGAAAGTCAGTGCGGAGCGCGCCGAACTACGTTATAATTACCGTGTTTGTTCGTGCCGGATATAATTATTAGTTCGAGTGTCAAAGACTGCCTTATCGTAGCGGGAGACGGACCGGACGGTAGATGACGTTATTGATTCGCTGGCTCATACTTGTATGATCTATAATTATTTCCGTTTGTGGTTAGCTTACTTGTGCAAGTACGGATTGCGGAAACATACATCCTTTAGGGGGCGAAGAGCGAAGAGCGAAGGGCCGTGCCGAATCATATGGCGAATATAAATATATCGCCCTGTAATACTGTAGCCCCTGACAGCAAATTCTGCTATGATCACCAACTACAACAATCTCTTGAAGAATTTATCCTGAACATTTGGAAGTAAGGGATGAGAAAGGAGATATCTTTCATATCCAGGTCCTATCTACCAAATCTAGCCTCAGCTCTACAACTGCGCCTTGCCCAACTTCAAGTCTTCCCAATGATCCCTCCTGAATTCCACATACGTATGTCCCCTCCCCTTCTCATCAACCCACAACACCGTATCATCAGCCTTTACCTTTTCCGGATCAACGCCTTCTTCACGCAGTGGTACTTTGTTCTGCTTGTTGTTGTGGATAGGCGTCATTTCCTTCACGATGCGGATGAAGACCGGGACTGCGTATCTGGGGAGCTGGGTGCGTGAATGTCTGACGATGAGATTAGCACTCGGAAAGTAAGGTGTTGGGTGTGAAGAAGAGAGGGGCAAATGCATACTTGAGAAGGCCGGCAAAGTCAAACGTGTGCTTCGCATGGGGGTCAATGTAGACGGCCGCACATCCAGCCCTTCCATCATGAGATGGCAGCGCCACACCATAGACATTGGCCTCGACGACTCCGGGAAAGTGTCCTAGGACCTCTGCTACTTCTGCCGTGCTGACATTCTCTCCTTTCCACCTGAACGTATCGCCGAGTCGGTCCATGAAGAACCATCTCCCATCCCCTGTTCTCCGAAGCGCGTCACCACTTCGGTACCACAAATCCCCTTTCTTAAACACGTCTCTCTCAAACTTCTTCATCGTTGCTTCGGGGTTGTTGAAATAGCCTGCAAATTGCTTCACATTGGCGACTTGCACAATGACCTCGCCCCCTGTTTCATATGGCTGTCTGTAGGCGAAGCCTGTTTTCGGATTCCGCGCAATGGCGCCAGACGCCTGGTCTATAAGCACTGGGACAATGAGATTCCGGTTATTGTATCTGGCTATCGCGCCATGATGGCCTACACAGGCAGCTAGATAGTCACCTCTGCAGTAATTCACCAGTCCGAATACCCCTTCGGACGAGTTGAAGAACTCGACGACTTCAGGCACGTTGAAGCGTTCCCGGAATTTGATCCAGACGTCGGGACGGAGGCCGTTGCCGTACATGCCCCGAACGTTGTGGTCTTTGTCGAGAGGTGAGGGGGGTGCTGCGAGTAGGTAGCGGGCAGTCTCGCCGACGTATGTGATCCAGGTGGATCGAGAATCGTGGACTTCGCTCCAGAATCGCGAGGTGCTGAATTTCTTGCCGATGCAGAGCGTGATGCCCCACATCATCATAGTCATTGCCTGGACGCCGCCGGTTCCATGGTAGAAGGGCATACCGTCGTACCATCTATCGTCGTCTTTCATCCACAAGATACCTGTTGCTTTCTGTTTACGTTAGTTTGCTTTCCAGAAAGCACATATCAAAGTATTATACGCACCGCAGCTCCTTGCTAGAAGACATAATAATGTTAGCTACTTCTTTGGGCTGTGTTCTGAGAGTTTGGGACACTGTCAGAAATACTTGGAATGAAGGAACTTTGGATTGACTTGCCGCAAATCCTCGATCAATCTTAAACGGCACTCCCTTTGGCATACCCGTTGTTCCGCTTCTCCAATCAGAATTTCCTCTTCCAAAACCAGATATCACAAACCTACCTAGTATAAAACATAGCCATAGGCCAATCACCCCTCACACCCTCCCTCAACCCATCCTCCATCCTCTCCCCACTCAACCCTTCAATCTCCCTCCTAACCTCCTCCCCCATAACAACAGTCCTCATACCAAACCCCTCAATCCCCACCCTCTCCTCCTCAATCCTCCTCCGCAACCCCCCATCCTCATCAACGCACAACAGCTTTGCCCCACTAGCCCCCAAACAATGCACCAGCGCCCTGCCCCCCAGATTGTAATTGATCATCGCGGGTGCCGCGCCAATGGCCCACAGTCCCAGCCACGCAAAGATAAACTCCGGGTTGTTCATAAGGTAGAAGCCCACATAATCGTGCGGTCTCACGCCTTGCGCGAGGAAGAACCGCGCGTATTGGTTTGCACGTACGGAGGTTTGCGCCCAGGTGTAGCAGCCGGTCCGCGACCAGATGCAGTCACTGTTTGGGTGGGCCAGGACCGAGGCTTCGAAGAAGTAGTAGAGTGATTGGCGGTTGTTTTTTACTAGGCGGGGAATTAGCATGCTATAATGTGTTGTTTAGGTTTAGGTTTGGGTTTGGGTTTGCTAATCAGAAAGAGAGTGTGTATGTGTGTGTCTGTGTGTGTGATATTTTGATTAATGGGATGGGATGGGTTGGAGAGAGGATTGGGGTGTATGTAATGTTAAAGTACCGGCTTCAGTATACATCTTCATAACACTCCTCACACGCCGTATATCTCTCACGTCTCGTCGGATAGCATATTTGGCATCGAGATACATGCCTGCCGCGACGGCTGCTGTCGTTACTGAGAACCATATTGATTAGTAACAGAAGACTCGAAGCTCGAATTGACTTTAATATGATTGACAATAACTAATTGTAGATTATCGTCCAGCTTGATCACCCAACATCGAAGCTGACTGCTGACGTTGAAAGGTACTACAGTACATGGGCATGGTACCAGCTTGCAAATGCGGGGTAGTGTAAACCCTCCGGGCAAAATCCGGGGAAGAAAGAGCTTGTGCTGGTTAAGAATCTCACTCACCTAACGCCATCTAGGTCTCTTTGCTAACTCGCTCGCGCAAATGATTACAAACAAACACAAGATCGATCACGACTTCACAAAGGAATGGATGATATCTGAAAACGTCTCTGGGAGTTCAAGCTGGGAAGGAAGACTGTACTCGGGAAGATTGCCTACTGGTAAAATGCACTACAACGCCGAGGTAGGCAGGCAGGGCAGGCCTGCGTGACCCCGCGTCCAGCTATTGGCTGAGCGGCTACAAGTACGGAGACTGCAAGGTATTGTACGTTTCTATGCATTGCATCTATCCTAATTGTAGGGGCGGGCAACTTTGCTATCAAGATCGGTGTTTAAAGTCCGAAGTAAGTGCGTGACGAGGTAGCTAGCGGTTGACATGAAGATATGCTTGTCCAAGTATCAAGAAATAGGCTGATCCACATTTCACTTCTCTGAAAAACGCAGACGCAGACACAATGATGTATGGACTCCTCTTCATGGAGAGGCGGATAGCTCGTTTATCTCGTCATCTAAACCAAAAAAAACTGACCCGCTTGCAATTAAGGACCAAGGGAGGGAATCTCATCCAGTGTACAAAAGTAGTGTTATAAACATGGCGATCAAACCGCTTCAATGTATCTTCGCACCTCCCTATTCCAAAAGTCAGTATAAACGAATGAATCCTTAGGATGCTAACATACCAATCTGTTACAGCTTCGTCCCATAATCGAATCTCGTGTTCTCTCGTTCCACCATAATGCTCCACGAATTCATCACCAAACACTTCTCTAGCGATACTTTCAGGTTTCATGAATCTCTCAGTCGCCTCCTTTAGACTCTTTGCCAATCGTACTCCAGGATCAGCCTTCCCACCAACATCTTGTCCCTTGCCAAGAGGAGGTTGCTTGATCTCAAGCTTCTTCTCAACCCCTCTCCAGCCTAATGCCAAGATGGAGGAAAGAACAAAATACGGATTGGCATCTGCTCCTGGAACTCGGACTTCGAACCGCGTCGCTCCTGGCTTGGATGTAGGAGGTGCGATTAAGCGGATTGATGCGGCTCGATGCTCAAGACCCCAGGATACAGTTACTGGTGCCCAGAAATTCTCCACCAAGCGTTTATACGAGTTGACTGTAGGTGCAAACAGCGGCATGATATCTGGAAGTCCTTCAAGGAGACCAGCTAAGAAATGTCGCCCCATGTCGGACAAATTCGCGATATCGTCGTATTTAGCTTCCGTGTCTTTCTTTTCACGGAAGAAGAGATTCTTGCCATCTTTGTCAACGATTGAAATATGCATATGCCCACTGTTCCCGGGTAGTCCTTGTCTTGGTTTCGCCATGAAGCATGGAGTGATTCCGTATTGAGTCGCAACTGATTTGACAACATATCTGCAGAACATTAGCCAGAATATCATAGAATAGCTTAGGTACTGACTTGAAAAGTCCTGCTTTGTCTGCCATTTGTTGTATTTCTCCAAAAGATAATGCAGCCTCGAAAACTCCAGGTCCACTCTCCGTATGCCAACCTTCTATTCCACAATTGAACTTCTCGCAAGCATCAAAAATTCCGTAATAGTAGTCCTTGTTATGGACAGGTCGAGTTAAGCTGTATCCGAACATGCCTTCGGTCAAGGAGGGAAGTGAGTTGACCGGATTGTCTCGGAGGAAGGTGGCAGTCGAGGAGTTATTTCGTTCTGCGAGGGGGCCATTGGAATCGCTTGTTGGGACTTTGAATTGGAAGAATTCGTACTCGGCTGTCATTGTTAGCGGAGGTCTTCTATCTTTTGGGGGGTCTTACCTCCAGCCATTGCGCCCAATCCCTTTGCATGTAACTTCTCCAACGCAGTCTTCAAGAGCCCTCTTGGACAGGCCGAGACTGGCTTGCCAGAATCTGGTTCGAAGAAGCTGACCAGAAAGAAAGGCACATTGTCCTCCCACGGTATCCTCCTGAAGCTGGTCAAATCGGGAATAGCGATAAGATCGTGGTATCCATTCTCGGCATTGCTAATCTTCAGCTCCTTGAAATATGTCTGATCGTGCATGTCCCAGCCAAATATGACAGAGCAGAATCCAAAGCCTTCTTTCGCAACGCCCAAGAATTTCTTCTTGGAAATTAACTTGCCGCGCAGGATGCCATCGACGTCAATACCGGCAAGCTTTACTTTGGAGTCATTTTCCAGGAGCCTTGGCAGCGAATCAAGAGTGACCTCTGCTTCTTTCTTGTCAGGCATCGTGGGGTATTTTTCGACAAGACTTGGAGGAATTGGAGTATGACAATTGCTCAAGACTCCGATTTGAAGTTCTAAAGGTCACTCAATTGCAGGACAAGGGAATGAATTTATCGGAGAGGAGGCTGTGGTGCGACAAGAACCAAGCAAGGAAGAGAGCACCTCCTTACGAGTACCTAGGTACAGTAAGGTAGGGGTAGGTAGAAAGAAAAGACGATAAGAGAGCGGGGTGGGGTCGGGGAGTTGGTCATTAGCTCACCGTGGTACTGGGAGCGACCAATCAGCGAGCTCTATTTCAGCTGGCAGCGGCAACGTCATAGTAAAGCTGGGTACAAAAGGAGGCCGGAACCCGGACAGGACAGTAGCTATATACCGTAGCTTGAGGTACTTGAGGTACTTGAAGTGAAGTACCGTACACGTACACGTACCTAGAACGGAATGATGCTTTTCGCAACATGTCACGACTTCCGATCATCTGACTACATTACGACTCGGGTTCTCGAGTAAGAGAATGGGGAATCTGATACCACTTTTGGGATAGGCGCGTCGATTGTCATGAAGAATGGCGGGGCACCGTTTTCTTTGACACATCGCCATCAGGCAGATATTGACTCGGGGGTGATGGAAAAACCCACATGCACGCAGTTACGAGTAAGGTCAAGGTGGTTAAGCTTCGGGAGCGATAAGAGAAGAGAGGAGAGACGAGGCGGGGAGGCTCATTAATTTTAATACGGGCCGAGAACGGCGTTTGACACATTGATAGAGCATACAGCAGTAGCCCTACGTTATACCCTTAATACCCTACCCTACACCTACACCCTACACCCTACACCCTACACACCTTTTTTCTTTGTGTGTGCAAATAAATAACTTGCCTTCTTCATCGCCATCTCCCTCACCCTCTGCCAAACCACATCTTGCTCTTACAACCCTCCAAAAACACAGATATATCTTATCGCATTCCTTTAAACTGTGCGTCTATCTATCCTATCTTCTCGTCTTCTAGTCGCGGTAAAAGGCAATCATAAGCGAGATCGGGACGCCCGTCTCCTTTTTTGCCTTTGTCTTCACCACGAGGAGTCATTTTTGAGGAAACACATTGCTAATTGAAGCCCAGATTCGCTTTCCGTGCAACCTACAGGATGACGGAAGATAGCTCGCGAACCAGCAGCAGTGGTGCTGTCCACACCATCAATAGCTTTGCTATGGGCAGACTTCATGGCAAGAATGCTGTAGTCACCGGAGCCGCCGGGTTAGTGATGATTCTTTTACTCTATTTCCAGAAACCTTTGAGGCCGTCGAGCGGTAGCTTTGAAGAGCAGGAGGCAGCTTCTTAAAGTGCAGAATCTGTTTTCCCACGTGACATGCACTTTTCTTGGCTTCTGTTTAGATCTTGGAACCCTTTTCAATTTTCAAGATGGAAGAATCGCTATTACACGTAGAGTTTCCCCTGCTTACAATCTGATAGTGGTATTGGTCTCGAAACATGCATCCTTTTCGCCAAAGAAGGTGCCAACGTCCTCATGGCCGACATCTCCGCCCCAGCCCTCGAGAAAGCATCAGCCAAGCTCAAGCAACTCGTTCCCTCAGCCCACAAAGTTGAGACCCAAGTAAGCTTTCCCTCCCCAAAACCTTGCGCATTACATCTACTTACAAAACCAGGTCTGTGATGTCTCCAAAGAAGCCGACATCAAAGCCCTAGTCGACCATCTCGATGCCTGGGGCGGCATCGACATCATGTTCAACAACGCCGGCATCATGCACGCAGATGACGCAGATGCCATCGACACCCCTGAGAAGATCTGGGATCTGACGCAAGCTATCAACGTCAAGGGTGTTTGGTTCGGCTCCAAGCATGCAATTATCTCCATGCGTAAACACGGCAAGACCAGAGGCTCAATCATCAACACCGCTTCCGTGGTGGCACTCGTAGGCTCGGCTACTCCCCAGTTAGCATATACTGCTAGCAAAGGAGCCGTGCTGGCCATGACGAGAGAGCTAGCGATCGTGCATGCGAGAGAGGGCTTCAGGTTCAACGCGCTCTGTCCCGCGCCGCTAAACACGCCGCTGTTGCAGGATTGGTTGGGAGATGACCAGCCCAAGAGACATAGGCGTACAGTCCACTTCCCGGGTGGAAGATTTGGTGAGGCTATTGAGCAGGCGCAGGCGGTGCTGTTTTTGGCGAGTGATGAATCTAGCTTTATCAACGGTCAGGTGAGTGATCTTACAGTTGCTTGGAAGAATGAGCGGTGCTGATTTATTTTAGGACTTCGTTGTCGATGGGGGCATGACAAAAGCATATGTCACACCCGAGGGCCCTCCCTTGGAAGGACCAAAGAACAACGCTCTTCTATCCGAACAAGTCGATGCTATTCGAGGAACTGGTGTTCCCAAGGGCCCCTAAACCTTTTTCTAACGGCACAAATTTCATTTCGGCTTCCTATCTCTGCCTACGACCAAGTTGAGGACCTTTAGCGTTTGCTTTCGCAATACCTTTCAGCATAGACTACATTGGATTATTCTTGCGTCACGTACGATCGATGGTTGGGCGTTTGGGATCTGATTATTCCATAGATTGTTAGTATTGGATTCCTAGCACAAGATATGAGTTATGCCAATGAATGCAAGCCGGATGAAATATACTGGTGCATAATGTCTGTTATTTACACTAAGTAATTCTCCGGTGGAAAATCGTCTAGTTTCACTATTATGCCAACTCCCTACTCCATCCTCCCTCTCTCTCCCTCTCTCATCCAAACCCCTCACTACACCGGACATTTCTACATCCACATCAGTAAACACCTCTACCCCACCCCACGCCTCACGAGAACGGAAACTCACGTATGAAATACCAGGCATGATACAATGCCCATTAGAATCCTACCACCAGATCAATCAGCCCTTGCCCTAACCCCCAACGCCCACCACGTCACAGAATGAGAAGACTTACAGGCGCCCCCACACAAGTAGAGCAAGATTTGCTCTCGCAGCATTTATAATAAGTCTCAGCCGTTGCAGACGCGACAAGGGTCATGAAGGCGATAGCGAGGGTTTGGAAACGCATTTTTGATACTCGTTTATTCGTTGTATGTAGATGTAAGAGCGGAAGTGGGAATAGAGTTGAGAGTGTTGATTGAGTTGATTGATGGTGAAATAATAATGATAGATGACGAAAAGTCTTTCTCTTTATATACCTACCTACGTACCTACTCGACCAAGTAACTTACACGCACGAGGTGCTCGTCCGAAAAAGCTTATTTAGGAAATAAGGAAGGCCCCACTATCTCAAATCCAAGTATTGTAAAGGAGGAGGAGCGAAGGATCACCTTGTGTCTAACGATCGGTAGGTAGTGCCTACTGTCCTTAATTAATGCGCTCTGGGAAGAAACGCGTGTATAGGATGCGCTATGAGATATAGTAGAGGGAATCCTGCATCCTTGACCGAGTGAGGTACCTCGGTATTCATTGGTTGATTTGTTGGTTGGGGAATTAGTTAATTGTGCTTCTATTTATGTTTCTAGCTTCACCGCAACCGCACTTATGCCCTGAAACACACTCAACCCGCCTCTACCTAATTGCCTTGTTTTGTAGAGCAGAGCAGAGCAGAGCCTTGGTCTGGGTCAGTTATATTTTTAATTGCTTCAATTCATTGGATAGATACTAGATACTAGATAGGTAGAGTAGATAGGTAGGATGATACGGATGATATAGAGTAAGTAATTTACCGGATTTAGGATCTTGTAATTAATGCAAATGCATTTAGCGTAGCTAGAGACTCAATGTACTTCCCCTTCACTTTTCATCTACCTTTCTTTTCTTATTCTTATAAGTTTTTGTATGTTAGGGTTATATCTACGCTCTTGTATATAAGCATTATACTTGGTATACTGGTCAAAGTCTTATAGAGCCAAACGTTGTGTAAAATCAGTAGAGAAATTATGCAATTATAATTTCTTCCTTTGATTTATGTTCTCATATAAATAGTAAATACACGCAGTAGAGGTATACAAAGATCTCGAAATTCTCTTTTAGAAATCCGATCCCTTAAAAATGGTTGAGTGATTAGAATATTGCCTCCTCATTACCCGCCACTTCCTCATACCTCTCCTCGCTATTCCTATAAGTCTTCTCCCCCCTTATCCGCCAATACACCAACACCGCGCCCAGAACCAGCACATAAACCACGCACACATAATTCATATTCCCTGCATTAACCGGCATCACCGGTGGGAAGCTATACATCACCAGCGTAAATGCCGTCCACGCAAGTAGCACCCAGTTTGCCACCAACCCGTACTTCCCCGCCCAAAACGGCCCATGCCGTATACTATCCCGCCCGCGTACCAACAAACACAACACCGGAATACTATACGAAACGTACAACAGCACAATGCACGCCGTCACCATGCTGTTGAATGCCGTGTGCGAACCCAGATACAATAGTCCCAGCACGGCAACAATGCTACAAGAAGCCACATGCGCGTTAAGCGGTCCGTCTAGCACGGGATGAATCTCCGCCAGCCAGCTTGAGCCCGGTATCCCGCCATCGCGCGCAAAGCTCCAGCACAGCCGGCTCTGCCACGTATGGCTCGCAATCAGACAGCCCAAGCCCGTGATGATTACCGCACACTCCAGCGCGACGGCGCCACGGCGCGACGATAGGGCTTGGTGGAAGAGCTCGAGGATCGGGACCTTGGTGGGCGTGTTGAAGAGGAGGGGCAGCGAGGACATGGAGAAGAACATGGAGATGCTGTATAGCCAGCTTGTGGCGAAGCCGATGGCTATCGTACCCATGATCGCGATGGGGATTGTGCGTTCGGGGTGCTGGACTTCTTCTGCGAGGTGCGTGGCGCAGTCGAGACATGCAAAGGCCCAGTTAGTGTTGATGAGGCCGACGATAAAGGCGATGGTGTTGGAGTCCCAGCCGGTGTTGTTTTCAAAGTGCACGAAGACGAAACGGGGGGATTGGTGCGTGGTAGCGGTGCTGGGGACCGTGATGAGAATGGTGGTGAAGGAGAGGAGGGAGAACCAGAGCGTGAAGGTTGCGATGCGGGGGAGGTGACGGCCGTAGCAGTTAAAGATGAAGGCGAAGGCATTGACGAGTTGGTAGGCTAGGACCACCATCCAGGGGCGGATTTCACTTTCATATGGTTAATAGGATTCAGAGAGGAGGGAGGAGAGGCTTAGGTGACGAACAGAGTTGGATGCGTGAGCTGTATACATCCCACAATAGCACTACCCAATCCCAACGATACACTCGCCGAAGTGAAGATACTCCCAGCCCAAGCAAACCACCCCGTGAGGTAACTAGCAAACTTGCCATAGCCCTTAGGAGCCAGTTCACCCGCCCAGAAATACTGCCCCCCAGCATTCGGCAGCGCACTAGCCAATTCTGACAACGAGATACCGACACAGGTAGAAACAAGAGCAATAAGCATAATGCCATACACGACCAAGACCGGCCCTCCAGAATTAATCCCAGTCACGAGCGCAGTCGATATGCCAAACCACGAATTCGTGAGCGAGAACCCAACACCTAGAAGTGACCAGACGGAGAATTTCCGCTTCATGCCTTGCGCATATCCCATTTCTATTTATTGCCAGAAGAATCAGTAAATCATCTTATTTAACCTTGACAGTCACCTACGCGCAAGCTTCGCAGCATCTGAATCACCCGCCGTGCTATCATTATCCGATACCTCAGCGCCATCCCATTCTAGGGGACTAGTCGAAGGACTGTCATTTTTGGGGAATGCCATGCTGGTGAGTCCGTATGCGTTGGACTTCATCTGTATACCTATGAGGTAGTACAGTAGGTAGATTTGGACGTCCCGGCCCGCGAGTCATGAAGTTGTGAGATTTTGGCAAGCAACTGCCAACAGCACGATAACAATCTATCTACAGTACGCTAACAATCTACCTAGATCTGGCTGTCGCAGGTCTGAAGTCCTAGTAAAGATGTAACTATAATGACAGGCATTGGTACCTACTGTACTGTAGGTAGGGAGTGACCGAGGATAGTGCAGTTAACATAATTGATCTGTACGAGTACGAGTATCTACAGTATGCAGTGATGTGGGGTTCCTAATCTACCTCCGTAAATCTGAGCCAAAACCTTCTCCGATCCGGCGCATGGTAAGTTTTACAACCCCTATATTAATCAAAACGCTTCATTCAAGTCATACACTAGGTACTAAACACTACACTACCTAGTAGTCATTCATTGACTTCGGGATGTGTACCGAGTAACATGAACTTAAAAATGTCGCTCCCCTCCCATCGGCTTTTGAAATGCTTTTACCGGTACATTACGATCCTGCCGGGACACTGACCGACACGGATAAGGCATTAAATTTACCCTTCATGTTCTTCTGCCTTTTATTTTGCCCTTGAAAAGTTCTTAAGGTGTGAGGATGTATGTACAGTAGAGCGAGTCAGCCCTTTATGGTCCTTCTTATTAACTATCCTGCGCCTCTCGTTTCTATCGGATTTTCCTTTTCTCCATTTCCTTAGGGCTAGAACTCATCCTTTAATGAATTGCACTTTGAAGAGCGAGACAGGAGACTTCTATCTGCTTGTCTATTTCTCTTCTTCCGTTTGTCCTTTCGAGCTTCGAGGCCAGTCACGTGGTTTATATGAATCTTCGCATTTTTGCAACCCAGAGACCAGAAATTGGCTTTCACGGAATTATTCTTGGCAATAGTATCTTGCATAAGAGGTGTTTTGAAAATGTAAAGAGCGAAATCCAGAGCACTGTGTAAGAAGGTATAAGCGAACTCCCGAGTGTACAATATATCTGCAAGTTCTCATTCCATGAACCAAAAAATTGCAAAACCTTGAGGCCAACCGAAGTTGCCCACAGGAGAACCCCTAGCAAGCCTGCATTAAAGGGGTTTTACAATTCCTACTTGCCCAACACAATTTGCTCTGACCCACTTGGCCAAGTGGGCGCCTGTTGTGTTTGACGACAGATATTGTCTTAAAATTGAATAAGAAGTATATAGATTTTATGCTTTGGCGCCGAAGATTTAGCGATATTGCTGTGGGAGGGCCATGGAAATTACAAGTGCTTAAAGCCTCTCGATACACATCCTATCACCGATTCACCCACCATACCTAAAGCGCAGGTTCAAACCCCTCAACATCTACCTTCCACCCAACCGGAAACCGCGCCCCCTCACTCCCATCCCAACCTCCCGCCATCATCGCCACAGCCAGCAGCAAACTCCCCGACGCTGGAAAATACGGCGTCGCTACCCTGGGCCCCCCAATCGGCATCCCCACATCATCAAACGCAAAACCAGCATGCAGCAAATACTCGACCGCTTTTCCCGGCCGCCCGAGTCTTGCGGCGTTCATAGCTAGCATGGGGAAGTCCCAGCCAAAGAGATGTGCAAAATCCCAGAGCGAAGCTATTTTGTCGGCCGTGTTGTGCAGTACTGTTAGATTGAGATCCGCGGTTGGGGGTAGGAGGCCGTAGATGCCTAGTCATGGCGGGGTGATCGTAGACTGTAGTGGCGTCCGTCCACATGTTTGGCATGTCTTGGTAGATGGGGTAGGTGTCGTTGATTATGGGGAGGGGAGCGAGGTTCTGGGCTACGTGCAGCCAGGAAGGGGGGATGGGGAGGTGTTGGCGGGTTTTCCATTGTGCTGCTATGGTGAGGCCAAAACGCCAGTAGGCGAGTTCGAACGTTGGGTTGAACGTTGCGTTTGGGGGGGTGTTTTCGGAGACTGGGTACATTGGGGGACCGAGGTCGTAGAAACCTGTTTCAGGTCATTATTTGTTCCAATGCGAATATAATGAGGTGATGCATACCTGTTGAGGTGTTGTACCAAGCAAAAGAGACCATGAACTCAGCCGATTGTGTCAATATTTCATCCCATCTCTGCAGAGTGTTCTGGGTTGGGAAAGTCCTGTACTCGTTTTCAGCGAGATAAAATGGATGCGGCTGTTGCCATATCAAGAGCGAGTTGATTTCTCCGGGAGCTGACCTCCCTGATGGATCACTCATCTTGCCCCATCGAGCACCGGTATAACCCTGATATTGCGCTCTTTGAATAGAAGTTGGTAGGAACCGCTCATAGACTCCAGGCATGCTTCGATTCAACAACGCCCATTTTCCCCATCGGCCCCAGTGCATCAGATGCCACACAACCATCTCCAGATGGAATTTCCCGTACCATCCATTGTTTACAAGCCCCGATTCCTGAGGCGGGTCCTGTCCAGCTTCATTGACTGCAAGAAGGTATTGGGAAAGTATAATTCTACGCTGAAGCTCGGTGGCATTTTCATTATTTGATCTGGTGAGATCAATAAAAGCGCCAGTCTCCCAGTAATCTTGCCACCAGTCCGCTGATGATTTGGCAATTAAACTTGCATCGTCTCCAGCTTGATTACTCTTTCGCGAGAAGTTAACCGTCAAGTCTAAACTCGAATCTCCTCTTGGCTGGAGGACATATCGGTGAGTAGAGTTCGATGGTCCATTTATCAAAGCGTATCCGGACCACTGAATCGCTGTGTAATACGTAGTTTTATCAATGTTATGGGTAATTTGGGCTTGCTTTGGGCTCTTTTGGAGTGAAGTAGAGTGCTGTGATGTAGCATTCCAAACTCCGACAAATGGAGCATCGAATTTGTTGACATCTGAATACGGGTAGTCGAAGAATACACCCAGTTGGCCGCCTTTCAAAAGATCAGATTCGATTTGAATAGCAACAGAGTCAGAACCTGGGTCCACGTAAGTCTTGACAATCACTTGTGATCCCGAGACCTTAAACTGAGAGACGATCGTCCCAGAGTAGAGGTCTAAAGTCTGAGATTTATCTGACAAGTCTGTCTCAGTAACAGTTTCGTTGCCAAACCAAAACCCAATTCGTCCAAGGTTGATCCGCTGAGGGTTCTGTACCATCCAGTTGGATATGAGTGGTTCTGCGGGATTTGACTGGTCATAGTTTACAAGTCTGCCATGAGTCCACCTAGTCCCGGCCCATCAGCATGGTTTTCCTTCCGAGTCAAAGTCTAGCTTACCAGTCCAAGCCTGTGAAATCTGCCGGTGAGGTTTGGCCTGGTGCTATTGGCAAAGAGAAATTATGCCAGCCCCAAGATGAAAGAGTGCCAAATGGCATGAACGTTTGCAGGCCGGTTATATCAACTCCAAAGGCAAAGTTGCCATTACCTACTTGGACGGGAGTTGAATTGGAACTCGCATTTCGAACTGGGTTGAAGCTCTGCACTACCTCTTTGCGGTTAATCTTTGAATAGGCGGGCGTTAAGCAGATCGCCACTGTTAGTATGGAGGCCCAGACCCTCATCGCAACCACTTCAATGGTGTACTTGAAGCAGCGAGGCTATCCTTTGAAATTTCAACTCCTACACCCAACTAGTCCTGGATCTTTGGGACGACAATATATTTGACTGCGGGCAAGGGTAAAAGGAGGAAATAAAACACGAGTTGATGTTCAAATTGAAGATCAGAGCTTCACCTATACTTAGGTACTTAATCATCACTGAAACGAGGTACACTACCTAATTTTCAGGTCGCCAACACGATGATCATTGCTATTTTACCTCTGGTTCGGTATCTCGGGCAAATTGGAATGAATTCCAAGATACAACAAGTGGAGATGAACCTACATATATTGTGGTTTCTGGGGAAGTTGAGAGAGCGGAGAGGCGCGGGGTAACCTGGGTAAACTCATCCTCGAATCAGGGGCAGGCATGCTGCTTCAGGCTAGAACGTCACTGAAAGTTTAGTGGGTAACCCCTGAAATTCGATGCTACCGAGCGCCCTGTTTCTGGCTTTATTTCTCGAGGGCCTCAAACTTTGAACTACAGTACATGTATGCAAACTGCTTGTCGTTGATATTTCATTACCCAGAAGTTGAACCCGTCACCTATTGTTCCTCCAAAAGTCAAACCAGTTCAGACTATATTATCATCCATCTGCGTTTCTTTAAGAGGTGAACATTTTATTCAAGATCCACCTCATATAGCCAATCATCAACCTTCCGCTTCAAAGCACCGCTGCGAGGTCAAGAGAACCGGCGGTCAGATTCAAGTTCCACGGATTCTCAATCATATCAAAGTCTCCATTCCTGCGAAATTCAGCAGGTCCCATGTCATCACCGGCCCGGTTAATTCTCAAGACAATCTCTTTCTCGTAAAACCCACAACCGCCCGTCTCGTTTGGAGTCAAGTCTCGTAAAATATGAGCCACGGGAAGATATCCAGGGTCTGAATCATCCCAAGTTGTGATGGGAAGTATGTCACCTAGGCTCCAGGGATCGATAAGAAGCGTGAATATTTAGAAGGAATAGAAGGGCATGCCAGGACTGTACTTTACAAAATGAATAAACGCCTTTGATTATCAACATCGATAACGAGCTGCATGAAATCAAAATACTGAACATCAACGTGAGGTAAGTACGTAAAGCAAGAGAACACAAAGTTACAAAACGATGTGGCACGCAATCAAGTCACTACACCGCATCTCGCAGCACAACCCACATTCGTGGAATGTGTTCAAATTTTCTTCACCCAAAGCCCACACTATGTACAAACACTCCCTCCCCTTAGCCATCCATCTCGCCACGTCTCCGAATCTGATGCTGAAATCGAAACCTAATATGAAAAGAAAAAATAGCTTTTGATAAAATTTGACTCCTCCCAAACAACGTTTCTAATCGAGCGGAATCCCTTCATATTCTGCGAATCCGAGGGAGAGGTTCATGTTTTCTATTCATTTTAGTCAGTACTTGAATTCGATAATGATAATGGTATTGGAAGAAAAGGGGAAAACTTACGCAAACACTGTGTCGCAGCACCCTTCAACAGATTATCAATAGTTGCACAAACAACCACCCGCTTCCCACTGCTATGAACTCCAAACCCACCAACCTCTACGCCATGCTTCCCGCTAATGGCCTTGACACTCGGCGGCTCACCCGAGACCTTAATCAGTTTCTCGCCCGCATAACGTTCTTGGTAAAGTTGACGAATATCTCTACTCGTCATGCTCTGCTTGAGCGGGATACTGATCGTGTGGTGGATACCCTGGAACCAGACTGCTACGTGCGGGACAAAAGCTACTTCGACGCCTAGCTGGTTGCTGATTTCACGCTCGTGGATGTGGTCTGTGAGACTGTAAGGGATGATGTTGTTGGTTAGATTTTCAACGTCATTTTTAGGGGAGGGCTTGGTTCCTGCACCCGAATAGCCTGAAACACCGAAGATGGTGGGCTGGCCGCCTAGGAAGGGGACGAGGGGTGCGATGCCGACTTGGGCTGCGGTAGCGTAGCAACCTGGGTTGGCGATGCGCGTTGCTTTTGCTATGTCGGAACGGTTGACTAGTTCAGGAAGGCCGTAGGTCCAGTTCTTGTCGAAGCGGTAGTCGGCGGACAGGTCAACAATGACGCTGTTTTGGGGACCTTTGCCTTCATTGACGGCGTCGACGAAGGGCTTGCAGACGCCATTGGGGAGGGCCATTACCCAGCAGTCTATCTCGCCCTTTTCCTCCATGCGGCGTACATCTTCGGCGGTGAGGTTCTCGTAAGTAATGTCACGCTTTTCGTAACCTTTGAGCTTTTGACCAGCGAGCTCACGAGATGATACATGACGGAGGTCCATGTGAGGGTGGGAGTTAAGAAGACTGATAAGAGCTTGTCCGGTGTAACCTCTAGCACCGATCAAGGCAACCTTTGCCGGCTGCGTGTTGGAGGAGTTCTTGGTGCCAAAAGGAGGGTTGGGGTTAGTGGTAGTAGCATAGCCACGTGACGAAGAGACGATTGGTCTTGAGGTGCGAGACGTCTTTGCAACGGGGCGGCGAGCATTAGTTGAGAAAGCTCTTGCTTGCTGTCGTTGTGGCGTAGAGTTTGTCGAAGCACTCAAACCTCTAGACGCTTGCCTAGCAGCCCGGTGAAGGCGTGCCTCCAAATTTTCATCACCGAGCATTGAGCGGCCGTGCTTAGTGAACTCGGTCATAAGCTGCTTGACCTCATCGCCGTTCTCAAGTCCGTACCAGAACATGACCTCACCCTCCTTGGACAGGCTGCCTTCAGCTTTGTCGAAGAACCAAGTCAGGTTCTCATCGTCTTCCTTGACAGTCCAGACAAGCTTTGGGTGATCTTTCTGGATGGAAGCAAACACGTTATCCGCAACATTCGTCAACCAACCGGACTTTGTGATGGTGAATGTAGCTAGGTTGGCGAGAGGTGAAGTTGAGGATGGAGGTAGAACAATAGCAAGAGCATCCATAGGCTCGTCAAAGTACGCCTTGAACTCCCTCGATTTCAAGCCATCAACATACCTGTCAACTGTAGCTTTTGCATCAAGACCCTCACGATCCCTGACCAACACATCCTTAAGTTTTTGAAGGTCCTCGAATTGTGAAACGTTGGTAGCAGTAGCCAACTTGTTTCCTCGTCGGATGAGAGTTCCAGCACCGCTATCGGTGAACAATTCCTTCTGGAGATCCGCTGGGTGGATAATAGCTACACTAGTAGTTCTTGGAAGACCCTCAAGCAAGTCCTTGATCTCCTTGATCTTTAACCTTGTACCATATCGACACCACCATTGTGACATTAAGTAGTCGTATTCTTCATCCAAATTAATGGCGGAGATCTTCTCGTTTGTGTCGGCATTGAAAAGTCCACCCTTCTCAGACAGGTACACAATCTTCAATGGTTGAAGGGCACGGGCAAGCTCTCCGGCAGCTACATCGGCGTTGACATTTAGTACCTGGCCCTCTGGGGTCTCAGCCATAGACGTCAAAATAGGGAGACATCCTGCATTAATCGCAGCTTCGATAGGATCCTTGTTGACCTTGTTGATTCTGCCAACCAGATCGTATTTGTCCTTGTCCAAGTATTCCGCACCAAAAACCCCGGAAGTAATTGGGCGAGCGCGAACTCCTAATTCTTCCAATTTCTCAACCAATTTCAGGTTCTCCTCTAAGAAGAGCTTCCGCGCAACTGCCAATGTCTTGCCATCAGTAATCCGGATCCCTTCTTCGAACTGAGGTTCCACGCCCGCGTCCTCCAAGAGCTTGTTCAGTTGTGGTCCAGCACCGTGTACAACGACGGGGAATAGGCCAACATGGTTGAGGAATGCGAGGGCAGAGGTGAGCGATTCGAGATGCTCCGTGATGATAGCTCCGCCGACTTTAATAACGGCGAATTGCTGCGAGGAAACGGACGTAAAGTGGGAAAGGTACTGTTGTACTTCCCTCTTTGACCCGATATTGCTAAGTAGTTGTACGACCGTGGAACGAGTCGAAAAGTTGTCCGAACCAGGGGCAGAATAATCCCGCCTGGAGATCAATGCCAGAGAAGCAGCAGCTTTTGGCAATGTACGGACAGAGGTCGTAGGAAGACGGCTGGCAGCTGTGAGTGCCCTTCTGGCCACAGCGCCAGCTGTTGTTCGTAGGGCCAGCATTTTGAGGGTTTATGAGTGGAGATTTGAGTGTAAGGGTAGGAAGGATCTTTCTCCAGCTCCTGTAGAGCAACGAAGCTGTAATCGGGGTGCCCAAGCAGCAGTTCTTGCGCGTTTATCTCATGAGAAAGGCGGGGGGCATAAGCAGTGGGAAAATGACGCAGACTAGGGCAGACAGAATGTTAGTGCCTGTGACGATGGCTGTACAATATCTCTAGAGACAAAGAATTGAGGGGATTGAGAGAAAATCGGGAGAAGATATACCTTGAAAGATCAATGGATGATTATATAAATTCGTTTTGCGGAGGTCGAGTACCGCTCTGGATATTCATGAGTCCGCAATCAGTGGCATGGTGGATCAGGCCTCCGAATTTCGCACTTCGGATTGGTGCCGCACTTCCCTAACAAGATTTCCCCGTAAAAAGAAGGAAAAAAGACTTTGCACTGCACGACGCAAAATATTTTTTATCCTTCCCGCAGCAGCTGACCACTTACAAGACGAGTAGGGTTACTTGAATGCATGGTGTATGCCCTGCAACTGCGAAGGCGCAAATATGATTTTGAAGAGCCTTTACAAGTACTGTCTGCACTGGACTGGACTGGCGTTGGTCTTGGCTTCATCTTTCATTACTGTTGAATCACTTCGAAGTTGCGTGGATAAAATGTCACTACATTCAAACGTCCCGTCATGATATCTCCATTATTCCCTTCCAAATTCTACATGATACAATCCGCTGCATTGAGTGACCACTGCCAAACTCCAGCGTTCAGCGTCGTCAGCTGCATACTAGGCCCGGCAGTCCCTCACCAACGGTATATGAATGTGACGCCCATCGAGAAAAGGAAACCAACGTAAATTCAGGTAAAAACTCCTTGATCGCTAACCATCGATGTACGAGCTCGCTCGTAGCCAGCGAGTGCCGCATGCAGATAGGATCAGATATCCCCGCGCCTCATTTCAAAAAGCTAACACGCTCTCAATTCCTCCCCTTCTTCAACATCTAACTTCTTAATGCTTGGTTGCGACAACTAAAAGAGGTTAATAATGATCTCGAAGTTTGATTTCATTGTGCTTACCAGCTGGGACAATGATGACAATAAGCAAAATGATTATACCAGCAATAAGACACATTCTCATCCTACTTTGGGTCAGTCTGGATCTTTGAACACGGCGCTTTCTAATCACTTTATATCTTTCCACCACATTTGTTTTCGTACCCGATTGGCACCGCGGCGGAAGCCTTGAGCAGATACAGCTAGGTTGTCGGTCTTGTCTTGTAGGGAATCGAGACGTTCACCACGCTGGGAGACCTTGTTGATGTTTTCGCGCATCACACCAACAGTATCATCGATTTGCTATATGAACGACGTATTAGCCAGTGTTCTCCCCAAATATCCATCCATGGCAATGGTGTCGGGTGAAACGTGGCGGAATGGGAGCTATTTCGGAGACCGATGTTATCGACCTTCTATATTCCTTCGATGCCTCCTTGAACAGCACTTATGATGCCTGCTCCGTATTCATGACTTCCGCTCTTGTCTTGATGTTATCCGTCCAGTGCCAGAGTGTTGGGTTGCACGAATCTGAAACCAATCTGTCGCAAGCTCAGATACAGAGTAGATACCTCGTCCAGCAATACCAACGTCGCCATGTCATGCTGTCAAGTCCGTAGCTTCCATTCAGGTTGAAGATCGGCCATTCCGATGTGATTCGTGTCGTCTTGGCGATGCGGCAATTGATGACTGGCAAGATCGTACCCGGCTCGACCATCCACGGCATCCAGGAAGTAGCGCACCGTCTGGAAATTCTCATCTGGGAGGTAAAGGGAAACTTACTGCTTGTAAAGCTGCGGTTCGTTGGGTGCCTGGCTGTGATGATGCAGCTGTGGCTCCTCCGGCGGCAGGTTGCCCGCCGCTGGGGATGTAAGGGTCATATTGAGGTTCGCGACTGTCGGCCATTGTGATTTTGTGGATGGGTTAAGACGCAGATGGAAAAGGTAAATCGCTGTTCTCGGAGATGCAGTTGTGAGCTCGTGGATGCGGTGTTTGCGGTGTTTGCGAAGTTGTTTGGAGAGGTTGGGAAGACGATGTGGTAGTCAGTAGATTGAAAGAGGTAGGCCTGCCCTGCCTCGCCTGCCAAGCGTCTCTAAAGCGAAACAGTCTCCTAACGTACGTAGTCTCGTGACGGATGAATAACTTTGGTGGGAGACAGAAGATTGAATGATGAAGAAGAGGATGAAGATGAGGATGAGGACAAGGGCTGTGATTACTCGGTATTTAAATAGATCTATTCATAGTTCTTTCATCCGAGTATTGCGAGTGTACGCAATACTCGCCTTCGCCAGTCCCAGTCGCCGCCATGAATGATTTCACGTGAGGGTGTGTGGCTGAATAGAAACGTGGCTGACGATTATCTGCTTTTTTAACCTGGCTGCCTGGCCTGGCCCTGGACGCGATCGCGACTCGGTCGCACGAAACAGTTTAACTCTCTTTCAACATATTTCCACCAGTTCTTTCCTCCCTTCGTACCACTCACTCCCTTCGTACCACGGCTCTGGGTACACAACTCCACGTGCATCAGTCATGGAGCAGTTTGACCAGCCACTCAGCCAGCCAGCCAGCCAGCCTCGGTCAACAAGTGATCCATCCCCAGCTCGTATTCCGTACTCCGAGTGCTCCGTAATGTAATGATATAATACGGATTAGAATTACTAGAGGAGTACCCAAGGTAGCCTCCACCCCCTGAGTTCTTGCCAAGACGGTCTATTGAATCTACCTAAAGAGGTTCTTGGCTTCTAGATTGTCCAATGATGGACTCCAATCTCCACCCGGTAAGGAAAATGGGATTTTCTCGACCAAACAAATGTCGCTCCATTGTTACTAATCCACACTCTTAATTCAGCCTTGCCGCTTCTCAAGCCAGATGCGGTCAAGTTGCTGGCATCGTATCTTTCTTTCTAGGCTTCTACGAAGTACTTCGTAGTGTAGCCCTCAGGTAGTGTAAATACAACTTCCCCACCTTCACCTTCACCTTCTCCTCCATCTCCACCTTCAAGCAATTCTCCTCAACTTTTCTGTCAATTCTCATGTCTTTCTATACACAACTCTTCCCGAGACAGCCTGGACCGCTATAAACTTTTTCTTTTCTGCAAACATCACATTCCTTTTAAATATAGACGAGCGCCTTCATACATGGTCAACGTCATTATAAGCTACTAAAAGCGGCGGGTTCATTAGGGTATCAACGGATTTTCACTTCAACGCGTGTTGAAAGGGCATTGTTTCGTGGGGGAAATTCAAACGAAACCCTCAAAGTCTTGTTACCAAAGCCTTGAAAGAGGAGGACTTGGAAGTAATTCCCGCGCTTCCGGCCCTCTTTGGGGGATATATCCGGACACCACTCACTTGGGATGAGGTTTTCGAAGTCTTTGGCCAGCATGGCCACAACATTCCTTGCTGGAAGTCGCGTCGCGCAAGCTATAGATCTTGATGTGACCTCGCAAGGTAAGTCGTGACACAATTTAGACCAATTGTGCGCTTACCTAGTCAACAGATTCCATAAAAAAGGCGGCGACGCAGCTGGCATACGACACAATGGTCTATTATAACGGGAATCTGACTGGGCAAACACCCGGTCTCCTACCGCCACCATATTATTGGTGGGAGTCGGGGGCATTGATGGGTGCGATGATCGATTATTGGTATTATACGGGCGACAAGACCTATAACGACGAAGTCACACAAGCCCTCCTCTGGCAAGTTGGACCTAACCTGGACTACATGACGCCGAATCAGACAAAAACCACAGGAAACGACGATCAAGCCTTCTGGGGAATGGCAGCCATGTCGGCAGCCGAACAACAGTTCCCAGACCCCCCTGCAAAGCAGCCGCAATGGCTTGCCCTTGCGCAGGGTGTTTTCAACACGCAAGCAGTCCGTTGGGATACGAGTACATGCGGTGGCGGTCTACGCTGGCAAGTCTTTACTTTCAATATTGGCTACAATTACAAGAATTCGATTTCCAATGGGTGCTTCTTTAATCTCGCAGCCCGCCTAGCGAGATACACTGGCAACGACACCTACGCTCAATGGGCTGTGAAGGCATGGGATTGGATGGAATCTACCAATTTAATAGACGAGAACTACTATGTTTATGATGGATCGGACGATACACAGAACTGCTCGAAGGTGAATAAACTTCAGTGGACCTATAATGCAGGAGCAATGCTTCTCGGTGCTGCCAACATGTACAGTTATACCAACGAGTCATCAATGTGGCAAGAACGTGTCTCGGGCTTATTGAACGGGACCGATGTATTCTTTCCTGAGAATGCAACCATGGTAGAAGTGGCATGCGAAAATACCGGAAAATGCAACGTTGATCAACATTCCTTCAAAGCGTACTTGGCCAGATGGATGGCTGCAACGACCAAGCTCGCCCCTTGGACTTACGACGCTGTCATGGCCAAACTTGGGCCCAGCGCGGCTGCTGCTGCGCAACAATGTTCTGGAGGCGACAACAAAAGGACTTGCGGCATGAAATGGGCAATGGGGGACGAATGGGATGGAAGTTATGGAGTTGGTCAACAAATGGCAGCCTTGGAGGTTGTCCAGAGCAATTTGGTCCAACAGGCACGAGGACCTGTCACCAATAAAACGGGGGGCACAAGTAAAGGCAACTCCGCGGCGGGAACCGGTGGTACACCTATCCTCTCAGTAACTGGAGCAACGACAGCTGGGCGAGTAGGCGCTGGTTTCCTGACGACTTTCGTTTTGGCGTTGTTCGTTGGAGTGACATGGTTCATGGTCATAGACGACTGATGGGATACAAAGACTTGTATATAATCGTTACGGCATTAGGAGGTAACGGCCAAAGAAAACAAGGGGCTTCTTGGGTGGAAAAGGTGTTTGGTCTTATGGAGTTTATAAATTGGTAAGGTAGATGACTGTATATATGGGAGGGCTTGTAAAAACTACCTAATTGGTAATGTGTATAAGACATTGGAGAATCAGAGATGTGGCAATATTCATTGATATTCTACAAGCCTGGCAAACAGCAGTGAGGACAATTTTGACTGGGAATCAGAAATTTTTACAGTTGTAGACATACCCTTATTGTTTATGAAAATTTCACCCCTTGGACCCAACACCAATTATTGAAGAAGAAAAAATAACCTTCTTGATCCTCCCGAGGCAAAATGCGACTCGGTTCTCAGTCACGTCTCGCTGCCGATCCCCTCATTCTCGCGTTCTCACATTCAGCAACAATGATTAAAATGCACACAACAATCCTATTTCCCTCAAAATGAGGTAGGATTATCAAACGAGAATGTCTAAAATAATAAGCGGCCCGGTGCGGCATCGCCAATCCTCTATCCCTCTGCTCCCATCCCTCTACAGACAAACATCCACTTCAACACCTCTACGTCGTCAGAACCGCCTTCCTGCATCCTATGTAAGTCAATTACAACTACTCTTGACTGCACCAGTCCGGCATAACTAACCCACTTCCCAGTATCGCGGCGGCACCTCCCGCGCTATAATATTCTCCGCCTCCTCCCTCCCCTCCAACCCTACCCTCTGGCCCCCCATCTTCCTCTCCATCCTCGGCTCCCCCGATCCCCATGGGCGCCAACTCGACGGTCTCGGCGGTGGCATCTCCTCCCTCTCAAAAATATGCATCATTGGTCCCTCCCCGCACCCTGCTGCAGATGTGGACTACACGTTCGCTGCCATAGGCATCAGGGACTCCGAGGTAGACTTCTCGAGTAATTGCGGGAATATGACTAGTGCGGTGGGGCCTTTTGCTGTGGATAATGGGATGGTGGATGTAGGGGATGGGGAGAGTGATGTGACGGTCAGGATTAGGAATACCAATACGGGGAAATTTATACATGCGCGGTTTGCGGTTGTGGGTGGGGAAGCAGCTGCGGGGGGTGGGTTCGAAATTGATGGGGTTGCGGGGAAGGGGGGGAAGGTCCAGTTGAGTTTTATTGACCCTGCGTGAGGGCTTTCTTTTACTAGGCATCGAGTTCCGGAAAGCTAATGTGGGTTATAGGGGATCGAAGACAGGAAAGCTGCTACCGACAGGAAATGTGGTAGATATGTTTAACGGCGTCAGGGCTACGTGTATAGATGCGGGGAATCCGTGTGTTTTCGTACAAGCGGAGGACATGGACATTGAGGGCACGATACTTCCCGACGAAATCGATGCGTGCCTTCCTCTGCTGTCAAAGCTGGATTCCATTAGACGAAAAGCAGCTGTGGCTATGGGCCTCTGTCAAGACGAAGCTTCTGCTCCTGGTTCGATCCCCAAGATTGCTATGGTCTCACGGCCAAAAACACATACGTTACTATCTGGGGAGACGATTGAGCAGGAGAAAGTGGATCTGGTAGTCAGAGCTCTGTCAGTAGGCCAGCCGCATAGAGCTGTGCCTATCACGGTAGCTATGGCTATTGCTGCTGCCGCGAACCTCGAGGGATCAACAGTGCAAGGCAAAGTCTCGAGTGAGCGCGTTGATCCTGATGGGATTACGCTCGGTCATCCGTCGGGCAGGCTTATGGTGGGTGCGAAGTTTGATGAGAAAGGGCATTTGCTGCAGGCGGATGTGTTTAGAACGGCGAGAAGGCTTATGGACGGCTTGGTCTATTGGAAGTGAAGGCGGGAAGTGTCTGCTACTTGCTGCTGTCAAGCGCCGCAGCCCAATACCGAAACATGGACAAACAAGTGACGGCAACGATTCCACGAGGTATGAACCAATAACTCCCACATTACCGACGAGAAGTACTTTAGTTGTAGCATCTAGCCGCTAGCCTCGCATCCACGTCGCAAGGCAAGCCCCAAAATGAGGTTATTTATTTATAAATAGATTTTTGTTGCACTTCGCACCCAACATCTAAAAATGTCTCGGAAGCCACTGCCCCCTTAGTTTGATCCCGTGAGTCGCGAGCCGGTCGGCACCCAGAATTTACCCTTTCCCGGAGAAGCCCAAAGATGCAGGTTAGATTTTGTTGCAAATCGCATGGAAGGCCCGAATATCTGCCAGTAGCTTCCATGAATCAATCTAATCATAATCCCCTTTCTTCATATTCTGGATATGGATGGATTTACGCACATGTTGAAAGAAAGTATTGGAATGAATATACGACGCAGAATAGATGCTGGGCCTGGGCTATTACCCGTTTGTTGGCCTGAGGCCGCCCCCCACTGACACTTACTCATCTGAGGCCGCTTTGGATTATGCTGCCGAATAATAAACCAAATGGCGCTTTCAATCATCGGACGAGTAGCATAGAGCCCTGCTACATATTGGTGGTCGATATAGCGGTGGATAGCCCTCTCTTGGGCATTATCTATAAGCCTCTGGTTCCGCCCATTATCCGAATGTGTGCCCCTTTCTGGCTCCTTTAGGCGGCTTGCTCTAAAGTGCCTTGCAACCTCTGCTTTTTTAGCAGTCGGATATGCTATATAATAAGCAATAGCCTGCTGCATATCCTCTGGATTATAGTCTTTTTCCGCGGCTGATAGACATGATATGTTCAAAAAAAATTGCTTAGTGACAAGTTAGGTGAATAAGTTTGTATGTACAATGCATATAAAATATTTTAAGGGGCATGTACTGTGGGTCACGTGAAAATCGCTCACTCCGCTTTGGTGCTCACGTCGCTTTGCCCAACCACCACTGAGGGGTTGTCCGGGGAAGTGTCAGTGAGGGCGCGGCCTCAGGCCAACGGGTATGGCAAGTGTTGCGAAGAGTGAGTGGGCCTTTGGCTCGGGTTAGTTTCCGTGGGGGGTTATTCTTTCCCCACAGAGAGGTGGAGGTGGAGAGAGAGGTTTGGAGATCAAAGGTGGGCTGGTATAGATGGCATGTTCTATTTTACGGAGAAAGTCAAAGGTAAGAAGCTTGTGTAATATTAGTTTTTAATATTAGATATTTAGTTCTAAGTTCTAAACAAAGAGTAGCCTGCCAAATATCGTAGCATGTGAAGGTGTGGTCATATGCACTTACAGAAAGCTAACACTTATATCCACCTTTCCAAGCGAATGGATCTGAAATATAATTGCTCTGGATCCCTCTTCTTGAAACGAACTTTTAACTGCGTGAAATAGCGGCATCTCAGGTTTAATAACAAACAGAATTATCAATCATGGCTCCTCAAACGCTGTTGCAGTTACTCCAATCACGCAGTATTGTGGACTGTGATACTATGGACGTTGAAGGTACATTAAGATTCTAAATCTATTGCATATTCTACGTGCTAAGCAAACCAGTTCCCAAGACCCTCGGTCAATTCGTCGATTGCACTTCCAATCAAGTCAGTCAGGGCCCTTGACTGTACTTGTCTCATAAGAGCTAATAATGCCAGGCCATTGCCTATGGCGAGCTTGCGAAGCCAAACAACCAGAAACTGGTTGAAGATGCAGTCAGCCTCAGCAAGAAACTCACTTTAACTTTTCCAGATATACCACGCAAAGTATTAGCAGGCGAGATTGCTGTAAGCCACAGCTTTGACGGTACTCAATACCGCAAGTTGTTTTAACTCTACTTCTAGATGGTCAAGCTCCAATATGGAATCTCCAAGCATGTAACAGGTTTCGTCCATATCCAAACAAACCCCTACCACTCATACGATACTGAAAAGACAGTCTCGGATGCTCAAAGTAAGTCATCCACTGACTCCCTTGTACCAAAACTTACACATGAAAAGGAATCATCCAACTCTTCAAGATCCTCGACCCAGGTTTTGAAGCCGCTCGCATCTGCATCAAGATCCCGAGCACTTGGGAAGGTCTCCAGGCCTGCAAAATCCTCCAAGCAAGTGGCGTCACCACACTGGCCACAACGCTCTTCACTATCGAGCAAGCAGCTCTAGCTGGTGAAGTCGGATGTCACTATATCGCTCCCTATGTCAATGAACTAAAAGTTCACTTTGACCCTGGGTACTATTCAACTCTCCTTCCCTAGAACCCCTCTTCAGTCAGATGTATACTGACGAAACGGAAGATTCGTCGACAATAATAAAGCGCAATCCCTCTGCCTCCAAACACAGCGCTACTATGAAGCTCACAAGCTCACCACGCAAGTGCTGCCCGCTAGTCTTACGTGCATCGAAGAGATCATGGCGCTGGCTGGCGTGAACCACATCACCATCGCTCCCGGACTGCTGAAAGAGCTTTCCTGGAAGCCAGCTGCAGGCAATGAGACAGTGAGTTTGTTTGACGAGGCGCCGGTAGGGTCTAAGATGCAGGAGCTGCTTAGCTTTGCGGGTGATGAGAAGGCGTTCCGTATTGCTTTTACGTTGAGTGGTCGTGGAGAGGGGGAGAGGAAGTTGGATCAGGTATGTTTGAGCTGAGGAGCGACGAGGAAGAAAATACTGACTGGATGGAATAGGCGATTAACATTTTCTGCGAGATGCAGGATAAGATGGAGTTATTGATGGGATGAGTGTGGAGGTTAAATGAAATGGAGTATTTAGGAAGGATAGGTTGAGCTAATTGTTAAGTAGCCTGTGCTCTTGATAATATTTAGCTGTGGAAGCGTCGTTGCCACCTCCTGCTTTATTGCACGTTTACAGTAAAACCCTTACTAACTTATTAGCGTCTCCTTACCTGAGAGCAAGGACCAGATACTCATCCATTAACTCAGTGTTTTACGGCGGTCTCCATAACAAATCGCTATTACTTGAAGAAGCCTCGCGGTAAATAGGAAAAGCGGCACCAATTTATAATGTACTAGGCGACGTGGGACATTAAAAGTCAACCATAGTGAGAGTGCCGCCTTTGTTTAATTAGCATGAGGAGCATTGGGTATTTTTGTGGAGAAGGCCGTAAAACACTGTAGGAATTAACAGATGAACTGACACGCTTTTGAATCATTGTATGTACCTTCTAAGAGGAGTTTGTTTGCACTCTAGAAGCCCCTGAAATAAAGAAAAAAATACGTTTGTATTTAAACACTAGTTCTTTGGTAGATGAGGAATACCTTTCGTCCCAGCTCTGCTAAAAAGATGCAGAGAAGCAGCTTCTTCGAAGAGGACGCTTGGGGCACTAGCCAACTATTTTCAAAGGCACAGTTTCGAGGTATGATCGCCTCTCTAATAAAAGAACCACGGAGACCATATTGGAGTCCATATCTTCTCATTAGTTATCGTACAAGCTCTATGTTTGGCACAAGCTCCTCGGCCCCCTGATCTTTTCATATCATGCCATTCCCATATCTACCCCGTCTCGGGCAATAACTGTACCGAGTTCCAGACGCCAGCAAAATGCGTTTTCCCATCCAAATATCAGCTCACATCGATGTAAGCGCCCACATGAAGATCAGTTGTACAGGGTATGAGTATAAGAAGAGAAATTGGGTTCTTCGGCTCTTTTGTGATCGTGCCACCGTTTGCATTGTTCCTCGTTCGTCGCTGGAGTTCTCTGGAAGAAGGACGTATTTTAAAGACCGCAACTAGATAAATTAGCAAGATATCTCGGAATCATTTGTTCATCTTACTAGGAATAGAGCATTTGCTAGAAAACAATATCCGAATATTGTCCACCCCATCCAACCACCAGTTCCCGTTCCTTTGTTGAACACTTCGCTGATCACCAAGGTGACAATGATCCCTACAAACTTGTACCCCGAATAGGCAACCAGGTCAAGAAGTTGGGAATCATTTGAAATGGATAAAAGGTAACATCCAAGCTTGAGACCTAGGATCTCAATAATAACAATGAACAAAGCCCATGTTGCTGTATACCCAAACAATTCTGGTTGGAATGCGCCTCGGAGACCCGCTAGGACTGTGGACAGAATGATATATGTAACTAGCGCCATGATAGGAATATACATGTCCGGACTGTTCAAGTCGTCTCTCGGAGGCAGAAACCATCCCTCCTGACCATTTGGGCCTATTGATTGCTTGCGGGACCATGGTTTATGCCTCCAGGGGAAGAGAACTAGGAATATCTTATTAAGGACGTAGGAGTTCGAGACGTTGAAGTAATGCTTCAGCGCAGAGACGTTGACATAGCGGTTGAACTATTCTCAGTATCAGTAATTATTCCTTCATCGTTCCCAAGTTACTAACGTTTTGTTCTACGTAATCTGTTCCATGCTTCAATGCGGTCTGTCCAACTTGAAATCCCATCTGCGCAGTAGGGTCGTTTATGAATCCCCCATATGCGCCAAAGGCATTATTCCCCCCCGCACCCACACCCGCCTGCGGCTGGTACGGGTTTCCATACGATTGCTGATGCTGAGGCATAGGAGGAGGTGGTGATCTTAGCTGGGGGACTGTAGAAACGTGTTGAGGGACTGGATGGTGAAGTGGTGGAGATGTTGCGGGAGGAGGGTTTCCATAGTTTGTTCGTTGCATCTTTGCCGTCGTAAAAGTATCAAGGCAAAGGTGGCCTCGTGATGCCGTCCGTCAGTATCGTAGAGCTGGTGTGCAGATATCTGTCAGGTAGGAGACGCGTATTCGAACACATTTCCAGAATCTTTCGCGCCTTGTTGGCAGATTACGGGCGCCGCTAAAACCCCGGCGCTGTTATCGAGCCTTGCCTCAGCCTTTCTGTGACGGTGCGTTAACAATATTCCCCCATCACCTTCGCAGGGCCATAATCGACAATGTTGGATACCTTTGAGATTCTTACGACGTCTGGCGTGGTGTTGTGGTCCAAGTCGTACTCCGCAATCAGTCCCGCCATCATCAACAGCCTCATAACGAATGTCTTCATTGAAGAGCGAACACTTCCCGGAGCTGGAATCGCAGATGATATCTCAGCTGCGAACAACCCTCCTTACAAATACGACCAGCATACTCTAAAATGGACGACGGTTAAAGAACTAGGTCTCATCTTTGTTGTAAGTTGCGACGTTTTGCGCAAGTTGGCAGGGTCCCGCGTTGAATATACTAATTGTGGCCAGGCTGTCTACCGATCACTCCTTCATCTATCATGGATTGACAAGCTGGTTGATAATATCAAGACCATTTTCGTGGATTTATACGGAGACCAGTTGAAAAAACCACACACTACGATTGTCGAATGCCACTTTGATGAATATTTTGATCAGCAAGTGAGAGAACTGGAGAAAACGGCGCTGAACCAAGACACAAGAGTTGCTGAAGCTTCTGCTCTAGAAGAAGCGCCGATCTCAGTTTCCGCAAATCTAAGAGACGAACCACCTCCGTTACCTGGAATTCTATCAAGAGGCCAGTCGAAGAACACCTTCAAAGACTTGACATCGAACGAATCGACTCCTATCGCGACACCTGATACCTCACGCCCCAGCACGCCAGCAAGTCATATACTTACTGGAAAGGGAGGACCAGGAGGGAAAGGATCTAGACGAGCGCGAAAGGCTGCAAATACGCCCTCAGCATACGCATCCTCTGGCGAAGAATCACAAAGGAAGGGCAGACCAAAGTCTTCGGGGCCAAAGAAGGGTAGAAAATGGGACGCAGAAGGTATGGCTGATGAGGATAGCGATACACCGCTCGATTACTCCACGCCTGCGGATGGCGTAAATTTGGGGGATGATGAGGGGAAGGGTCGCCCAGGAAATGTGGAGGGGGTAGACCATGCCACTTGGGGATCGAAGACTGGGAAAGGGCAATTCGTCCTGAAAGACTTGGATGATCAAGTCAACTCAATATTAGCAACAGCAGGTGCTAAGAAGGAGAGCTCGACGGCTTCGACTGGAATTGTTGGATCAAGCATTAATGCGATCGGTGGACTTTTCAGAAACGTCGTGGGAGGAAAAACACTGACGAAGGAAGACCTGGACAAGGCTATGAAGGGAATGGAAGATCATCTGCTCAGAAAGAATGTTGCTCGCGAAGCGGCTATTCGATTATGCGAGGGTGTGGAGAGAGAGCTCATTGGCGTGAAAACTGGAAACTTCGAGAGTAGGTTAGATTCTTAAGCTTCTTCTCTTCTAGCTAACATCATTATAGGTGTACAGGCAAGGATACAAACGGCTATGGAAGCTTCTCTACAGAAGATCCTTACGCCAACTTCATCTCTTGATCTGCTCCGAGAGATCGACGCAGTTACCTCCCCATCTGCGTTATCCTTGAAAAAGAAGCGGCCATATGTCATCTCAATTGTTGGTGTCAATGGAGTCGGCAAATCTACAAATCTCTCCAAGATTTGTTTCTTCCTTCTACAGAACAAGTACAAAGTGCTTGTTGTAGCCTGTGATACTTTCAGATCCGGCGCCGTCGAGCAATTGGCTGTTCATGTCCGCAACCTGAAAGAGCTCAGTGCTCGAGAGGGAGGAGAAGTTGAGTTATACCAGAAGGGGTATGGAAAAGATGCAGCAAACGTTGCAAAGGACTCTGTCAGCTTTGCTGCTCAAGAAGGCTTTGATGTCGTGCTGATTGATACTGCTGGTCGACGACACAATGACCAGCGCCTCATGTCTTCGCTCGACAAGTTCGCCAAGTTCGCGAACCCTGATAAGATTCTCATGGTTGGAGAGGTAAGTTGCTTCTTGCTTAAAATATCTGCCTTGACTAACAAATAATAGGCGCTCGTGGGAACAGATTCCGTTGCTCAAGCACGGAATTTCAACACAGCTTTTGGAGCGGGTCGATCGCTTGATGGCTTCATCATCTCTAAGTGCGATACCGTGGGAGATATGGTAGGAACTTTGGTCAGCATGGTCCACGCCACGAATGTGCCTGTTCTGTTCGTGGGCGTCGGGCAGCATTACAGTGATCTCAGGAATTTGTCCGTCAAGTGGGCGGTGCAGAAATTATTAAGTAGTAATCAATAAAGTATTACCGCTCTTCCAATATGCCACCCATTTCTGTATACAGCATAGCTATTGAACTTCACACTGTGGCTGAATTATCACCTCTTGAAAGAGACGCTTGCATTCTGCCCGTCATTCCAAGCGTGTTCAAGTCGTATGTTCCTGCTTTAGTTCCGTGCTTCACATCCAGGGCATTTATACTTTCCGTAACAAATCGATTGCATCCCCATTCCTAAACTATGTCAGTTTATTTCAACCTTTGCGGTGGATTTAACGGGATCATTCTTTTTAGAAAAGATCTTCTCCAACTGCAGTTTTTTGAAACCAACTCTGGAGTTGGGTTTGTGGGCTCGACTTACTGGGAAGTTTGGATTGCATGGCGGCCGTATCTCTATTTCCCCCTTTTTCCCTTGTCCAACTGTAACTATGAGATTCCCCTGATACCTTTTCAATCTGTCATCTGGGCCGTGAGCTTTGAGAAACTGGTGAGCGGCAAAGACCTCCCCGCAACTTCCCTGGAACTTGTGTTGGGGACTTGAACCAGCTACGCTTCTCTGGCATTCCTCGAGATCAGCTCGAATGAGGTTCTCCGAGGCGTACGTAAACGGTGGGCCTCTTGCGGAGCTTGAAAAGTACAACTCGTTGTTGACAGCAAGAGCGGTCATCATTCGTGGCTGATGATATTTGGGGAGTTTGTATATATCAATTCCCTGCCGCATTTCGGTGTAAGCATCACTTGCCCTTTGTAAAAGCTGCCCATCAGAGATTCCACCAGCAATTGTAATGTCTTTGTTGAAGGTGATATAAGAAGAAAAGACAATGTTTAAGCTCTTCTTCCCTTGATGTTTGAGCGGTCCTAGGAATCTGCCTCTTGCTCTTTGATCTATGATTGCCTGTGGATTTGCAAATCCGTAGTCCAATTTGACCTGCAAACTTCCTAGAACATCCTTTTCTGTCCTGACATCGATTATTATCTGTGGTGTTGGAGTCATTGCTAATTATAAGAAGAATAATAGAAGTTGTTGACGCTTTCGTGTATAGAGCAAAGCCAGAGGATAAAGTACAAGCGTGATTGAAAGCCAAGGTTGAAAGCAAAGACGTACTAAGTGATAAGACGGCTGAGAACTGTCAGATGGTTCGAAAATTGTGAAGCTGTGTTTGATAACGAGGGCATAAATAGTGATTCCATTCATATACTTATACCTATACGCGGACAATGATGTGTTGTTTAGAGCCAGACATTGCTGTTCAATCAACATCTCATACACACAATGAAGCAATGTAATGAATCAGAATTGTCTCTCCTAGTACCCCTCAATTTTTCTCCGAATGTACGAGTGTTTATTTACGTCTACTACATTTTGATCAGTAAATGGTATGAGCACCAAACACTACCAATGCATTATGTGATCAATTCTGCACGTAACAAGACTTACTGAAACACTTGAAACAAATACAAGTCAATCGAAGAATGGTTGGATGGTTTAAGACCGTGTTTCGTAGAGATTTTGCCAAGATTGGCCAGCAAGAGAAGCTTCGACGTGAACCTGCGAGATCTCGAACCAATATCGAAAGTACCAAAAATTGCCTCATCTAACAATCGAACTTCAAGATTTGACTGCCAGGGTATTAGTCTTCGCCTTCTCCTGGAATCACATCTTAGTCTTTATTACTTTGGGGTGAGAGAAGAAGTCTGGAAGTCCGAAGTGATTTCTCGGTGCCAGGAGGGAAAGGGGAGACTAGCGTCGTCGCTTATGAACTTGGCGCCTGGTGTGCATGAACATTGGCCGTTTTCCCTCAAGTCTGTACGTGGGATTCTTATTTGTATGAAATGTTCATACTTTGATTAATTGCGAAATCAATCATGTCTCTTCAAGTAATTCGAGGTGGGCCAACCAGGACTTGAAGGACTGCCGTCCCTTAGCTCCAACAACATAACTGACAGTATCTAGTATTGCTAATCAACTAGACATAACTTATTACAGAGGTGCGAGCTTTTGTTTGAAACCCAAATTCATCATCCAAAATCTTTTTCCAGAAAATTATTGATATTGTTCTGTTTCTACTTTAAAAGCTAGGGTAAGCTTTCATCACCTCTCTTCGATGCCTACTAGAGCTCTAAAAGTAGTGAAGGTATTGAGTCTTATATATATAGAACCGAATCTTAAAAGTCGGTAGGTAAAGGGCTCTTAAATTCAACATATCCCTTGTCCTCCATGAATGTATAATCCCATGGGCCTTGCTCCTGCTTCTCAGCAAGGTAAACATGCGCTTTTCCAGCAGCCGAACCACTGACCGGGATTGTCGGTCCTCCATTAGCTTGACGCTCGTCGGCATAGTAGAACCTATAGTCCATCAATACAACGCTTTCTCTGAATGTCGCATGCCAGTTATTCGGGGAAAGACTCACTTGAAACCCTTCGGTTTATAAGCCACACTCGTATACCATATCAGCTGAGCCACGGCCGCTTTACCCATACCAAAAGTGAGAACATCAGGCTTTGCTATATGGTTCAACATATTGCCCGTTACGATGAAAGTCCTCGACGCTGAACTTTCAAGTTGCTTGAAGCCTTTGACTGCCTCTTGGGCCGCGAGCAAGGGTGAAATAGCATTGACAGCAAAGTCGCGGTTGGCTTCTTCGACCGAAATTGAGGAGAGCGGGTCTTTGGCATCGAGTACTGTTCGTGACGCAGCTGTAATAGTTGTCAGCAAGTATAACTATGATTTGGAAGTGCGTATCTACGAACCATTATACACTACAACACTAGGAATACCGAGCTTCTCCTTTACTTGGGCGAAAACTTTCTCGATTTCTTCCGCCTTTGCGAGATCGATTTTCAAACGTAGATATCCATCCTCACCCACACCTTCTTCTAAACTTCTTGCTGCCAGAGCGACCTTGTATCCTTTGACAGCAAACGCGTTAGCGACGGAGAGTCCGATTTTCGGCCCAGCACCCAAAACAAGTAGAACGGGAGGAGACATGATATCAATTTGGCTTGCGCTTGTTCAAGTTGAATTGCACTAAACATATGGAGGAAGTAGTAGCAACTAAATAATACCTCATCCCGGCCCCAAGAGACCAAGTAGTGACGCAATTGGTAAGTCCTAAAAATCCATTTATAAGCCGGCTTGGTGGGCGAGTTACCCTGATTGGTCAACCCAGAGGTCGCTTTTAAATCAATCTGGTAATCTACATTGCCAAGTTTATAATCATAGATAGATAATATTCGTGTTAATGAACGCTTAAAGAGTTGCTCGTGTTGGTGCGGTTTTCCTAGGTTGACTGGCATAGTGTTTTAGAATCCGTCGTAGGATGTGAAGCACTGCACTGCACTTTGCCTTCGGCATTCAAAGCGGATAACTTTCTGATAAACATAAGCAGTACTTGACTGGACGATTTGCATGATGATGAGATTTTATCATACCTTACACGAAGACTCGTGGCCTTCAAGGCTTCGAATTCACTAAAAAGTGGTAGCGAAATTATTTCGACGACAGTTTAGAGACCTACTAGATTCTCTTGTTGGTGAGCAAAGTAAGCATTGCTCATTGTATCAAATTTCTTGTGCTTCATTATTACTAAACGGTGTCGAAATCAGCTAGCTGCACATGTCACTTTTTAGGAAGAAAGGGGTGGACGCTGGGTAAAGGGCGCTAAGCTCTTAAGCGATAACGCTAATACCCCCTTTAGGAACTCATCAAGTTTAGTTCTGGTGATAGAAGACATCATTTGATCAATCGTAAGGTACTAGCTAGTCATCATGTCTAACTTGAATCCAGAAAACCAGAGCGCTCCAATAAAACTTCGAGGTGGAGTTCTCTTCATCACACTTTCTATTTCGGGGGATTTGAATTTGTTATAGGCTAAGAAACTGTAGCTCTAAACATAAAGCAAAGAAATCCAATAACGGACTTGAATGTTCAGTCCAAATTTATTGCCGGAGGTTCCAATCTGCCATCGTTCACTCACTGGAGATCAGCTCTGAATGTCCAGCTGTGAATGGCCCCCTTGCTTAAGCGGGGGCAGCTAGCATTTAAAACACCTCCTTCGAAATCCCTCATCATAGTTCTCGCGTACGAAGAGCCAGCAATTCCGCACTGTACCTCTGATTATGCCTTTGGCTAAGCAGTAGGATTTTCAGTGGCAAGTAGCGGTTGAGTAGACAGATATTAGCAAGTATGTTTTCCTCGCAAGTTGAGCTCTGTGAAACATAGTAGAGGAGCCGAGATGAATGCGTACCTGGACCTGCAGGTCGAAGAGGCTGTTTTTGGGCAAGGCGATCTTCACCGTCCTTACCATGTTCGGTATTGGGGCACGGGAACTTATTGAGGAGAGCCATCTCAGCCGTAATCAGCTTAGTTATGAGATCAAAAGTAGGTCTGCGACGTCTTATATGGAACTTACACCTTGGTTTCCTCCTTTTTGAAGCGAACGAAACTCTCTAGAAATGAAGCTATATTTAATTCACTTTCAAAGCAAAACGAATATCCTTTTGTACTTGGCCTGAAACATGAACTAATGAATTTGAGGGCATGGTCCTTAGCAAGTGCCCGTTTTTAGGCAAACAGAGTTGTAAAGATAATGAGAACGACAAGAGAAATGAATCACTTTTCCTAAACGCAGAAGCAGACGCAGGTAGATATAGAACCCACATAATATTACACGCTGCTTAGCGGGAGGAAACAAACAGAAAATTTGAGCGAAAACAAGAGGCATTGAATTCTCTTTCGACGTACTAAAAGGGCCAAATTTTCATTCTAACGAAGCAAGCAAGCAAGACTTACTTACCTACGCTACGAAACGTGCCCCTCTCCTAAACTCTTCGAAGCCTTCGGAGTAGGTCCAAAAGATTGCCAGTCATGATTGGCAACCAAAAGTTCCAAAGCCTCCTCCCTTTCAAAATTACCCCCCACGTTGCCTGCGACATTCTGCTTCCCCTCCACCCCCTTCCCCTTCGCACTAGCAACAAAACTAGGTACCAAAGCCAAGACTTACCTACAACCTCAGGCTAGCCAGCTGCCTGCCTGCTTGTCTCCACCTTCACGATTCGAATACTGATTTGCCCACTTACATCTAAATTCCCGAAAATCACTAAGACAAACAACCCCTCGCTTTTGCTTCTTCTGCTGATCATAATTGATCAAACATTTAATCGTCCCGTCTTGGTGCTCCTCGGCATCGACATGACTCTATTCGAAACATCGCCTTGCATCTGCTAGGAAAGCGCAGGTATAGGTACTGAAGCTACCCAAGGTAGGCTTAAGTTCTGTTTTTGCCTGTCTGGGCTGATTCGCCTGAACTTGGTAGGTGGCGAGGAGGGCAGTGGATACCTAGGGCAAGGTCGATCTGTGCAAGAGTTCCTGAAGTCAAGTTTGATCACGATACATTAGCATACATTCCTTCCGAGTTGCACATGGAAAGGGGATTGGACTATCAGTTCACTAATCACCATCACTCAACATGAAATAATAATGTACCAGCAAATATGTCGCCATTGCATTTAGGACCTATCAAGTCGAGCCAGCATAGTCCAGGTTTATATGTACCCGCCGAACTCCAATCCGTGCAACTGACCCATATCTGCTCTACTCCTCTCGCCCTCGCCCACCAATTCAACGCGTCGTATCTCAACTAACGTACAAGGTTTGGTTTATTCATTTCACTCCTAGCAATGCAAAGCCTACTCCAGCCCACCCCGCAATGCATGCATGCCGCCGACGACCAAGTTTTGATGACAAAGGAAAGTAACTGTTGTGACAAGGGTGTTTTGTTTGGTGTAGATGTATGTAAAGGGCGGATTTATCAAGGAGCCGGGTATTAATTAATGTAGTATACCTTCCCACATGCCAGGCGCACCAATGCCACCAAAGGCTGGGTGAAGGTTCATTCGAGGTAAACTCCGAGTTGCCTCCGTAGCACAGCATACCCGCTTTCGTCAATGGATCCATTGGACGTGGGACGAAGTGCAAACTGAGATGGGCTGGTGAGGACGGCACGTGACCGGATAAGATTCTCTGACCAATTGCTCTCGGCTGATTGGTAGGGGTTCAATATCTCGCGAACATTTTCTTGAAGCGAATTGTCGATTGATTGCGGTCTACTGCGCTTCCTGCTTGGAGATTCCACAGATCTGGGATGGTTATGGAGTTCTTGCAGAGCACGAGCAGCTTCTTCATCTTTGGAAAAGTACTCCATATCAACTTCTCGTCTTGCCAATGGAGTATCCAGCGACAAATCAAGGAAGTCCTTTCCGACTGGTCCAGTGTAAGATTCTGGGGACGATGTTGGGCCTTCACAATATCCCTCAGGAACTGTAGCAATCACCGTCCTATTCTGTCGCTCAGAGCACATCTTCGCGTACCGACAGCGCGCCTGGACGTCCAGCTTGGACGAAATCGGCGCGCTCATCAGAGACGAGGCAGATGAAATTGAGGATGAACGGGATGATCGCGACGAGTCTGAGACCATAGATTCTGGAGAAGACATCGAGGAAATCGAACTGGCCAATGAAGATCGGCGACCAGAGACATAAGATTGAGGTGATGAAGTTTGCCATCTGTCGGTCATTTGCGCGGCGCACGCGTTTGAGGCATGGGCCATTGCAAAACCCATTGAGGATTTGCCGAGCATGCAAGAAGCAGCACTCACTGCAGGAGTGTTGAATCCAGAACTCTGGGGGGTCAGTCTAGGTGTAGGTAATAGACCAATAGCTGACGCAGGTTTACTAGGATATGCGGTTGATAGCGAAGGCTCCAAGACACTGGGTGTATAGTATTGTGGAGTTGGAGTTGACTCGTTGGAGCCATATCCAAATGTGCTTCGGTCGGCAACCAATGGTGCGAATGATCGCGGGCAGGCTGCGCTGATAGACTTGATGTCTGCCTTGGCAGACTTCGATGAGGATACACCATCGATATTATCCAACTCGGGGTTTAACTTTAAAATAATTGCTTTCCAACCAGCCGACTGTTCTGCGAGACTAGGTGAGCCGGGCGACGGTGGCTGGGTTGGAGTGTATTTGAGAACGATATCCGTCCAGCGTTGGAAGACTGCATCAGTAATATGTAACTCCCAGTTGACAGCGAGAAGGAAAGCCATCTCATTTTGATTTATCTCCAAAGTATTCAGTCCCGAAATCTTACTCCACGCACGAGCAGAGTAATTCCGATCTTGAAGATATTTCGACGCAAGAATGAGTGCTGAAAGGAACATGCGACGTCCGCATTGAAGCGCTCGGATAGAGTGTACATCATCTGGTTGTTCCATGGTGAAGTCATGTTTGGGCACATGCGGCTTGATCAGGATCAGGTAGTACAAAGCGACCTGTAGGGTCGAGTAACTTGTCCTTGATCGACGGAGAGTCTCTTGAATGAATGTGCGCAAGGGAAGAACGCCTTTATTACCCATCTCGTTTCTGCAAACGACTGAAGAAAGGGGCCATATGGCTTCTACTATCTGAGCTGAAGAATCTGGGGAGTGAATGTTGAGCAAGCGTACTTATTTTGGGATGTATTAATCTTACCGACGAGGCTGTCGACGAAGTTGACCTTCCGATCGCATTGGCGAACTAGGGAGGGAGGGCATCTGGTTTGGGATGCTCCCACACTGGTCCTTCTTGGATGCTGCCTTTGTTCTGAAGCAACTTCGGAAGATATCTTCTTCGGCCATATTGTTTTATTGTTTTCTGTATTGTTTTCGCAGATGTTGCTGGTGTTTACAAAGGAAGGTGCACAATATTCTGCTGTTTCTGATTCGGACGATGCGGTAGTCGAAGAGTCATCCGATGTTTGTGACGAGGCATCGGACCAGACTGACGCGGAGGAGGATGAGGCTGAGGAAGCTATAGAGGAGCTGTATGGACCATTTTGATAGGATGTGATGTAAGGCGGCGAATCAACGTCGCCGCAATTCATCTTCGGGAAATTCGAGGGGAATGAAGTCTATTCAAGGAAACTCCAGTCGCCGTCTGTACAAAGCCAATCGATAAACCGTTTTTAACTGAATCCGCGAAACCTTACTAGATACAGGCTCGAACAACAGCAATTGCCGTTGCGGAGCTAGAAATCGAGGGAGGAGGAGGGCAAGCTAGAGCATAGAGACCTGGGAGATCTCTGCGCGTACGATATAACCGGTAGACGATGCAAGACTGGCGACTGGGGAAAATTCGGAGAGGGCGAAGATCATGTTGTTGACCTTTTCGACGACGGATATGGTGACTGTTGAGATAAATGGTGGGCGAGTGTTATAAAACACTAGCTACCATTGGAGTGGTCTGGACTTTAGGAAGGAACGTATGTGTAGTGTATGTAGGTAGGTAATATTAGGAGTTTTGTATGTCGTGATCGGGGAGATTCGAGGATAATAAACAAAGGTTGAAAGGTTGAGTGGAGTTGTTTAGACAAAGGTGTCTTTATTGTAGTCACAGATCTCGAGAGGTCGTGAGGTGCGGTGGTGAATGATGAATGACTCCGCTCCAGTCAGTGGGTGGCGAGTTAGGAGGCCTAACTTAAGCGTGCGACCGAAAGCGCTGAAGAATGGAGTCGCGGATCAAGAAGTGAACACAGCTGCCTTCCACCTGGGTATCAAAGGGACAGAATAAGTAAGGAGAGATAAATGAGGCGTAAAAGATTAGAAAAGGTGGCGAATGCGAGTGATTCGGGATGGGATGGCTCGATTCTAGGTAGAAAAGCGTGACTCTTTGTTTTGGGGGGGGGAGATGTTGGAGTCACCGGGGGGGAAGGAGGCGAGGCGAGAGAGGAGAGGTGGTCGCAGTTTCAGCGGAAAACGTAGGATTTCCGAATACACAGGACGGATGCGATTCTGATGGTTGAAGGGTGAAGGGTGGATACGATAAGATATGGGCTTTGTGAGGTTTCTTGCAGACTTCGGAGAGCCGCGTGGTTTAGTTCTTTGGATAATCCATTGCGGTTGTGAGGTCAAAAGGGAAGAGGTCGTGGGCGGGCACTCGCTGGTTTTGTTACAGTAGGAGGCGATGGGCAGCGGGTAGGCTGGGCTGGGCTGGGAGTAGTGAGTGGAGTGGAGTGGCAGGCAGTGGGAGTCAGAATGTACAGTAGAGGGGAGGGGCAGGGAGGCAGGGATGAGCCGTTCTCCGGCCAGAGTGCAGGTTGCAGGCAAGGGTGGCTCCAACAGTCTAAACTACAAAGGATTCTAGCAACACCTTCAAGTGCGTGAGTCAACTCAGTCAAGGTGCCACACACACACACACAGCATCGACCATCCAATGATGATACAGCGGGACTTCCTCCTCCATTTGCCTCCTTTTCAGCCTACCACAATCCAGTATGGGAGGTCCTCATACGAAGTAAGAGGACTCGTACTGTATGTAGATGAGCATGGACTTCCTCAGCCCTCTCAATTCGTATGCATGCAAATCTACCCCCCCTATTACGAAGTATGAATATTCTAATGGAAAAGCCTCCGCTATGTCTCAATCGCGAGGCACAGTCATCAAGATCTTGCCCTCCCCTAATCGATAGAATGTGGGGATGCGACGCGAATCCATTGCCGTCCCCTTTCTTGTGTTCTATTTTCTGTTTCTTACCCGTTGGCTTCACCTAAACAAAGCCTTCTTTGTATGCAGACAGGCAGGCAGGCATAGACCACCTGCTGTGCTGTGCAACTTAACACTTGCATCTGGTTTGTATATACGCGTACTAAACGACTGATTCGAGGACTTACATTTTATGATTATACTTATGTTCATGACAGCCTCCCTTGAATGGCGTACGTACCTCCGTACTGTTCGAACAATCTGTTCTTTGGGCCTAGTGACTACTGGCGTCCCCATCCCAACTCAAAATGATGCTGCGTTCGTTCAGGTTGGGTTCTCCCAAACTCGCCACGTTTCCCGCATCTCTAGATCCATATCCACAAAAAAATGTCCCTTTGAGTAATAATCAAGTACCCACGAATTCGCCCCCCAGGCTGAGAATTACTCACTCACGATGATCCGCCAAGGGAGGCGTCAGAAAGGCTATATTCGTATCATCTCGAGTTTCAAGCACACCACTTTCGTACGTCAGCCCCGTCTTTTTCTTGCGGTAAAGGAGATCGGAGACAGCCTTGTGAACTGACAATAATTACATGAGACCGAACTCAGGAGAGGAAATCATACTTCGAATCCCCTCGAGGTTCATCCCACGGCAAACGCAAATGAAGGTAAATGACTTCGCTTTTTTCGCTTTCTTCCCTTCCCAATTATCATCAGGAACTGTTACACCCATGCACACACACAACCAATGATCATTGTTATGGCTTCCCCCGCTCCAACAGACAATCTCACGATGATTGGCGAAACAGACCACAACATGCAGCTTGCTTGCTTCATGCTCGTCGCCGGCGCTCTCCCATTCAAGCCCACTATGTTATGGTATCTATCGTACCTCCGTAATACGCCGTAATAAATGCTGCACAATCCTTCCTTATCCGTCCGTCTTCATCGGCGTGCCGCTTATCATTCTGAAAAGCTGGTGTCACTAAAACCTGTACACCTCGATGCAGCAATACATGAAAGATATCACAATACTTGCACCGACGGAAAACTCTAGAAACCTCCAGATAGAGCCAACACATTTCAAGGTCCCAAGACCAAAACTCTCTCCTAGGAAACGAGTCGGCGTCGGCTTCCAAGCAAACTGATCTCATCTATGATAAACTATGACTCAGTATTTGACATCCATCGCCAATGCAGTCGCCACAGCCTCCTTTTCCTACCATGCCGTCGCTCCAGGCATCGCCCGTGAGACAAAGAAGCCAGACAGAAGTACAGCTGTAACCTATCCCGCATCTTAGCTCCCGTGACACCGTATCACCTGCTCTTTCCATCCCAGCCAAGACCAAGCTTCATCCAGCTTACGTCTGTAACTATCGCCGAATTCTCATTTCAGTAATTATTACGAGATTCGACCATCTAGAACCATCAGATCAGGGGCAAATACAAGCGCTTTGGCACTCAACACAGTCAGACTCGTGATGCTATCTCAACCTAGTCACCTGATGACAACATAACTTCCGATAATTGGCTTGGTCCGGATTTCTCGTTGCACCGAAACGAACCACAACCCACGGCATGACAGGAGAGAACTTCACGGCATGACCGTAGAAATCCTCCTTCCCTTCCTTCAAAATAATGATTGCGTGACAACCGCTCCTTGACCGGCGGTCTCCTCCCCCTTTCCTAACCGCGCGCCTTTCCAAATTCCAAAAGTCTCACCAGTCACCCAGTCATTCATCATCAAATCAAATCCCGAATTTCTCCCCTTTTCCGAATGTTCCCGATGTGTACAATCGATCGACCGATCTCGCCCAATCCAGCAATGTTCTAGAAAAAACACCTATACGGAGCGTAGAAGGGCCACCTACCCTTGGTACAGTAGCGCGTGGCCGGCAATCGGAGTAATGATATCGCGGGACTGCATATATGACAATAAAAGGGAGGTGATTGGGTAGAGGGGGAAAGTGGACGGTGGCGGGTTTGCATAAAAGTAAGTTTAGGGGTAAATTTTAGCGGCTGGGGAGAGTTTATGAAATACGGGAGCCTGGAACGGGGGAAGTGGCAAGATGATGAAAAAAAAAGTAGAAGTGTGGCTGAAAGCCTTTTCACTTGTAGGACACCAGTTCTGAGAGAGATAATATTGATGTTCTAGGCTTTGGGTTCAGGGGATACGGATATGGACGGGATCAGGAAAGATTCGACTTTGCGGTCTCGTATTCATTTCATAGAGAAAGAGAAAATTTCCTGCCAAGTGACAGCCTAGACTCTCACTCATCTCTAAGAGAAAGACAACTGATCTCATCAGAGGAGTAAGAGAATCAGCTAATAGTCTCTAGTAATGATAATATCCGTCGCTCTTCGAACTCCATGGCACTTATATCTTGCAGTTCTCACAAGTCCTCTCCGATCTAAATTTCACTTACAAAATCCGTGATGCGAATATCAAATCATGTGATATCCAACTCATCATTTTAATAGAAAAAAGAACCCTCCAACCGAATAGTGAAACTTGATCAGATTAAGATTAAGATCATCATATCGCAGACTCGTATATACTAATGCTGCAGAGTATAGAAATAAGCTTTTTCGCATCTTACTTGCACTGCCAATATGCTCTGCGCCGCTTCACAAGAAGGGAGGGGCTGTGAGGGGTTATTCATCCATCCCACTTGAATATAACTTTTCTGCCGAACTTTCTATTTTAAATTGAGTATCTTCAAATTCTTTTCGTCTGCTGTAAAATCCACTTCTCCCTAGATGATATCCTTTCAGAAACTGCGACATCTGGGATGATACCACATGACCTACAGACGTATGCCAAGAATCTTACCTCCCTTCCCTTCCTTCCAAACTTCACCTCGCGCTCGCGCATCCCTCACTAAACGGCATCTCCGTCCCCGAGTTCTCCTTCGGTGAGGCTACTAAGACTAAAATACTTTCACATAAACAAATCCTTTGCCTTAAAGTGACAAGTGTCAATATTCGGAACTCCTTATGTACAAGATCTTTCCAGAAACTATTGGTGGTGTCATCCATCCACCCTTCTCGTTCATCTAGGCAGCAGCAGCAGCAAACCTCGCATTTTCTTTCTCCCGAGCGAAAGCGCCACTTAAATCATCATAATCTGACTGTACGGGCTCTATGCGAAATCAGGCTGAGATTTGATTTGCTTTTCGTGCGAGAAGGCTGCGCTGCCAGTCCAGTCCGGTTAAGATTTTGGAAAGGCTCGCAGCCTCACAGGGGAAATGCCTTGTGCGTTTTGCGGGATACGCATCAAGGAGGCAAGTGAAACATGCATTTTGTTATAGCACGTTGTTACTGTATCGAACTGCTTGTGAGTAACATGGACATGGTGCTGGGAAGGTTCCTGGTTTCATGATGGGTTGGGTGTATCACGTGTGTGAGTCACGCGCGGGCCAGCAAGTGTTGGATGGGGGGGTGTATATCCTTGCTTTCTATGTGTCTATTCTTAACAAATTGTGCCTGGTATCTGGGTATGAGGGTTCGAATTGTACGGCTGTTTCTGCCTCGTAGCGATGTTGTTTTTGTGGTGATCCTCCTGGAGGAAAGAGCGAGCAAGGAACAGGCAAGTCACTTCTCTTCAGCATTTGGATTTTGCGATAGGCGTGTCTTTTGTTGAGTCTGATTGATTGATTGATTGATTGATGGTGCGGACGTCTATTAGAGGAAAGTTGCCACCAGGAGGAGATCGGACGTCTTGTTACTCGTAATTTAGGTGAAGAGCTCGCCAGGCTGTAGAGATAGCCGCTCGACAATCAAATTTCATAGTTCCTACAATAACCAGCTTTTATTTTACCTACCTCTGCAGATTATCCAGCCCGAACTAATCCATCCAGTGCGGGATTTGTCATCTACATCATAATCTACGAGAAGAACAGACAGAGTCTCTTCTAGTTAGCTATGACCACCTGCCAACTCGTCCAACATTTTAGAGAATGGTTTATAGCAGACCCAATCACGCAAACAAAGAACATCTTTCCCAAAGTCCACCAGAACTGTGCTGCCACTTGTGCTTCTGAGAAGCTTATAAGCCTTGAGCACTTCCGTCCCAGCCTCATGGCCGGCGAAAAATACCACGGGTGCTTTATTCACCCCCGGTCACGTGGCCATACCAAGTTGTGATACAGAAATGAAGTCCGTTGAAGACGGACTTGACTATAGACCGTACTTGGACATATTGCCGGTCTGGCAAAGCGAGCTTCCAGATCGCTGAGCGGAGTTCTATTGGAAGTTTAGGGAACAAAATAAACTCGTCGAAATTGGTCTGTCCACCCTTCGTGGCGCTCAAGTTATCCGTTTCCATTGTGACATTCTTAATTTGAGACTCTCCCTCTGGTGCATCGGTGCTCTGAGCGTGTATTGTGTTCATATCGTCTGTCAAGATCGCCCCCATTTCTTGCATGTTCTGCTCCGTGAGGAAGTTCGGCGTTGAAGTCACTTCAGCATCTGGAAAATGTTGAAGTCTCGGAGAGGACGTGTCTTCCATGCTTTCGATCTCAGCGCTGGTGGTCTGTTTCTGCATTGCGCGTATGACGTTTTTTGACATTGTGACATTCGGTCTCGTTGGTTCGCCACCCTGGCTCTGCATCACGCCGGTGCTCGAAATTGAGGTAGGCATCAGGTACCGCTCCTCCAGATACAGTTGCTTTAATTTCAGAGCGCTTTCCACATCTTTCAAGGCTAGCCCTTAATACCTTCAACTTCCCCCAGATCCCCCTTCCTTTATGCGAAGCTTGACCAAACTCACTTGTCTGGAAGAGTTGGTGATTGTGGGATGGTACGAGCATATGCCCCCTGCGAGGGGTCTCTGGATCACAGCGTTTGATAAGGGGGACCGCAGGATTCCTGCTGAATTCCGAGAGTCCGCAATGTTCTAGTTGAAGTTTGAGGCTATCAAAAACATATTGGCGGAGATGGAGAAGAGTAGCACGGTTGGATGGAAAGCCCCAAAATGCGAATGGGCTACTGCATTAAAGAAAGTTATTAAACTCATTGACGACGGATTATGGATTTGGTGTACATGGCATTGGGAAACGTCATTTCAACACGACCAATTTACATATTTTTCAATTCCAAATTTGTGTCGTGAGTCATACCTGCCTATTGATTTGCTGCATTTTGAGTTTTATAGTATGCCCTAGAGTTTTCTCCCTCCCCTTCTCTATGGCCAATGAAACACAAAACCTAGGTTTCCTTGGAGTAACTTCGATTTCAGTTTCATCTTCATCAACATCACATACAGTAAAACTTTTCGAGAAAAGTTCCAGCTTCCTTTCCTTTGACCTTCCAACTATTCGCATGGTAGACTATATCATCACTTTCTCGCAATGCAAAGGTCCTCGACATGCTTTTCCTGCAGATCTCATAATCTCCTCGCCCCAAAAAAAGGAAGATCCGCTCGCCCCTCGATACGCTCCTATCCGATATTAGCGCAAGCCTCCCTCAAGCTCAGCCACCACCAATCCCCGCATGCTTCAGGGAACTCCAAAGTCCGGGAGTAGTAAGCATGGCATTCATGCTCTTTTCAAACCTGCCGACTGAGCTACAACTTGAGTTTTGGGGGGCGGCTTTGCCAGATATAAAATGCATAGGGATGGGACTATTTTAACACAGCATCACTCCCAGCAGACCACCCGAGCCCATCTACTAGTTCAGCAGATATTTCAACGACACATCGCTGGCGATACTGTTTATATGCAAGCAAGCATTTGTGGGAGGTCGCTCTTAAGTTTTAGAAGTCGTTTCTCCATGGAAACCATGCAATGTTGCTGACGACGCTGTATCTCGACTCACTCCAAAATATCCTCTTCCGTACGGATTGGGTTTGTCCCTCTGCAGGCAAAGGATATGTCAACACCCTGAGAAAGAAATAGCTAAAATATATGCAGACCTTGCTAGACTGGTTGTAAAGTCGCACGATTTGATGATGTCGCGGTATACGACCTACAATTTGACGCACCTAGGCTGGTTGAAGGATTTGTTTGCACTTCCGCACAAATACAGGCCGTAGGGTCACGTTGTGTTTGGGATTTGAGCCAAGAAGACTATGGCCGTCGAGGTAGAACGTTGTCATGACCGGGACCTTTTCACAATATCATGCTAGGTTGCGAAGAGATCCTGTGGGATAGGAAATATGAGATTGGAGATACGAGGCGTGATTCGCACCGAACCTGCGAATGGGGATGTTTGTTAAAGAGTATGATGAAATAATATACAGAAGAGGGGTTCCGAAGTAAGGCATTCAAAGCATATGACCCAGACCGTACCACAGTAGATAGAGATGTCACTAGATCTCGATTCAGCCACCTCCAGTAAAACCAATGTATTACTACTAAGCTAAATGTGCGTACCGGTGACAATTTAAAAAGCAAGTCAAAACTAGCTCCCTCAAGGATGGGTTCCGAATCTGTGACAAACGTCTCAGGGCGGAACAGAACAGAATGGGCTTTTCATACCCGACCTGCTCAATGGCGCGGAGATACGTTTGTATGATAATACATCATTTAAAACCATGTGGTGACAGTGGGGTTGCAAAAGGATGGAAACAATGCTCCTAGCCTTCTTCCCCAAAATCATCTATCTGGCCGCAGACTGGATTAGCCAGTTGCTGTTATTTCACCAGTCTTCTCTGGAATTCCTTGATCTAAATCTAGACGGCCTTTTGGTTGTCTTCGGTCCTCTTATGAAGGAAGTATAGCCTGTCGCGTGTGACGAATCGTGGTTTGCGATTCAATGATATCATTAGCAATGAAGATGTGTCGAAAGTGAATGGCCAGGAAGTTCTATCCTTTCGCGGCAGGTCCGGTAGGGGCAGTTGAAGGAGCCGCGTTACCACCTCCCCTAGCACCACCCCTTCCTCGTCTACCAATGGTACCACCTCTGCCTCCTCCACGGCCTCCTCTCGGAGACTGTGGGGCGACATGTGCTGGTTTCTTCTCCGGAGGTAAAGAAGTGCCTTTACGTTGCATAACCTGGACAGTGCCTTGAGCCACAGGAATCGGATTCGCTGCCATCGCCTTCTTCAAACCATCGGATTCAATAAACTCAACATAGGCAAAACCCTTCCGCTTGTCAATCTCCACCATAGAAACGGCGCCAAACTGCTCCATTGCTTCCTTCAACAGTGGTTCTGTAACACCCTGTGAAGGGTTGGCGTGTTTGACGAAGGCCTGGGTGGCACCAGCAGACGGTACTGCAACATTTTGGGGCTTTCGAGGAGTTGTAGTTGGTGCGGGCTTTGGGGCTGGAGCTATGGGGGTGGGCGTAGCTTGGGCTATTTCAGGTTTCTTGAGAAGAACCATAGGAGCCGTAGGGGTTGCAGGAGTGCTGGGTGTCGAAGCCTTCGCTTCAGACTCACCAGCAGAGGATGCCTTAGCTCGAGATCTCCTACTATTGACCTGTATATTTCCTTTCGGTGCCACTGGAATGAGGGTTTGAGCAGATTGTGATGGAACACTATCTTTTACCTCTGGTGGAGCATTTTCAGAAGCCGTCGCTTTTTCTGCTTTCTGGGCGTCAGCAGTATCGCGTCGGACTTGACGATGCGCCTGAGCCGGGCTGAATCCTAAATCCCGCTCCAACATGCGAATATGAGCTGAGATAACAGCACCTCTTTGTCGGCCAGGGACCTTTCGAAGATCGAGCTTGGGGGGACCATCTGAACTGTCCGACTTCGCAGACGAGCCCGCTTTGGCGGATGCTTCCCTATTGAGGATCTTGACAGCTTCTTTTGTGGCCCTCTCGACCACTCCTTTGCCATCTTTTCCTTTCTTGTCTGGAGAATCTTTTGCACTTTTACCCTTTGCAAGATTACTTTCTTGCTTCTTAGCGGCCTTCACTGCAGCGTCTCTGCTCTTGCTGGCCTTCTTGTCCTTTAGATATTGGACCAACGGCGTAGTTGTGACTTTTTCCTTGGTAGCTGGCATGCCCTCAACCAGACCATCCACACCAACATCCTTTCCTGTAGGTGGGTTCGCCAATCCTTCCAGAAAAGCCATGAATTCTGCGTCCTGGTCGATTGTGCCTGCTCGTGCATCTACACGACGTCTTCCTCCTGGTGTTCGGCCATATGGTGCAAACTCGACAGTTGGAGGACCAATGAGGCAAGAGCTTGTGAAGGTATTCTGTGCATCTTCGAAGACTGAAAGGCGTATAGTTTCGGAGAGACTCATGAGATGGGCATCACTCGTGAGATGGAAGTATGCGCGCGAAGGTCTAGATGGCTTGGATGCACTTTTCATTGGTCAGCGGAGTACTGTATTTTGCAAAGAAATAATATACTCTTTGGAATCCTTTCCAGGCTTATAGAGGAACCAGTCCACCTTGCCTTGCGCCAACTTCCACTCGTCTCCTATGATTGAAGCAAACTCTGCCTCGGTGAGCGCGGGAGGAAGTCTCCTGATTATAACCTTCAACCGAGTGACAGTAGCCTTGGATGCTGGTTTGGGGCTATTGCCAGAGGTTTGAATTGCGGTGACTGGGAGGACTCCATTTGCTGGTGCTCTCTGCGTAGCAGCCATAGTATTGGTCTAAGAGTAAGAGATGGTGGGCTCGATAGGAGAAACTTCTTCTGCCTACTTCAAAGTACACAGACAATTTTGGCTATGCGCTTCATTCGTTCAATTCCATCATCATCAAGGGGGTGACTGTTAGTTGCACCGTCGTGAATGAGGGACCACGAGATGAGTTTGTTGCCTCGCTTCCGATAAGATAAGATGCGCTTCGACTACCTTGCCGCTTTAGTGAGCGGCTCTTTTCACCAATTATCAAGATGGAGGGTAATGGCAAGTCTAACTCTACTCTGCCCAGCACCTTGTCCACCACCAAGTCTACGTTACTACGGCCTTGAAGACTACGACTCTACACTACTACATTTGATCGAATATGTCTGTTCCTAATGTCCCCAAACCTGGGCCTGCGCTCCTAACCCAGCGGGCTGGCCTGCCGGAATGGCTTGAGGAGGCTAAGCAGTGTCATTACCTCCCCGAAACCGTCATGAAGCAGCTGTGTGAAATGGTTAAGGAGTGTCTCATGGAAGGTGAGTTCTGTCGGGCATATTTAAACTGGAAATGTCTCTGACGTCTATCTCAGAGTCGAATATACAGCCAGTCACTACACCAGTTACAATATGTGGAGATATTCATGGACAGTTCTACGATCTCCTCGAGCTATTCCGCATCGCAGGTGGCATGCCAGGCGAAACGAATGTTCAGAAGCCAACAACACAGACCGCGATCATTACCTCTGATGATATTGAGCCTCCAACCGAAATCACAGACCCCAAATTAAAGAAGAAGATTAGAAGTTCTGATAGCGGCATCGAGAGTGCCAGTGGAGAGGATGACGATGATGATGAACCTCGCGGTCGTCCAAGGACTGCTGGTCAAGGAAGTCGTGCTGGGAGCTCTGGAGGGGACTCGGCGATTGGGGTTAATAATGAGGTTTCGGGATCAGGAAACCAGAACTTCGTCTTCCTAGGTGACTTCGTCGATCGAGGTTACTTCAGTTTGGAAACATTTACTTTGCTTATGTGCCTCAAAGCAATGTAAGTATGGTATGCAGGTTTCATTCACAAAGCTAATTCGTTCAAGGTACCCCGACAAGATTACGCTAGTTCGTGGTAACCACGAATCCCGCCAGATCACCCAGGTATATGGATTTTACGAAGAATGCCAGCAGAAATATGGAAACGCTTCTGTGTGGAAGTCATGCTGTCAAGTTTTCGATTTCCTGGTTCTGGCTGCGATCGTTGATGGCGAGGTTCTCTGTGTGCATGGTGGTTTGAGCCCGGAGATTCGAACAGTCGATCAAATCCGAGTGGTTGCACGCGCACAGGAAATTCCACATGAAGGGGCTTTCTGCGATCTAGTCTGGAGTGATCCTGAAGACGTGGAGACCTGGGCTGTATCCCCGCGCGGTGCGGGGTGGCTTTTTGGCGACAAAGTCGCCACTGAATTCAACCATGTCAACGGCCTAAAGCTCATTGCTCGAGCTCATCAACTCGTCAACGAGGGTTACAAGGTACACCTGTTCTCATTTGTTTAAAAATCATAGAAGCTAACCCTCAACAGTATCATTTCGCTCAAAAATCAGTTGTCACTGTATGGTCAGCACCTAACTACTGCTACCGCTGTGGCAATGTAGCATCCATAATGAACGTCGGGGAGGATCTTACTCCAAAATTCAGCATCTTTAGCGCCGTACCTGAAGACCAACGAGCTGTCCCAGCCGGGCGCCGTGGTGCTGGGGAGTACTTCTTGTAAACTTCACTTACGATATCATGACGGCGTTCGGGTTTTTGGGAACTGCATATGAGGCGAACCACCCCTGTATAAACTTGGCGTTAAGTACCCGCTGCAATTGTAATATAGTACCTGGAAGGCGAGCCAGAAGTTACGAAACAGCATGGTTCATATGTTAGATGTTTTACGCGTAAGTGATGCCCTTGCTGTGAATAACATGTTTTCACGAGCTCTCCGAGTAGTTGCTTTGAGTCGGGCGGAGCAGTTGCTTAAATCCATCTTTCCTTGACTAGTTCGCAACGAACGTGTCATTATGAATACATGAACTTAAAGAACCACCCACCAACATTACTATCACCATGAAAGTCCATCACATTTTCCGACACGGTGTGGCGATGTTTATCAACGCCATGGTCGGAAGCTGCCTGTCGTAACAAAAGGTGCATACACAGCGACTTGCAGAAGATTCGTTCCAAAGGTCCTCTGGAGCCATTTATCTCCTTCGTGTTGTGCCTATTTCTCCGCTTCCAGCGTAGCTTGGCGCTTCATTTGTTCTTGTACCCTCATGTTTGCATCGGCCTTCCGCACCATCTTTTCGTGCTCCCACGCCAATATCTCTTCCTCAAGTCTGCGCGCCCTCTCCATGATATATCTCCACCCTCTATCTGGCCAATTACACAAAGACACCTCTAGAGGCGACAGGATGCCGTCACCGGCCAGCTTCCTCAATGGTATTTATATTATTTCACCCTACCAAGAACAGGGATTTAGCTGTGTCCAAATTGGAACTCTGGGCTGTACTTACATCCTCAAAGATCACCAAGCTCGGTGGGCTTGTATTTGGTCAGGCCGTAGGCCAGTAAATACCATCCTAAAAGCATAGACGCATCAGGTAATCCCCGAATGCATCCACGAATCTGACGTTCTCTCTCGGCGCTCGTCTAACCACCGCAACCCACTTTATATCTGCGATAATGTTTTATAACGATTGGAGAAATGAGCACTCTGTTATTGTATCTGATGGATGCCGAGTGTAAAGTTGGACTTCTACGACTTTGGATGTCATGAAGTCAACACCATTTTCCATGCAGGGAAGGAAGACTTGTATTTGTCAACACGATGGTCTAATCGTCTCAGGAAATGATAATTTACAAGCTCAACCATGGGATCTTCTGCAGAAAGCTCAGCCAGAAGGAGGTCTTCACATCCACCTCCGCCAACTCTATTCATCTTCTCCAAGAAGTCGTAAGGTCGACGGCTGCAGGTCCGTAATAACCTCCAGTAATCTCCCATCCCCCATAAAAGCCACAGCGTCCCTTCCAGTCTTCGTATGTTCATTCAAGACGCTGAGTCTATGAGCAACAATGATGACAGTATGGCCATTCCCGGTGAACTCCTCGTCAATCACACGATGGATGATAGATTCTGTATCAGAATCAAGCGATGATGTAACTTCGTCTAAAAGAACCACAGGTTTGGCTCCAGTACATCTTAACGAGATGGCTTTGATGAGTGCCCGGCAGAGTGCGAATAGTTGGCACTGTCCTACAGAGAGTTCCTGGAACAGTAAGAGCTTTTTGTCGAAAACGGCATGTTGGCCAAGTTCTGAGATATCGATGGCGTGGCCTGTCTCTTCTCCCAGATGCCTCTCACCTATAAAGAAATGTGACCAGAGTCCCGTCTTTCTCAACGCGTCGGTGACAATCTCGTCCGAGACGGAGGCATCTGGGTTTAGATTGAAGCGCAAGGTTTCGTTCGACAAAAGCAGAGGGTCTTGAGATACTGCGATGAAACACCTTTCTCGCAACACATCTAGCCTCACATGCTTAATATCAATGCCATCTATTTCAATCTTGCCAGTTTGCAACTCCAGGATCCGTAAGAGGGTTAGAAGCAACGTGCTTTTGCCACTAGATCTGTGGTCAGTCCTCAGATAAATCTCTACCGTACGCGGATACTCACCTTCCCGTACGCCCGCAGATGATCAGTTTCTGGCCAGCGTTAATATTTAGGCTTATGTTTCGCAAAGCAAGTGACTTGGTGCTGAGTATTCTTTGTCAGCTGCAATCAACACAAATATTTCTAGTAAGGTACTTACTGATAAGACGTAGTGATGTCCTTGAATTCGACTTGTCCTATGGAAGGCCAGTCGTTCGGGGGGTCTAAATTTCCAATCTCATCGCCCTCGGCTGAAGTCATACTCTCTAGCATTTTCAAGCGAGCAATAGCACCGAGAGAAATCTCCAGCGTAGTCCAGTTCTCCACAAGCTTCAGTAATGTCGAGTTCGCGACGAGCATAATATTGAGCGCGATTCCAACTTGCCCGCCACTGATACGCCCTCGATACGCTACGGCTATAGCAACAACACTTGTTGCGATGACCGCAGTCAAGAGATCCAGGACGAGGTTAAGCCATCTTTGGAGGGAGAAGAGGAGAAATTCAGGCCGCTGGGACTTCTCTACGCAAAGGATGTTGTCTTGAATCACCTCTTCAGACCAATCGAATGCCCGGATAGTTTCGAGACCCTCGACCTAGCAAGTCTCAGTCAGCTACTCATTATTCATCAAAGTCAACGCTTACAGATTCTAAGAAACTCGAGAAGACCCCTGCCCGAGATTCTAGTTCCAGAAATCGAAGTTGTCTTGACGTCCGAAGATATACCTTCTGAATGACGTAGACGATGAGCATACAGCCCGGTAGAGACATTGTAAGCCATTTCTGGGCAATGAAAAGAAGAACGATTTGCATGAGGAGCTTGAAGGTCTCTGATATTGTTAACATGCTAGCAACATGCAAATTAGGAAACTGAACGCTTACGAGCCATTATATTCGAAAGCGCTGTTGGCAACTGTTTGTCGATGAGCTGAATGTCTTGACTAAATCTAGAAGTTGTTAGCTTTGATCAGTACAGTGCGAGCATGAATTTCGACCTATTCAAGATAGAGCCATTCTCAGTTTTGGAAAAATAAGACAGCGGTGCACTAGGTGATGATTAGCTTTAAGTTTGCCTTGTGAAATCATTGACAAACTGTTTACTAACTTTGTTACAATATATAAGAGGCGTTGATGTAGTCGCATCCCAGATTGTGGGGCAAGTCGAATAACATTGGACCTATAATGTTCTCAATAAACAGAAGCCATTGAGTCCACGGGATATCTTACCACATAATACCATTTGTTGTAGACCACGACATGACTGATAGGAAGAGAAATCCACAAGTATAGAACACTGTGTTACTGCCACTCGATTCAGTCCACAGCTGAAGCCAGTATTGGGGAATGGTGAAGAAAAATGAATATGATAAAGTGAAAGTAACATAAAGAACAAGGTTGGTCAAGCCAACAAAACCAAAGTAGTAGCCTACATTTTCATTAGCTATATCCATTGAATTTCACGGGAGAATTACTGTAAAGAGCTGAGTCTCCAGTTTGTCTAGCAAGATCTACCTCAGCCTCATCTTTTGCTCGAGTCTGGGCGCTGAGCTTATCAAAGTTGGCCGATTGGCTAATATTGTACTTGCTTTGGGAGCTGGAAGTGAACTTTGCTATGGACGAAGCTTTCCCCTCAATAGTTTGCCAATTCCCTTGCTCTTTGATCCCGTGATCTCCCAAAACCACAATGTGATCAGCAGCTTGGAAGTACTGAGCTGCTTTGGTGTAAGTTGATGATATATACGATAGTATAAGGAACTTACTCGAATTGGAGGCCAGCACCACGGTAGTCTTCAACCGCCGAAACAAGCCTGTAGGTCCAAATAAATTGTCAAAAACAGATTTCTCTGTCTCACCATCCAGCCCGCTGAAAGTGTCATCTAATAGGACTATGTCGCATCTCGCAAATAACGCACGGGCGAGTGCCTGCACTTGTCAATTCGAATCTTACACAGCGACTCAGTAGTACTTACAACCCGCTGCCTCTGCCCGCCAGACAAATTGAGCCCGCGACTGCCAATATGTGTCTGATCTCCCTCAGGAAGTGAACTGAAATCATGGGTAAGACAACACATATTTGTTACTTCGTGATACCATGTATCATCATCTTGTTCAGCAGTACCTTGGATGACCTCTTTGATGTTACCGCTAGGAAGCCACGACCTTTGAGCACAATATGCTATTCGTCGTGTTGACAACATAATCGTTCCACGGGCAGGGACTACCTCTCCAAGCATAGCACGCAGCAGAGTCGATTTGCCGCTTCCAGTCGGGCCTGAGATTATGGACACTGATCCAGCTGGCACTTCAAGGTTGATATCCTGCAAGATAAGCTGCTTGTCACCAATTCCCAGTTGCTGGATTAGAATAGCAGGGCTAGGTTTTGTCAATTCGCCAGATGCCGGATCCCGAGAGAACTGGTTCGAGCTGGCTTTTGGCAGTGTCACCCGGCTAGCTCGTAAAGAAGGCCGAAGCAAAAATGATTGGATCCTATCGAATCCAGCGAATGATGCAACTGCACGCGGGACAATGGTCATTACCATGTTTGCAGGATGTGTAACCATAGTTAAAATGGCTACGGTAGTGAACGCAGTTTCGGTATCTAAATTCTGGCCACGCACCCCTGATATCACAGCAAATACAACTAGTGTAATAGATGGAGAGAATATCCCAAGCGCATTGGCTGCGGTATAGTTAGTTTGTAATAGATTTAGATCAATTGGGGCTAGACAAACCAGAAGCATTATAGTATACCATCAACCATCTGAGTTTGGATGCCGCATAAAGCTCTTCTTTCCGAAGCTCTTGGATGCGATTGCTAAGGTACTGCTGAAAACCGAGCAACTTAATGGTTTTCATTGCGCTAATCATTGAGCTTGTCGCAGCCACACGACTTTGTGTTGCATTATTCCAAGCCTTTTGACGAGGATGCAGTTGTTTTGCGACGAATCGACTCACATGGGAACACACTACACATATTAGTGCCAGGCCAGAGACAGTGGATATGAACGTACTATAGATAAGGAAGAGCGGAAGAGGCCAAATCCAGCCGACTTCACTACTCAGAAGAACTATACCAATTATCACTTCGACGACTTGTGCCCATACTTCGTGGACCATCTCGGCAATCCCGTCGAGACTATCTGCGTCGGTACTCATAAGTGTAGTAGCCTCGCCATTGTCGTTAGCTATGCTAGGGGATTTCATGGTCTTGTCATGAATAAGTCCCACAAGAGCACTCCTCGTAAGGAGTTTCAGCCTGTTTATGCAATGCTGGTATACAGCTGTGGCTATCTGAAGTCGCACATTAGCACACGGCGAAGAAGAATGAGAATTGTAACCAACGGCAAGGCCGACATAGACAATCGCGGCCGACACAACAAGCCAATAACCAAGGTTGCTCTGTGCACCAGCAGAATATGTTAAGACATATCTGATAGACCGCTTGATTAGAGTAGGTTGTGAATATCGGAAGGCGATCAAGAATAGTCGAGGCATAATTGCAACAAGAAATGGTTTCTTCACAGCTTTCAGTAACGCTAGGGGCAAGGTTTTTCTTGTCTCGGGCCTGGCTGCTTTTGTAAGTATTGGAAAAACGAGCATTGTGGGGGTTCCACTAACCTCTCTGAGACCATATTTGAAGTATTTTCTTTCTTGTGGTCTCTGGCTTCATATCTTCACTGAGGGGAGGCAAATCTTGGTCGATAAGGATATTCCTGTACCCCCGGAGAAGAATGGGGTTGATCCAAGTAAACAAGGCCCTGCTCAAAACGCCACTGAGCTCTTCGGGAGACTGGTGCTTGTTGACAGCACTGAATGCCGAACGCTTGCCGCAGCACTCAAATAGCAAAATAGCAGCATCCATACAACATCGAATAAGTACGGGACGTGAAATCTCCATACGTTCAGCGGCCCCAGAGGGCACAGTCAAGACCACAACATCGCACAAAATTGATGCTAGAAGGTATAGGGTACCAAGATCAGAAGGTTTTTGAGACCGCCGTTGCTCTAGAAACAGAAGCAGACTCAGGCCCGGGGCAGCCAGTAGAGAGATGAGGAGCGAGATGAAGAAACAAGTGTCATGCTGGATGTCTGAGGCTGAAAAATTGGTCAAATATGACAGCAACATGACCGAGAGTAAAACCCCGAGAGTCTATATTCGTTGTTAGTACAATACTTCGTACATATAAATAGAGCCGAGGAGGGGATGCGGGGGGAAGGGGGCACTAGCAGCTTTCAAAATCCCTTGCCAGTTCGGACTAGCCTTAAAGCTAGATTTGCGAAGCTCCCAAAGTCTGATTGGTAGACACAATAGAAATATGGCTGCACAAGTTGCCGATATGGCATTTATAACGCGTGTGGGCTCTGGAGCCATGATAGCTACTGTAATTGCAAACAAAGGTTGGTCGAGATGAACAGTAGTGGTGATGAGCTCGAGGCTGCTATTAATAATTTCGTACGCCGTACCCTGAAAGTCATCCCAATAGAACGTAAGGCTCATTAGATAAGATGCATTCTCAATAAGGATGGGTTTGTGACCATTGGTTTATGGCGACTCAGAAGGAATACGAGGGTCTTTTCGCTGGAAAGAAGAGGTTGTTGCTTTTGAACATTTTAAGATTCAGGGAGCTGAACCCTGTTGCTACAGGGGAGCATTAGCGAAGGCTTCTCAGGTACGAACGGGTACGAGACGAGTACCTTATAGGGCTGAAAGGGCCTTAGCGTTCCAAAAACAACAACACAGGGTATAAATTCGTGCCGCCTCTATTTGACCACTGAAATGTTGATATGAAAGCAATTCAGTGTACACGGAGAATACGGATACGAAATCACGAATAGGAAGTACGCCTCGGGTACCAACAACCAACACCGGGCTCCACTCCCCCTCTCTGCTTATATTGATAACAATATAAGGAAGGAGTGATTGAAATGCGGAAGGTGGGGTCCAAAGTCAAACTTACAGAGTACATTTGAGCCTCTCGACAATGGAAGAGACGTTTCTTATAGTACTGTGGCTTCTACAGTATGATGTTCCAGCTTTGCAAACGACCCCAGGTAGGTAGAAGTTGTGGTGAAGCATTTACTTGAATGCCGATTTTGCTCATTGGATAAGATGCATTCTCAATAAGGATGGATGATGGCCCGTTCCCGTTGCTACAGGGGAGCATTAGCGAAGGCTTCTCAGGTTCGTACGGGTATAATAAGTACGATATACGCGGCAGAATGAACTTGCGGTATTTTGTAGTACGTGCGCAATTTTGCTATAGTATTCTTCAGTACTAGTATTTCGTTTGATCTCTTTTCACCCCATATTTCTCCGACGTAGAGCCACCTCTACCAGAGACGAAGTATATTCCTTTACCCTAAGTAGTCCCAAGGTCTCATCCTGGGTAAAGATATTCAAAATGCATTGCAGGATGAAGATTTTGCACTTACGCTAATTTCACCATGTCATGTGATTCACTAGGCAAGCCGCACAGGACAACGTCACAAGTCTCTCCTGTCTTCAATTTACTAAGGCTCTTTGTGCAAATACTTCAAGCACGCTGATTACAAAATTTATATCAGAGATCGTGTTCTGCTTCGCCATGCTAAAAATTTACTTGATCATTTCACAGCTGTGTCCGTTAAAAGCAAATCTCAAGGCTTCTTGTTTCTACTCATGCTCGTCCACCCACGAATCCCGAGTTCCCTTCACTACTCCTTGATCTCATCATCGCTTGCATGTCCCCTCAGACTTTGTGGCTCTGAAAAGGGTATTTACTAAGTTCACACCAAAGTTCATTAAGTATTTAACGCCTGCAACTCCTGAAAAACCTTTATATCAATGTGGAAAGTATATCCTCTGGCGAAATATGTTCAGGTCCTAGTGTAACTCCTAGCCATCTAATTCATCTTTATAAATAGTTTGACAGAATGAAGAGATTCATTCGAGTAAGTGGTGCCATTGGAAAACTATGAATGTCAAATTATCTTCCTATCACTACCCTGACATTTCGTATGTCGAAGGGACATCCTATAAAGATGACACTGGGCTTCACTATAATAACTTACAGCATTTGCAAGTGCTTGACTTTTCATACCAATTATCATCCTCTAAAGTTGAAAATGATTAGGTCTCGGTCCGTGGAGAAAGTTTTTCCATAGACAGTCGAATAAAAACGGCGTTGCATTAGTTCACATCGCTCTTTCCTATCAGAGTTCTATCTACGCTATCAATATTTTCTCAATGTGCTGCACAGCGTCATTACTCTACTCCGGATTGTGTTTTGTTTTTTCCCGGGTAAATGGGCATGCTTCTTGTTTATCTTTTGTCTCTCTTTAAACGTATCATAAATTAGATAATAGTTTCCAAAGCAATTCACCGCCTGGTTTAGAATTCTGCCGCGGTTGTGATCCTTAAGCGAGCCGGCTCAGGAGGGCATTAACAAATAAACAAACAATGGAATATTCGAATATTAGTGCGATATGGGCAGATCGAAAAAGTGTATCGAGCGCGCTCTTCGGAGCTTTCCTTCCCTTTCCTCAGTTTGCGCTTTGATCTATACGTAGTAGAAGCCAGACTCAGAATACGCGCTGCGTGACCATTTTCAAACAAAACCCTTCACTCTTCCAAGAGCCTAAGTGTTTTCAAGTCTGCTCCCAGTTCTTCAGAGCAGTCCCTGGTCTCCCCATTCCACTCCACTCAGCACCCTCCACCTCCCTCCACCTTCGCCAACCTCCTCCCACCTCCTCTCACCTCCCCCAAGCTTAAGCTAGCTCCGACAAAGCTTCAACGATACCCTTTACTAATCAAATCGTTGGAATTGTCCTAGAAGCTCCAAAGTTTATTGGTCGTCTATTGCTCCCGAGAAGGCATAGACACACACTTTCCCTGTATGCAAGAACCCACTCACGATAGACGTGAAAACAGCTAATTTTGTACAGAGAACAACGCTACTAAATACGACTCGTCAACTGCATACAGCTCCCGAGAAGGTCTAGATACAATTAGATCTACGACACCTCAACGGTAATTGATAATCACCCTGGGGCGCGCAAGTGAAAGGATACTAATTCCGTGCCAGACACCCTAGGCCTACCAGCATCCGTCCCAAGACCCACGATTCTCTCTCGATATCATCCGGTAAGCTCAACGATGGCAATTATCTCTCATGCTATAATAATGCTTATAATCTTAGACAATCTCCTGCAATGGATTCGAGGCAGATACCCGTCCACGCAACACCTCCTGGCCCTCCCGCCCCCCTCCATCCAATTCGTCTAAGGCGGAGGTAGAGACAACAATAAGAGAAAAGCGCCCGCGAACAACCAGACTTCGAACAACAAGAAGCGCAAACCTGGCAAGCCCAAAACCGACGCGGATTGGTGGGCCGAGTTTGCGTCGACCTCTCTTTACTTTGATTCTTTTCTCGCTCATGGATGTGATTGATTCTGGCGATGTGTTTACTGTCCAAGGAAATTCCACGCTCCCAAAAACACTCGAAGAGGCTCAAGGTGATGAGAGTGGGTGGACTCTAGTGCAAGAAGTGTCCGAGCTGAAGACCTTGCCCAAACAATACGCTAAACCCAGCCAGCTGATAAGCCGAGATCTTGATGGCAAAGTGGTTTACACCACCGAGGAGACTCGCATTCTGGCTGTACTCGCCACTAAGCGTGCCGAGGCCGACGCCAACATCAAGAAAACTCTCGAGGCCGAGCGGGAATGGCAGAAAATTCGGGCTGCAGAGCGGAAGGAACGGGCGGACAGGAGGGAGGATCTGGAGAGCATTGTGGGTTCGGAGCTTGTGGATGAGGCTATGTGTGGTATGGAACTCGCGGCTGTAGCGAAGGAGAGTTGCAACTCATAGGGAGCAAAGAAAGACCGAGATAGAGCGGCAGTCAAGGGATGGAGGGGGTAATCTGTAAAGGTATATAAGAGTTTTAATAATGATGGTCTCACAGGTTCTAACGCATCCATGCCTCAGAGTGATTTTTCTCCGAGATCAGAGTAATGACTGAATCCCTGTTTTTCTTTTTTTTAGGGGGGGATCAGGCAATTTCAGACCTATAAGCTACGAAGGCTCGGAAGGGTACTCTCAGCCTCCGCGCCGATGTTTGCTCTAACGTCAATTTTTAATTATTGAGATTTGCTTAGTCAGTCTACAGGGAAATTTTTTTCACTCAGTGTTCACGTGCCCCCTCACTAGCGCAAGAAGATGCGCATAAATAGAGAGCTTCGCACCCCAATTTCAGACCTTTTTTTTCACGACAATACTGTAAAACACCCCCCCCCCCAAACTTCCCTCAACAGCCTTACTAATTCCTTCTACAGTCATAGAATCATTTCTATAGTAAACGTCTTCTTCTGAGCTTCTCAAAAAAGCTGCAGACCTCATCCTGGACGATGAATCGATCCTCGGTACCCAAGAGTGAGCATTCACACTCTCGCACTGTCCGCAAGGATGGCGGCATCTGCTCACGCAGTTGCTGTATAGAGAGTAGCAATGATCTCGGCCCTCTTCGCTATGACTTCTGTCTAGTGATTTGGGTGGGTGTCGATGGACGTCTGACAGGTGTCTTTTTTTCATTGTGCTTCTTGGCTTGTCCAGGGTCGCGAAGAAGAAACTGTTTTGATCAATCAATCATCAATTAAGAGTGCGCTGACGCCCACCATTATCTCACTTCCAAGACAATTAATTTCGAAGGTTCCTGTGTTAAACTAATTATCGGGTTTTGGGCCGGACTTCTTGGTATGAACCTCCAAGTCAGGAATAGCACGACGCCATGCCAAAAATTAGGTTAGGTCTTCACCTTATAATTACGGCGAATGAAATCCGCAACCCGTCGACTCTTCCATATTCGACATCCGCTTCGAATATCCTACGAATATCCTACAAATCCACAACGGGCCCATCTCCGAGAGTCGAATAATTCGCACACAAAGTAGGAAACTAAGAATGCTGCGAAGTCTGGATCAAAATACTTGCGGCTCGTCGACTTGACGACTGCAGATTTCCTGGCTCTCGTTCTGCGGGCGAACACTCAACATATACCGCCTACAGGATTCCGGCTGTTGCAATCGAATCTTGAGAATTACAGATGGTCTTCGAACCATCTGCACTATAATCATCAATTCAAGTGAGGCTTCCAATCATGCTTTCAACCCACGGCCTTGGAATTCTTGGGTCGTCTGCTCTAAAGAGATTATCACTTGATGTCTCATGGTATAAGCATGTCTGGCATGAGCGAGGGGAAACACACTTGGCAACACATTTGCAACATCGTGGTACCTACTTGACGTACACACCGAGAGCCAACTGCATTACCCCAAGACATCAAGCTTCACAGTCTTAGCTAAGGGCAGGAATGAAACGGATGCGTGATGAATACGAGCTCAACAAGAGTTGGTAAAAGAAACCGTGTGTGTTCTCCCTCTACATGACCTGACCACCCTTCGAGTCTTCAGCCATGGGGTCTAAACACACCAGCAGAGAACATCGTTCAATCCATCCCTATCCTGCCTTGAGAGAAAACTCTTCACCCACACCAAAACATCGTGATACCAGCCACAAGTGAGATATGATGGAAGCGCCACACCGGGCGTACCACACTCGCAATATCCCCATGTTCAAATCTGACAATATCAGATCATTAAGCATGAAATGCGGAGGACTCATACGGAGGGTTACAGAGTGTCATTAAGCCGTGTCCGGCTACATATAAACGCGCTGGCCTATGAGCTTCGTCCATCGTGTGGCTATGCGCGCGTCTCTGGCCCCCAACAACGAGGCTGAAGTCCTGGTTAGGAAGAGCATCACGATTAAGCATTTTTGATGACCAGCATAGCCCCGAAAAGAGGAATCTCATCTTCTACCTTGTGATTATTGAATGACCGACTGATTAACCTTCTCGCCGTCTCGTCGACACGAGCCTCTCAACACGGCTATGGGTATCTTTAGACCCTTGACCAGCTGATGCCGCTGAAGCGGCTCAATCGACCAATTTCACAACCCCATCATCATCTCTCTAGAAGTTTCCAGCAAGCGAGCAAATCATCTGGCCTTTGAGGCTTGGATCAAGCCTCAACGCCACACGAATTCTTTAATCACAACGAAACAATCTCTCTTAGAGACCCCTTGCCTTTTGACCCTCCATCACAGAATGTGTAACATTGTAGTATCGATGTTCTTTATGCTTATTCAGGTAGGGCTCTTCTTTGCTCTTTGTCCTAAACACAGCCTTGCATATTCTAGTTACTAGAAACTGTTGGGTGTAGCCCACCGGACCTCTACATAATCATGCGCAACATACAAGGCTTTCACTTAACGCCCTGTCAAGCAGGCAGCCGTTCCTATAATACCAAGCCAAAAGCATCCTATTGATCCGTTGTTGAACATTCATCCAATACCACCTGCAGAACATATTACTTGCAGTAGCTTTTGTCACTTTTGCCAATCGACACTTTCTTCAACATCACACAGCGCGTCACCCAATACTGCGCAGAATCTTACTTGCAGACACTTCTTCAATACCTCAGGCTCTGAAATCAAGAGAACACATCAGCCTTCATACGCTCACAGCTTTCTACGCTTCAAGAGCTATAACTACCTTTCACCCTGGGTAACACTCAGAGTCAGATGCCCCACAAGAATCACGTATACATCGAAAGAGGTTCAAACGGGCGTAATCGTTTTGTAATACCTCGCGGACGCCGCCACTCAGTATCTAGCGAACACGACAGCTTTACACCGAACGAGCGCCTCGGTGCAGCACAAGGAAGGATGGAAGCCCTTGAAATCCAAATCGGACAGCTCCAAAATCGCTTGAGCTTTGAACAGAGCAACAATTGGACCACCAGAAGGGAGAACGAGAGATTGACTGCTGAAAACTACGACTTGCAGGCGCAAGTAGAGGTTCAGAGGCAGGAGGTCAGACGCTTGGATGATATGTTGTTTGATTTGGAGAAGAAATATGAGAAGCTGGAGGGTAAATACAGGCAATTGAAGAGGCGATCCAGGTCGATGAGTGAAGGGAGCGATTACAGGAGAGTCTACGAAGAGAAGGCTACAGAAGTGGAAGTATTGAGGGCTCGTCTTGCAGAGAGAGATGACTTGATTCGGTTGGACGAAACACGAATCTCTGAGAAGAATAGTCTTCTGAGAGAGAAGGATAATCTTCTGAGGAAGAAGGCCGACACAATTACTTACTTCAAGAACTACCTGCGAACTCATGGGTTCAGGGTAGAGGATTGAGTAAGAGGAGCTCATCGGATTTGAATTTGTTGGGGGACTCGGGATTGCTCGAATTTGAACTATAGTACCACAACGTATCTCGATCACCTCCGGCTGTCTGACTGCCTTCCCGCTAGCGATTTGGCGAGAGAAAGGGGAGCCTGAGTGGCAAATTAGAATGGTTAGTAAGAATCTCACCCCCTACACATTGAAAAGCGCCCGCTGACAGAAATCGGCTTCAGACAACCATTGCAGACTCTTGTTGGGATTCCTCTTGGCATCGTGATTTTTGCTCTCGGGTGACGTTCATAGAACGCCGAGCCCACATCTACTTAGATGTTGGAGTTGGAAGAGGTGACAAACTTTGAGACACCAACAATAAGTGTCTAGGCAGCAGAGCACTTTAGCACTTTAGCATTATCGCATAAACTCTCATGCTGCATCTAGAGTCAAGTCTTCGGGAACGGCTTTTCATAAGACCACTTTGTGACGATTCTTGTGATACATAAATTCACGTGAGAGTCAGTCTTTGCATGCGCGCATCGTGGGGGCGTGAAATTGTGCACCAACATGTTGGAAGGATTTCAAGGACACGCAAGCTGGTAGTTTAAGCATCAAAACATGCGCCGTACAACACGAAGATATTCTCAGAACAATATTGTCACAGAAATACATTTCACTTGGCATGCAATTCTGTCTGTCCTGTGTCGTAACCTTGTTACACAATTATGGGAATACACGTGAATTTCCAGTCATCTTTTGCTGCATGAATTCGATGGCCATCCCGGAAAGAGAACAAAGAGGGAATTCTCCAATAGGCAGCACCCGCCCTCCCGTCCCCCCGATTGCCAATCAAGGAAGCTCATGGGGGGTGGGGGGGTGGAAGATGGAGGGCGAGGAGAAAGGGAGGCTCTGCACCAGGCAGATTATCAAGCCTCCGGCTGCAAAGGCAACCAGGCAGTGCAAGGCAGCCGGGGCATTTCCCACCACCACCACCAATCAGCCCCCATCCCCTCCCATCAACTCTTCTGTTCTGAAGAGTCATCGATGTACATGTGCTTTGTTAGACACCCCCCTTGTTGGCCTTTAGCAGGGGCCTTTGATGTTTTTCGGTGACTGTTTTCGGACGTCAGTCATCAGTCGGCGGCGGGATGGGAGGCCAGCGCCAGGCATGGCATGGGCTCTAGAGAGGGCAGACCTTACCTTCACCGAAATCCCAGGACAGGCAAGGGAGAAAGATATGAGTACAGTAGGTAAAGACCTTAAAGTAGGGTAGGCAGCACAGCTTCCACCTAAATCTTTTGTGATCTTTCATTCTTTCCAACATTAGCAGACAAAGTTCACTTGTTCTTAAGTTCGAGTGTGGGCGGATTTAATCCTCCTTATATATCTTTTCCTTCAGCATACCACACACAGGCCGAGTACACTCTACAGCCTTGCAGCACAAGCACGCACATTTTTTGACCATACAATCCCAATCTTCTACCTGATTGCCTTGAAAGTCCCTACCTGAGCCTTCTTCATTGGTGCACTCTTATTTCGGCTCAATTACAACACATAGTTGGGCACGCATACCTAGAGCTACAATCCAATCCCCTGAAGCCTCACGGAATATCAATCACGTGCCACACCCAATCCTCACAATGATGTCTTCTTCCTCCAACAAGAAGAAAGTCCGCTACACGGAGAGTACCATGGGAAAGTCATCCAACCCACACTCCAAAGGCCATTCCCACAAAAGCAGCCGTGATTCGGGCGTTGGCTCTTCCTCCGCCTCAGACCGAGCCTCTGTCGGCGGCACCACCGAAGCCCCATTCAACTCTCAGGAGATCCAATACCAACGACACAACCCTACTGCATTGGCCGAAGCCCTTGATGCAGCCAATGAGAAAATCCGCGAGTTATTCGAACAAACCGAACACCTTCAACGTCTGCTCAAGGACAGCAACAAGGAGAAACGATCCCTGAAAGGAGAAAAGAACGACCTACTCATAGAAGTCGAAGATCTAGGCCATGAACTCAAGGAAGAGAAACGCGCGCACGATAAGCTACGCAAAGAATCCGGCCAGCGTGTAGCTACTTCCAACTCCAGCTCCACGAGACGCAGTACACCTCCATCATCCCACAGACGAAGGGACGACGAGCGATCTCAAGGAAGCGGAAGTTATCACGAAGAGGCCCGCCGATACATCGTCCCTCAACCACCGCCAAGCAACGCACCGAATCCTTTCATCCCGCTGAATGAACGCCCTTCTGCTCCGTCGGGCGTGGTTTATGCACCTCCAACAACAACAATCAGTTACTCTCCAACGGCCGTAGCGTATTCCTCTGCGCCGGCGTTTTCTTCAAGGCCCGCAGGCTCAAGAGCGTCGGGCGGATCGCATGGAACTTCAAATGATGGGAATTATCACTCTTATCCTGTGTGATTGCGGTGATTTCGCCTGATGTGGATGATTCACAAGAGAGTTTGAAGATGTATGCACGGACGAAGCGAAGGAGGGAACCAGCTACCCCACCTTGCGATTGACTCACTCTTTCCGAGCAGGAGATACTGCACCGCAACACCACCACCTCTGTTGTCATAAGAGAGATGTGACTCACGCAAATTCCATAGCTTGCTCTTCTCAGAGTCCAGGCCGCAGATATATATCAATCCTGCAGCTTCAATCAACACCAGTCAAACAACATCACGACATTACAACCCCGCATCTACCTCCAAAATGCCAAAATTCTACGATAGCATCTCCCCAGACCTAGCTGACTGGGCCCTCTCCCAACCCCTCTTCTTCACAGCCTCTGCCCCCTACACAGGGAAACACATCAACATATCCCCCAAAGGCCTGCCCTCCTCCACCTTCACGATCTTCTCGCCCACCTCCTGCGCCTACATCGACGCCACGGGCTCCGGCGCCGAGACAATCTCGCACATTTACGAAAACGGCCGCATAACAATCATGTTCTGCAGCTTCGGCGCCTCGCCGCGGATCATGCGCTTTTTCTGTACCGGCAGGGTAGTCGAGTGGGACCAGGCTGAGTTTGAAAGCTTGCTGGGACGCATGGGGAAGAAGAGGGTGGATGGGGCGCGCGCTGTCATCATGCTGACTGTCTGGAAAGTGCAGACGTCGTGCGGGTACGGCGTGCCGCGGATAAGGGAGGGTGAGATGGATGTGGAGAAGGGGAAGGAGGAGGATGCATTTCAAGACCGGGATACGCTTGGCCACTGGGCGGGGAAGAAGGTGGAGAGGAATGAGATGGGTGAGTATCAGATGAAGAATAATGCAAGGAATTTGGATGGATTGCCTGGCCTTAGGACCGCGAGACGGGATGCGGGAGAGAGGTTTTGGGTTGAGGATGCGAGGGCGAAGGTTGGCTTGATTGTGAGTCAGAAGGAGGCTCTTGCATCGGGTGTGTTTATTGGTATTTTGATAGCGTTGTTGGGTGGGCTTTTGCAAGCGTTTGTTGTAGGACTTTAAGTGTTGTATTACTGTACTGGCGTTAGCAAGGACTACTATTACATTTGGTGTTTTGGCGAATTCAGATTGTTCAATTGAAGGCTATTCCACCATAAGACTTGTTTCAATCTGGTTGTGACTAACTGTAATTTCGAATCAACGATACAAGATTCTGCAATAAGACGTTGACATTATCGAGGCGAAACTTCCTAGATATCACCACGTGTATCCACCCAAAGAATTTGACAGAAGATGAAATGTCTTCATCTAATTGAAGACGGAGATGTTTGGAGGGGTTTGAAACCTGAATTAATATAACCGGGCCACCCGCTATTAACCAATCAAGCCACAGTCTATGTAAACACCTAACTAAGTATGAAGAATTCCAAGTGTAACGCAATAGGTCAAAATTGATTATTGATCCCACCTCAATCTATACAATTAACAAAAAGCTTTTAGGTCCCTATCTATAAATGTTTCAACTCAGCCTCAACCTCTTCCTCAACAAGCTTTCCCACACCCTTCCATCCCGCACCTTTTGCTACCACCCGTACTCTCTTCTCCTTCTGTTCTAGACCGACAAATTCTTGTGGAAGGACAGTGTCGAAGCTAAAACCTGGCTCATCTTTCAACGCCAGATCAACAGCATTCGCGAATTTTGCGGGATGAGCTGTCGAAAGAGAGATGTGGTGCGTATCGGCAGGTGCTCTCTTGATCGACCGTAATGAGGCAGCAACACCAATAGCAGAATGAGGATCTAGTATATAGCCTCTTTTCGACGCGCCGTTGGCGTCCCCGTTTGGAGCAGGGGTAGAGTAGAACTGCTTAATCGTCTCAACAGTCTGTGCATCACTAACTCTCTCACTCTCGAAATCCCTCTTTGCAAACTTGAGTATCTCAGCCGCGACACTAAAGCCTCCTTGAGTCTTCAGCTGCTTCAACCACGACTCGACTTCCTGTCCAGCCTGCTTCTTGTTCCATTCCTCGTCCATACCCGCCTCAGCGGCGTATTCGTAGGCGAGGAACCAGAGAAGGCGCTCGAAGTTGGAGGACACAAGGATATCCATTGCTGGACTCAGTGTTTCTTTTACGCCATCTTCATGTGCTTTCACTCCGTCTGCTGGGATTCCACCTTCTGCTTCCACGCCATGCACAGCCTTCTTTTCGTAATGTCCTGTCTTCCAGAATCGGTCAAGAATATCGTTTTCATTTGTTGCTACAACGAGCTTCTCGACTGGTAGACCCATACGCTTTGCAAAGTAACCAGCTAAGATATCGCCAAAGTTGCCTGTAGGAACGACAAAGCGGACTTTGTGGCCTGGTTTGTATGATGCGGACTTTGTGAGGTTGAAGTAGGAATGGAAGTAGTAAGTTGTCTGTGCGAGAATTCGGGCCCAATTGATGGAGTTGACGGCTCCTAGGTTGAGATTTTCGTTGATTTTGGGATCCGCAAAGAGGGCTTTGACAGTATCCTACAAAAATTAGTATTACTTCATGTTTGGGATTCCTCGTCACTCACTTGGCAATCATCAAACGTTCCCTCCACCGCAAGATTATGTACATTGGCATCTAGCACCGTGGTCATCTGCGCTTCTTGGATCGGACTGACCCTCCCCTTGGGATGTAGAATGAAGACTGACACATCCTTCTTTCCTCGCAGACCATAGATTGCTGCGGACCCAGTGTCACCGCTTGTTGCACCCACCACCGTGAGGTGATGTCTGTCTCTTCCAGTCTTGCCCTTATTCCGTCTAACCAGAAAGTACTCGAAGAGGTTACCTAATGTTTGTAATGCGACGTCTTTGAAAGCAAATGTTGGGCCGTGGAAAAGTTCGAGTAGGTATAAATTCTCCTTCTCGTTGAGAGTGACTAGAGGAGTCGTTTCTGGAGAGCGGAAGGTAGAATAACTTCGATCAATAATCTCTTTCAGGTCTGCGGGTGGGATTTCGGAGGGCGAGATATAGAGGGAGAGGAGTTCGAATGCGAGTTGTGAGAAAGACAGGTTCTTCCATTTTGTTTCCCAATCGCGGGGTAGATTGGGGATTTCTTCAGGGATGAACAGGCCACCATCAGATGCCAGGCCTTTTAAAACAACCTCCTCGAATGATAGCTGCAAATTATCAGTTCCATCTAGCTGTAAACAGTCCAATTGGCAGGCTTACTCCATAAGAACCCCCCCTTGTTGATAGGTACCGTTGCGAGGGGGTGTGCGTAGTATCTTTAGGCTCTTCGGCAGCAGGTGCTGGCACAGGATTTCTGGTTGGCACAGCCAGTCCCACGGGAGTAGCGGATTCAGACATGATATGAGGCTATTCAGACTTGATGGTTTGATCAATTGTGTCGAGAAAGCCGTGAATTCAAATGCGAAGGTGACTCAAGAAGCCTAGAATTTTTGCCCGACTTCGGGACGAGACCAAAAGGCCAGCCCCGCCAAGCCAGTCACAAGCACGGTGAAGCACCAGAATTTTAGTGGTTCCAATGGGAATCACTTCAATACTAAAATTAAATTCATCCCACTGTCGTTAAGTATGCACAGATTCAAAGTCTCTCGTACCGAGTCGTCACCAATGATAGATTTGTAGCTGCGAAAAATCATCTGACCAGACAGAATACCTCGGCGTAGCCCTCAACACACAGAATATCAACAAGAGAAGGGCTGGCGTTTTGAAGGCAGTACCATGGCTCAAAACATCTACGATGATCCTGCTTTCTTCGAGAAGTATATAAAAGTCCCACGCCAAGTTCAAGGTCTCGACGCTGCGCCAGAATGGTCGAATCTGCGAGCCATGATACCAGACCTCCACGGATCAAAATTCCTCGATCTGGGCTGTGGATTTGGCTGGACATGTCGATGGGCTCGAGAAAACGGTGCTCAAGCGGCTCACGGTATCGACCTTTCCCAAAACATGCTCTCGAAAGCTAAAGAGTTTCCTGAAGATCCTGCCATCACATATTTACAAGCCGACCTGGACAAAGTCAAACTACCGGCCTCGAGCTTTGATATCGCCTTCAGCTCACTGGCGCTTCACTACCTGAAGAATCTTCCTGAGCTGGTAGCCCAAGTCTACCAATGTCTCATACCGGGTGGGACATTCGTCTTCTCAGCCGAACATCCCATTTGGACAGCTCCTCGAAATCCAGACTGGATACTGGATGCTGAGGGCAGACACGTATGGCCTTTAGATAGATATCTGTCTGAAGGACCTAGAATCACGAATTGGATGGCCGAAGGAGTCATAAAACAGCATCGAACCATCGCTACCTACATTACCATTTTCCTTCAAGCGGGTTTCGTTCTCTCTGCCATAGATGAATGGGGACCGACACTTGAACAAATTGAGGAATTTCCGGACTGGGCGAAGGCTAGAGATCGTCCTGTGTTTTTTCTTATGAAATTTATCAAGCCAATAGATTAGTTAGTAGTTAGAAGAGGAACTGTTGTAGATTATGTGAGAATAATGGGACGCTTGAGGAATCTGTCACTAGCCACACTTCATCTACTTCAATCTACTTGAGTCTTGATCTGGGAATTGGCGGTTTCTGCTGACTCTTCATAAGCTCATGCACTACTAGGCACAGTAAGCAGATTTTCGAATCAAGTTCTTCAAAAAGACAGAAATGTACCATCACGTGCCTGCCGCCCCTAAAAATAGGGGCACTCTTCGCGTTGCTGTCCTAATTTGGTAACCTGTACGCATTCGACAAACCCACCACTTCAAGTAGCATGATGCAGAAAGCCTTATTTAGCATCAGGTGAAGCTTATTGTGAGCATTAGTATGCAGGCCGTTGAGATTATCAGCCTCGAGTTACTTTTCCGGCATGCTGAAAAGTAGTTGAGGCTGGTGAGCGTGCATTAAAGTGGAAAGCAGCGCGACGGTGAGATCATGTATATATGTATAGGGTATCCCAAGTTTCAACATCCAAAACATTTCCTCCTCGCACAACTCTATACACAGCATCTTCTCCTCAAGCCTCCGAATTCAGCGCCGTATTCCAAATCCAACCTTCATCTATCAAGTCTTGCGCATACACCTCCTCGAGCTCCCAACAACACACGCACTTTCCTCACACGGCACAAATTTTACCAACAAGATGTGTATCACATACTTTTTCACCAACAAGTTGAAGAAGGAGAAGGCTGCCAAGGCAGAGGAGCGAAACGCTCGTCCCGTGCAGAAGCAGCCACCTGGACAACCGCAGATGCAGACTTCAGAGGTTCCTGCCGTGGCGCCGAGTTCAGGATACGCAGGTGGGGGAGAAGAGGCGTAAGTGTGGTGGTCATTTGAGTCAGGCGTGGAGACAATGGGGCGTTATTGAAATTGGGTGGCGAAAGACGATATCAGGAGTTACAATACAATATAATACCTAGAAATATTGACTCATTATCTCCTGAACGGACAGTTGGACTTATATGCAGCTCGTTCAGATATCACTCAGCATTGATAATGCCAAGCTTGTGTCGCATAGACCCAAGCAGGCTGTTGAGTTGCAGTTGTATTTCTTCATCAAAATCCACCAAGGGAGTCTCGCCGTCCTCTTCTTCGTCGAAAAGTGCAATCATTGGAGGTTCTGCTTTAGTGTCTGCGTCTGTAATGTATGCTTGTTTAAGAGATTCTTCGGGTGTTTCGAACCCTCCTTCGATGAAATTTTTCTCGATGAGCGAGGGAAGATCCAGCAGTGGGGTGAAGCCTCGCACTTCGATGAGCTGTGTAGCGCGTCTCAATGTGTTTTTACCAATGTCTTTTCCTCGTTGCTTTTCAGTCCGTTTGGTTACTCGAGTCCAAGAGTCAGACAGTATTGGATCTGGCTCGTGGGCTCGGACCAAGGTGTCGCATACCATGTGCTGATTGCACCCCATAAAATTCTTCAACACAGAACCAATTTCTGCTTCAAGGGCGTATTTGAGAAGTCCGAGGCCAACAGGGAACTTCAGAGGGTCGGTGTCGCCGTGAACATTACGGTCGATGAATGCACTCACGCAATCCCACCGGGCGCTCAAAACTGCGGTTTTCCATGCTCCAAGTATGATTTCTCGGTCTATAACGCCCATGTTTTGGAGTCTGTCTTCTGCCATTTCTTTGCCTTTAGGTCGCGATTCTTCGGATATTAATGTTGGGAATACTCCCTTCTTGATGATTTGTTTGAACCTTCCGGAGAATGACTCACGCTTGCTGGCCTTGGTTGAGGATACAGAAGAAATAGATGCTGGAGGGGTCTCCACGGCTGGTTTGAGGACATTTCCAGGTCTGGGTGTAGTTCGTTCGATGCCCCGTTCGAAATGCTCCAGAAGTAAATGGACCATGGGTGCACTTCCCGAGAGAACAGCGGTCACCAAGAGATTGTTTCCGTGCCTGTCCACTGCATATATGTCTGCACCTTTATCAATTAGCATGTCGGCAATCTTGCATGTATTTGCTAGCATCTTTATGGGCTTTATGAAGCTGCTGTCACGACCATGTATACTAGCACATCGCTTTAGTGGTGTCCATCCATTCTTGTCCAAGATATCCACGGATGCTCCAAGTTCCAAAAGGTCTTGAACGAATACTACATCGTTACTGCTGATAGCTTCGTGGATGATGCATGTCTGCCATCTATTCGATTGAATATCTAGGCTTATACCTCTTTCAACCATCATATCAAGCAAAGAACGCCGTATTTGATGGTGTCGCTCATCGTCGCTACCTGAAAAAAGGGAGCAAATATTGTACAGAGATGTACCACCTACTCTATCCTCGATTGCCGGATCTGCACCTGCTTTGACAAGTACAGAACAGCACTGGCTTGCTGCGTCCGGCACCTCTCTCAAGGCAGATGAAACTATGTGAAGCGCTGTTGACCCGCTTTCTACAATCTTCGAGTTGACATCCATTTTCTCGGCGAAGATAGTAAGAAGCGTATCATGTCTCTGGCTTGCTGCGATGTGCATGCAATTAAAGCCACTGTGGTTAACCGCAGAGAGGTCCGCGCCGACGTCGAGGAGGAAGTTAACAATCAAAACGTTTCCTGTGAGAGATGCAACAAGTAGAGGAGTGTTGCCAGCTCCATCTTTTTGTGATAAAAGTTCGACAATTTGTGAGGCATTACCAGACTCGATTGCTGAGGACATTGCCTCTTCGGATGCCCCTTTCAAGAGTAAGGTGACAATCTCGAGATTTTTTGTCCGTACTGCACAGTGAAGAGCTGGGGTTAAGATCTGGTCTCCGCCGTCACACAATAACGTTGGGTCAGCACCTCCCTGGAGCAAGAGCGAGACTTCTTTCGGCTTATTGCTCTTGATCGCAAGTTGCAAAGCCGTATCGCCCGTTTCCGCATCCAACCATGCCTGAGCATTGGGGTTTGCCCCGGCTTCCAAAAGCTTCTTGATAGGATAGGTTCCGGAAAAGCCGCTGCGAATCAAGTGATGTAGTGGATATAGTCCCGTGCCATCTTTCATGTTAAGAGAGCCACCTTTCTGAATAAACCAGTCCAGGATTTCCGCTCGATGGAACTCGATCGCTATGTTGATTGCTCTTTGCTGCTCTTGCCAGAAAACCTCGCCCAGATCGCAATCCAGATGGGAGCCACAGGAAAGAGAAAATTCCAACAATTCATAACACTTGGGCGTATCAAAACATCCCGAGCATGCCGCCCTCGTGCACATGAGCATCAGAAGGTTTCTATTCCCAACAGATATTCGAGACTCCATGGTTCCATCTTCACATCGTTCAGGGAGTAATAGTCCCGCCGAGGCAATGGAAATATCGCCCATCTCCATCGATGATGTGATTAGTTCCTTCGTTGTAAGTATGGGCCTTGAGTGGCCCAATTGCCCTCGAAGTAAGGTAATGGTTCCAGTAATTGCGCTCTGCATGTGGCGACCATGAATGAACGTTCGTTCTAAGGTGGAAGTTTCAGCCAGAGGACGCCAAGCTGATATTAGACACGCATCTATATCGTTGCTGATATCACGCTGGTACCTATTTTCAAACGACTTGTACGTAGTTATACGAGCCTTTGCCTCGACTAAGAGAAGGTCCAAAATATTGACAAGGTGCAAACTAGAGGCTAAGTGGATAGGATTGCTATTTCGAAGTTCATTCCGAGGACCATTAATCGGATTAGCTCCGAGGTGTAGTAGCATCTCCACCGCGTCCTGAGAAGCAATGGCGACTGCATAAGCTAGTGGAGTACCAATGAGTTGAAGGGGCAATTGGCGATCAAGGTATCGGGGGTCATTGGCAACGCTATCAACAGATTCTCCTCCCATGGAGCCTTTTGATCGAATAAACCATTCATCCGCTTCTGTTTGGTCCTCAA